CCACTCAAGTACTTAGCTATGAATCGTTTATCCAAATTTTAATCGTTATATTTATTTTATAAATTATCATCACTATTACTAAACATAGGACAAACAGGAAACATAATTGTTAAAAAAAATAAATATTAGTCACACTTTACAATAAGCACTGATATAGCAGTTCACTGATCATTATATCGTCATTATCTGTCATCACAGTTACAACGATACTAGAGATGCAATCAATAAAATCTCATTTTTTTGTATATTCATTATTAGCATATTATTTTGGATATCAATTAACTTATATTTTCATTATTTCAGTCGTGTATTATTTGAATTTTAATTGATTAATATTTAAATTTTACTGAAATAAATACTTAATATGTTTTTTTCGAAAGATTTTAATCAATATTAACTAAAAATGTTTTATAATAACTATATATTATAATATAAATTATAAATTATAATATGTATTAATGCAACTAAATTACAGATTTTTCAATTAATTATATTTATTCTAAAGCTATCTAAATATATCTAATTTTTTCAAATTTAAATCTATAGTTAGTTTTAGCCGGAGATAAGGCAATTAAAAAAATATTATTAATTTATATTATATTTAATCGATCCACCATATATATTTTTAGTATACATACAGTATAGCAAATTAAGCATTAATATATATAAAGTATAAAATTAATTTTAAAAAATTAAATTTATTATCAAAATTAATATTTAATAATAAAATACACAAGTAATAGACAAAAACAATAACAGTTATACAGTATTTACATAGAAATCATTAACTTAATATACAGATTATAAAAACTATTATTATAGATATAAAAAAAATATACAAAAAATATTTGAATAAACAATTTTTTTCACTACTCTTCAATCAATTGTGTGACTAATCGCAACAAATTTTTGAGCGCCTGTTGTTGCAACTCCTCTAACGCCCGTTCCTTTTCACCGGGAAGTATGCGATCCCTGTAACCAAAGTGTACATTTTGGCCAAAATCACGAGTGTCCACTTTGCCGGTTCGGTACTGTCGTATATCGCCCAGTATGTCTACGCCGCCAAACTGGTTAACCAATGCATACTGTTTGGCCAGTAATCCCTTGTCGGTTATTGTCGAGTACTCGTTGCTACCGGTGCTCCTGCGATATCTGACCAAATGATGTTTGGATATAACAGTATATGATGATCCACTATAACATATAATATATATTTTTTTATATATAAATAAAATATAAATGTTTTATTACTAATATAATTTAAAGTATTTTATTATTATTATTATCTATATCTTACATTTGTTCACATAGTAATATAAAAACTAATAAAATTAATAATAAAAATTTTGTGTAATTTATAATACTAGTCGATAATAACATTGTAATATTTGTTTGTATGTTCACAATAAACACAGTAAAACTTGATTATTAATTTGATAATATACTATTTTATTTAAAATAAATAATACTAAATATATAAATATATATATTTATATCAATATATTATTTATTAATTTTTTAGTCACACGAAAACTATTTGAAATTTCATTTATTATTAATAAAAAACAAACAAATAAATAAAAAATCACTTTTACTTTAGATGTTTTTTGTATGTATATGTGTGTGAAATGAAATTGAAAACATTGAATGAAACTAAATTTAGATTTTTCAAAAATTTTATATTGTATTATATTTGGTAAATGTTTGAGTTCATGGACCGGTTTACTACCAAAAATAGTATATCAATAAATAGATAATTTAATTTTAAATTTATATATAGGTATATAACTTATTAGTGTATGTTTTTTTTAGCTATATTTATATAATGTAAACCGGATTATATTATAAATATAACAGACAACTACCAATATTATCTATGCTTCCTATTAATAGTATATCATTTTATATTATACTGTTGTATATCAATAGTTAGTGATGCTATTAATAATTTTTATATAACCATTATAGAAATTTATAATATAAAGTCTCATACTAAAATATAATAATAGGATATAATACATATAAAACCACAATAATAATATAACTTAACTAAACATAATTTTATTTAATTGAATTAGTCTATAACTATTATTATTATTATTATTATTATTATTATTTTTACTATAATTTAAAAATTACAGTTTGTATAGGTTTTTGTAATTTGTAAGCTTAATAAACAGTTTTATTTTCAATAGTGTCAAAAAATAAAATAAAATATTTATAAATAATTGATAAATTAAACAATATGAACCACTACATTAAGTGTACTATTGTTTTTTAAAACTACTATAAATTATAACTATTGATAAAATAGATTAAAATAAAATAGAAATTTACTAAAATTTTCACCATATATTAATACAATTAATATGTTATAATATGTTATCAGTTGATGATAATATTAATAACAAAATAATTTATGATAGTTACAATAATTTTATAACATCATAAATCATTAAAAACTTTTATTTATAATTAAGCTTATAATTATTTATTGTCTACAGTAAGTCAATTTTTTTATAAGTTAGCTATTAGATTTTTATTAGTAAATATAAAAATGTACTATTTATACATTTATTTATATTTAATAAGTAAGTTAAATTTAATATAAAATATTTCAGATATATATTTTTTTGTCAATAGTCAATAATTAGATAGTTAAATGTAAAATAATATTTTTAATATTTTTTCACATAATATTTAGTATTCATTGGTTCATTAGTGGCCAAACACGAGTCAACCACTATATGCCCTAATAGTCAACTCATTAAGCCCTGTGTTTGCACACAACGGACTAACGGTGCTCTACCAGACATTACATGCGCCAAACATGATGTCGATATGCCGACCATTTTGGCAAATATACGACAAACAACTGATACACCAAACAGTAGACACGATTTTGGACGACTTTTCTGGACTAATGGACGACCAGTCAATCTGACGGCCAGTTTTTTCGATGGCGTATCATTTGAGCACATATTTATGGGAACCCGAAGAGAGTACTGTAATGTTCATCACATAAGTCCGGACGCATTCACAGGTATTTCAGACCAAATCAAGACTATTGTCATCAGATCTCATCATTTGTACGACGAGATTAGTCTTTTCCGTTCGCTAAGTAGTCTAACAAATGTCGAAACAATTGGCTTAGAAGGCAAATACATACAGACTATTCCGGCCAATGCTTTTCGGACGCCCGATACCTGTCCACCGCTTGGCGATTGTGTTCAACGAAAGTTGAAATCAATAAGTTTTAGAGTTGGTGTCAATCAGTCGTTAATATTTTTGTCGGCCATCGAGAGTCACGCGTTCGCCGATCTGCCAAATCTTCAATCAATTGATGTCAGCTCTCATGACATCAGCCGACTGGAGGCCAATGCGTTTGCTATGAATTACAAATCGGATCAATTGTTGACAATCGACTTATCGAGACAATGGGACAGACATATGCGTACAAATAGTTTTGCTGACAATACGTTTGATGGACTCAATCGACCCGTATTTCTGGATCTGTACGGCAATCGTGTGTTACTATCGTTAACCGAAACAGTTTTCAGACAGTTGTTGGAATCGGACTCCAGAAATAGGATCAGATTAGGTATGAAAATGGATTGTGACTGTGATTTGTATTGGCTTTGGAGAGACAGACAGCTATTCAGTCGACAGTTCATTGAATGGCATTTCGATGATTTGCCCGAAAGTGATGAACATTTTGGCAAAAACTATACGATTTTGTGTTCAAATGGTGAACAAAATTTCTGGTATAAAAATCAGTCAGATTTTAGCGATTGTCAAGACTTTAAATTAGTTAATAATAAGGAATTGTAAGAATAATTTATTTGTCAAAAATATTATAGCATTATTTACTTTGAAAATTACATTTTAAATTAAATATATTTCAAAATATTACAATTATATATAATATATAAAGTATAAAATTTAAATTATTTTTGTTTAGTAATGTTTTTAGTACTTTAAACCTAATTATAAATAAATAAAAATTATTGTTAATCATAATATTAAATTAATAACTAAGTAATAGATAACTAAATTTTAATATTTATAAATTTATTATAGATTTATAGTATATACCTATTAATTATTAGTAACTTATCGATATATAAATATTTTTAAATACATTCATTAATTTATAATATAATAAATTTTATAAATTTAATTCAATATTTCAAATGCATTATACAATTTTTTTATTATTATACTAATTATTTATTTAGGCTTAAATATAGTTTACTATAACTTAGAAATTATGATTATTTAACATACAATATTATATAACATAAAATTTATATACAGTATGTAATTGTAATTATTAATTACAAACTAAGAGTTTATATTATTATTATTATTGAATTTATTATACATTTAATATTATACTTGTTATATTAAAATCTAATGGAAAATAAATATTTATTATTGTATAAACTTTTTCATAATTAATTTGTTGTAACAGTTTTTGTATATCTAAAAATGTAATTTAAAATACATTATAACTTTAGCAGTACAGGACATACATGTATATGAAAATATTAATAACTTATTTTATTAATCTATTGATATCAAATTGTATTCAATTAATTAAAAATTTAAATAATTACTTAATTAAATTAATACAGTAATTAATTAATCAATTGTAATAATAATAACGTTATGTATGACTGTGTCATCAAATTATTATTTTTGACGCTTTTTTCTCTATTAGGCGCCAATTATTAGCATTGAATAAACAATAAGCAAATTTCACTATAAATTATACATTACTATACATTACATTAGATATCAAATGCATTTCATTACTAATAAAATACATTATTATTATTACACTATTATTATTGAATATATTTTATTAATAATTATTAATACACTGACTGTAAAGCAAATTACATATTAATATACAGTAGTATTAATAAAAAAAAATCATTTAAAAAGTTATTACTGCTATTAATTGCTGACCAAATCACTGTCCCGGACACTAACCAATGGTCAAAAAGGGTCGTAAGCGTCAATCGGCGACCACTCCAACTAACGCCGCCACCGCCGGTCGGTTTAGTAGTGGCGGTGACCAATCGTCTGATACTATTATCGACGACCCGATACTAAGTCGTTACTGGTTTTCGCCAAAAGACAAACAATTTGTGTGTCAACTGTGTTCCTATCGGACGGCCAATCGGGTGTACGTCCGCCAGCATATGGTCTGCCATTCGGATGTGCGGCCATTTCGATGTCAATACCATGGCTGCCGATTGGCTTACAAACGCAAACAGGAGCTCAAACGGCACATCCAGATAAATCATTTATGTTTGCGGCCGTATCGGTGTTCAGTAATCGGATGTACGAAATCGTTTACACAGTTACAGTCGCTAAAGGATCACCACTATAGCCAACACACCGATGTCCGCTATCGGTGCCTATTGACCGGTTGCCGGCAGCGGACGTTCAATTGTCGCAAAAATTTACGATCACATCAACGCCGTCGTCATTTCGATGACACCAAATCTGGTGGTCAAATGTTTTCCCAATGGATTAATAGTCTGAACGGCAATTGCCAAGTGGTTGATGACAAGGATGACGACAATTTGTCATCGATTATGACTGGATTGGCCACCAGTGATGACCGACCCAACGCCGCTGTATCGCTGCTCAAACGGAAACGATGTTTTCGCTCACTGTTGGCCAACAACAATATAAATAGTGGTAACTTCGGCGACAGTGGCAACAACTCTAACGGACAATTGGCCAGTAAGACACACAAACGGTTGCGCAATGCTAGCGGCAGATCAATATCGGTGGCCAATATCGACGCCGACACCACTAAAGATCAGGTATTTGTATGCAATTTTACCGACTGTTCGTTCAGTACTATAGATTTTGCTGGTATTTCACAACACTTTACCCAACACTGGGATGTGTTGTTACCGTTACTGTTGTTTGATTATCGGGACGATAATGTGGTCAACAATTTGAATAACTAATTAATTGAGTGTTAATTATTTTTTTGTGTGTGATTTGATTTAATTGTTTTTTTTTAAATATATATTTTTGATTTTTTAAAAATCTGTATTTGTTGTGTGTTTTTTTGCCCAAAAAAAATTATAAGTTAAATAATTTTTATACGATTTTTAGTCCAATTTTTTTAAATACTATTAGTTGTATTTGTTATCAATCTATAATTAATTGTTATTACTATTATTATTATTATTATTATTACTATTTTTATTATTGTAGTATTGTTTATAAAATGTTTAGATTAATTGATTGCTTTGATTTGAATTATTACTTAATTTAGTTTAATTTTTTTTTTTAAATTACAAATTAATACATTTTGTATTAATTAATGTTATTTTTTTTACTGTTTTTACTGATTTAACTTTATATTAGATCTAATAAATAAATTTAATTAATTAAGCTAAGTAATTATTACTTAATATTTAAAAATATCTATTGTAAAAAATGTTTTTTTATCATAAATGTTGAACATTAGTATTACTAGTAATTTGTATTGTTATTAATTTTTAATTAACCATTAATAAACCATTAAATATTAAAAATAATAATTAATAACAAAATTAAGTATTTTTATGTTTTTCATTATACTGTACATTGTAGAAAATATAGTTTAATTTTATCAAATTAATTTTTTTTTGATAAATTATTAATTTATTTTCATGTAAAATATTTCTTAAATCATAATTGTCAATATTTAATTAATTAATTCAATTTATAATAAAAAAAAGTTTAAAATAATAAATTACTTTTTAAAAAGTTATTATTAAATTTTAGTATAGTAAACATTTTAATAGATTTTTATTATAAAAAAAAAACAATATGCGATAATAATTTTCTGTAGTAACAATATATTTAATATTTTAATATACGAAAAATTAGTTTTAGTTTTATCACAACATATAGTTAATTGGCTAAAAATGAAACCAAATTAAATTCAATTTGATTAAAATAGTTACGGCTATATCTAACAATATTATAAAATTTTATGATTTTAATTAATGATGTAATTGTTTATTTATATATATATTTGTTTACAGCAATTAACTACAATGTTATTTATAGTACTGTACTGTTGTACTGTAATTATAATAATAAATATATAATGATTTACAAATTATAATTATGATAGACAATATTACCTTTAATCTTTAATTTTCAACAAAAAAAAACATTTAATGATCATCAATAATTTTTGTTGTTGTTAATCATTTGTAAAATTATTATAAATAATATTATTACTATATTAAAAAATTACTAAAAACAATATTAAGAATACTATATTTATTAAAACTAATAAAAATATATTATAATTATATATCACTACAAATTAATTTGTGATCAATATATTTTTTATTTATAAAATAATTTTGATCAAAACTATTAATAGAATAAAAAATTATATATAATAATTAGTAACTTTAGATATATGTGACTAAAATTAGTGTTTTATTGAATGAAATATTTGCTTAAAAGCATGAAAATGTGTGATTATATTTTGTTAAAATAGTCAAAATATGTGGTTATATTTAATAACAATTTAAAAATTGTGTTACAATTAATGATAAATTAATATTTTTTTTCTTATCAATACTTAAATTCTCATAAATTAAAATTATACAACTTTTAAACTCTTAGTATAAATTAAAATCAATACAAATAATTCTTTAAATCTTATTGTCTTTTAGTAGACATTAGAAATTAGTAGAATTTTATAAAACATAAATATTATGATACAGTATTTGTCTGAAATTATGAAATAGTAATAATGTATAATACTTCGCATAAAAATAAAATGCTTATTTATTTTAAAATGTTGAAAACAATAATACATATACTAAATAAACATAAGAAAAATGTATTTTAACTATTATTTTCCATTATATTATAGTTATATGCAAAATATGTGCTTATATTTGATAATATGTGACTACCTTTTAAAATATGTTTTTATATGTGTTTATGTGACTAAAACTTTTGCCATAATAATCAGTTTTCAATCAATAGCTTATATATCTAATTATTTTGTTAATATCTTTAATCACTAAAAATATAAGTTATATGTGAAATAAATGCTATAATAATAATTAAATTTTAGTAACTGTATGTATACACTGTATATAAGTTTTGATAATGTTAGCCAAGTTTTTATATACTGTATTATTATTATACTATTAGTAAATAATTGTGTTCATAATTAGTACAGTAGAGATTAAAAACTAATAAAATCATAGGTTTTCATTAAAAAAATAAATAATCAATATCAAACTTGAATATAAACAAAAACAATTATAATAAATGATACAATACTAAATCTAAGTTTATTAACTATGTATATAATATCTATAATAATACAATATATTGTATTTATTGTCTTCTTATCTTAATTATTGTTATTTTTAAAAAATATAATATAATATAAAAATTTATACTGAAATAAACTGAAAATTGTTATTTGTTAATTAATCTATTGACTTATAATAGTATATTATATTTAATGCTTACATTATTTACAGTATATTTAATACATTGCACCGAAATTATATAATTACAATATATTTTTATAAGTATTGTAATATTGTTTAATATCACGTAATACTGTTTAATATTTTTTTATGTTGAAATCTAATTTATTTATAGTAAAATATTTAATTAAAAAAATACTATTTTATAAATTTGATCATTTTAAACGTAAAATTGAATATTTTATAATTTTCTAAAATTGATTAAAGTTGCAATTATAAATATGTTATTTTGTAATTTTGAATCATTTATCAAAACAAATCATTTAATACCTGACTATACAAATGCAAAATCAATGTCAAAATGTCTATATATTTGTATATTTTGTTGGTTTTGTACATTTCGTTGGCTATTTGGGGCAATCAATACATCAACATATGTTTGGACACTAATTGGAGATCCGTTTTATTGTACGGGAGATAGGATTTTGTTTAATATGAATATGTTTATGATATCATTGTTTGGATCAGTATTGAGAACTATACTGCTTTTGGGTAACAATTTAAAAAAAAATAATAATTATAAAAATAAGTTTAAATATATTTTTACTAATTTACAAAATTTTAGGTAAATATAGTAAGAAAATTGATTTTGTATTGAAATTAATATTATTAAAAAGTGATGACTCTGGCAATGGTCTGAATGTACATAATATTAAACGATTAACATTTATTTCAAAAATAATTAACCATATCGTGCTTAAACTAATTAATTACGAGTGTCCCACTATATTTGCTATAGTATATGGTTTGTATAGTTTAATAGCTTATATGAAAAATGATTACAATTTTTCGGCAATTGTTTTAATCATATGGTTTATAATATTGACCGTATGGGCCATACATATCACATCGATTGTTGTGTTTGCATATGGATTGATATTTTTTGTCGTCTATTATATGAAACTAAGGTTTGAACAGTTAAAAAGTTTGATACTATGTATGAATGACTTGGATCGGCTCCAGACTAGGATTATACACTTACATCACGACCTGACCCGTATGGTCACAGATTATAATGATTTTTTGAAATATCTGATGGCAGCCATACATTATTGCGAGTCTAGTATTATAATCCTATTGTGTTATATCTATTTATATGGCAATGGAGATCTATATTTTCGTTGTTCACACCTAATTGTGGCCATACTGAGCACTTTTCTGCTATATTTGGTCACCCGTACCAGTGCCTCATTAACACATGAAGCACACATACACTATGTCTATATAAATTCAATTGTAGTCACAAATAAAGTGTCCAGTATATATAAATTTAAGGTATATATATATCAGGGTTAAGCAAGGTTTTGGATTTTAGGGGGGGGGGGTAGACCGGGGTAAAATTTTCAAAATTCTCGAAAAATCTTGGGGGGGTATTGGGTGGGGTAAGATTTTTATTGCATTTTTAAACGGCAATTTTTTCAAAAATCCAAAATCAAGGGGGGGTCAAGAGAAAATTCCCTAAAAATTCCTTAAGTTCCCGAATATTCCCATGTAAATTCAATAAAATTCCCATAAGTTCCCGTATAAGTTCCCGGGAAAATAGGTAAAATTTCCAAAAATATAAAAAAAAAACTTAAAAATTAACAAAAACTTAAATTTTAACAAAAAATAAATATTTTTTTAAATAAATTTTTTTAAATTAATAAAAAGTTAAATTTTAACAAAAAATAAAATAATTTGTTTAAGATTTAAAAATAGTTGATAAAAGCATTAATGATGCACTATGAGTTATTTTTAGTATTTTAATAATTTTTAAATTTTAACATAATTAATTTTTTAAATAATACTTAATGTTTATAGTTTGTTATATATTTTTATTTTTTAAATGTTATTTTTATACAAATACTGACTGAATACTACTTATTTAACTCAATTTTTGTTAAAGTTTTAGTTATATTAAGTATAAAATTGAAAATGTTTTTAATTTTTTTATTTAAAATTTAAAAATTATTAATAAAAAACTTATAATATAAGTTTTATTAACTTCTTAAACTATCTTAAACTTATATTTAAATTGTAATATGATTAATCTTTTCAACAAATAGGTAATTTTTAATTTTTTAGTTTGTTTTAATTAAAATAATGTTATTTTTTGATGAGTTTTAACGTTATTTTAACTATTTTTAATTAATTATTAGATTCTTATAAATATTAAAAACAAAAACATTTACTAAAATAGTATCAATTAAAATTAAAATTTTTATAAATTTAAAAAAAATTTTCGGCGCCGAAATTTTAGGGGGGGGGTCATTTCTCGTCGTTTTTAAGCGACAATTTTTCCAATTTGGTCAAAAAGTCTGGGGGGGTAAAATCCCAATTTCTCGATCTTAGGGGGGGTATTTTGGCCTTACCCCCTACCCCCCCTTACTTAACCCTGATATATATATATATATCATTTAATTATTATTGTTGATTAAAAATAACTTATTATATAGTAATTATTATTGATATTTTAATTTAAATATAATATTTTTTTAAATAGATATTAACATTTATTGAGCGTCTTTCGGGTCTAGAGATGGGCAAATAGAAAGTTTCTAATAAATTTCCCTGAGAAAGTTTCTAGAAAGTTTCTCAGGAATAAATTTCTATAGAAATTTAACTTTTTTGTTATACTATAGGATCCCCATATCTATAGATATTGTAAAACTATAAATATATTAATGAGACATATAATATTATACTATATAATGTAGATTAATGTATAATACTATATTATACAAATGGGATACCTATATAAATAATTATAATTATTTAATAATAATCAGTTTTGTAAAATTTTATTCACCATTTTATTATATCATAGTTTAATATAATTAAATAAATAAATTTTTTTACTTTAATTAATAATTAAAATACTAATACTAATATTTAAATATTACTTATAAAAACAATGTTAAAGATAACAAATATCGAGAAATCAAAATTAACCATGGGGATCCCATAAATAGAAATTTCTTTTAGAAACTTTCTAGAAACTTCTCTATTATTTTATAAATTTCTCTTTTTTGCCAACACTATTCGGGTCCCATAATTGGCATCTATTGTATAAATATGTTTGCATTTACGAGTCGACATTTTTTTGCAGTATGAATTTTTGTTAATTATTTGATAATGTTTATATTTATAGTAATGTTTTTTATAAAACATTAATTAAAAATCATTTTTCATCCTATAGTTTGTAATCGATACGATAATCAAGTTTTTGATTGCTGTAAACTTATTTAATGAATATCTTGGATATGAATATTAGATAACAAATTTAATTTTAAACAATAATTTATTTAAAAAATATATATATTTATTATCAACTGTTATTTGTAAAATACTGTATATACCGGTATATATATATAATAAATAAAAATATTATTATCATTAACGATAATAATAATAATTATTATTATAGTGATACTATGCTTACAGTATTTTAGAGGTATTTCTAGATGACGTTTTCATTATGTATTATAAAATTTATAATGTGATCAATATAATGACAATTACATTTTTAAAAAATAAATTGATAAAAAAAATAATATATAAATATATCTTAAATTATATCAAATTTACATGTAATATAAATAGTATAACAAAAATTAAATTTAATTAAAAAAGTCAAATACTGTAATAATAAAACTAATATTTTTATTTTATATTTATATAATTTTGAATTTATTTATTTATTTTAATTAATTAATTAAGTATTAATTTTACATCTATAATTACAAATACATTATTGATGTAAACCTTAATTAAAAATAGTATTAATTAAAAATAATAGTAAACATTAAAAGTTATTTATTAATTAATAAATAAAACCTATTTAATAATACCGATAATTTATTGTAAAATATATTTAAAAAAAATATTTGCTATAAAATAATAATAATAATTTCACGCGACTTATAATTTAATTCAAACATCAATTCTATAATAATATTTGTAATAATTTTTGAACAGATTTCTAAAAACTTTTAGTTTTTATTTATGACAATCAAATGATATTATTTGTTAATTATCATCAATTTATGATTAGTATTATCTATTCGTTGTCATTAATAGCACCGATAGTAGTATCTGATGACGACTTTTGTATGCAAAAAGATCCGGAAAATGGTTACTCGGCTTTCAATTTTGGTAACCATTTGTTGATACAAACACACCATTTACTTAGCAATAATACGATTGTCGAAAGATTATGGGTTTATAGCGGCGGTCATATAGTCTACAACTCGACATTTAGTATAATATATTTATTTATTTAATTTTTATTTATTAAATAAATGATAAATTCAGAGATTAATGGTTTGTTTTATTTAAAAAAAATAAATATTTTTCAATTACTCTCAAATATAGACTTCTGGAAGTCATATATGATGACCATTAATATAGCCATAACTTTTCCATCCGTTTGCAAATACAATGAATCACTAAACGATTTGGTACTAATCCATGGATTAGATAAAAATGGTGAAGACATGAATGCATTCAAATCGTTTCGGACAACGAATAATGAGATTGGTTTCATTGAGATAACCAATTCGTCAGAAATGCCATTTGATTGGCCGACCAGTGGTAACGATATTAGCAAAACTGATATATTTCCCCAATTGCCGACCAAACCGGTTGAAAATCTGTATCAATATTATGCCGGTGTTTATAATCCGATCAATAGGACAATGATTATCATCATTGAAGAGGTTAGTACAATGTAGAGGAAGTGAGAGAGAGAGATAAATACAATGGGTTAGACCTGCTTATTGTTGCTTTGGGTTAGGTTTAACTAACAAATAAAATTAATTATTAATACTCACCAAAAAAAGTTTTTAAATTTTTGCACAAATAAAACAAATAAAAATCATTTTGCTTAGACTTTGGTTGACAATGGATCTGTTGATTACAAATATAAGATGATGTATAGACAGCTACTATCTGATGGCAATTGGACCAATTGGACAGATAAGCGTACTTTTCTTAATTATCAATCACTGTTTACACTTAACAATACACTCTATGGTATTATACATGAGCCGATCGATAACTATATGATAGTTAGGTTCAATAAAAATATGGATATTGAAGCAGAAATTGTATGATATATTTTTTTATTGAACAAAAAGAAACTTTAAAATCTAGTTATTAAATAAATTTATTTGTGTTTTTTGTTGTTGTTGTTGGTTGTGGTATAGGGTTCGGTAAAACAAGTGTTAGGTGGCTGTCCATTGATAACACCAAATACTATATCAACAAAAACAATAACAACAGTCATCCCACAAGATAACAGTTCAAATATATTGCCAACTGTATTGTCAACTGTATCGCCAACTTTATTGTCAACTGTATCGCCAACTTTATTGCCAACTGTATTGTCAACTGTATTGTCAACTGTATTGTCAACTGTATTGTCAACTGTATCGCCAACTGTACCGGCATTAGTATCGACGACAAATGTATCGGTGGTAAACAACACAGGAATGGATGATTGCAAATTCAACTGTAATGGATCAGATAAAACCAACTGTCCCTATAAAACAATAGTTATAATGTTGTTAATATTATTACCGATATATTTCTGTTAACATTTGTTAATTGTATTGTCGATTGCTTTAATGTGATATTAGATTTTATTTTTAAATGATTTAAACTATTATTTTTTAAGTATTCAAATATGTTAATAATTTTAACATAAACTTAGTTAATCTTTTTCAGATATTGTAAAATATTCACTAAAAATATTTGATAATACTATTTCATTTTTAAAAAAAATTATGTTATATTATAAAATATTTTTTTTATATATACTGTATATACAGAATATTTAGTTTCTAATAGTAAAATAACTTATATCTGATATTATTTATTTTTACACTTTTAGATGTTTTCAATTGTTAAAATAGTCAATAATAACATAATTTAATGAAACTATTTGTAAATAAATTCCATAAAAACTAATTTGAAATTATAATTTCATTTATTATTTACTACTTTTTAGTATTATTTACTACTTTATAGTATTATTTTCTATTTTTTAGTATTACTATAGATTTTAAAGTATAATAGATATAATAACTGTAAGCATGTTATTCATAGACTTTAATAACTAATTCAATACAATAAGTATCTAATGATCAGTGATATATCCTAAACACTAAATACTATTCACATAAATTACACATTTTGTTTATATGAGATATACTGTAATTAATATACAGTACTAACGCCCAGATTAAACGTGATCTACCTGTGCATAGCCACAAAAAATATAGTTAATTGTAAGGATTTATCTAATAAATTAAATGATGTTATAAATTATAACTTATACTATACTGGTATTTTTATGTGCATGAATGTCATTGATTTAAAAAAAAATAAAAATAAATATAACATTCAATTGTGATATTTGTATTATAATTCAATAAAAATTAAGTTGTATGTTAAATGTGTTAAGATATATGATAATAAATATTTGCCAATTAATGTATAGTACAATAAACTTGATTGATTTTTATAATGAAATAATTAGTCATTTGATTATTTTCTAATTTATTTGTAGTAGTTATCGATTACACATAAAAAACATATTTCTAAATAAATAATATTAACTAATGTTTTAAATGTTAATTTAGTCAACAAAAGATATATATATATATATATATATATATATATATTAATATATTATTTCTAAGTCAAGTCACTTATAAAAATAAAGTAAAACTAAAATATAAGAAAAATTGTTTTATTAGATTTTTTATATTTACAAAGTAAATATTTATATTAAAAAAATTTATAAATAACAAAAATAATGTTTTTCTTAAATATCTAATTGATAATCTTAGAAAATAACTTTAAAATTAAAAAAAACTAAATTAATAATAACTGACATTTACCTTGACTTAAAAGTCTGTTTAGATATTTGCCTAACAATTATCTATATTATTATTATTGAATACATAGAAATGATAAGAAAAACACTAAATATATATATATATTTATAAACTAGCAATCAGTGTCTGGAAAATGAAAAATATATTTTTTTCAGGAAAAATTGATACCACTCTTTTTCATAATAAACAAAAAAAATTTATTAAGTATTTTTAACACTAAAATACTAAATTTTCAAGTTTTTTCTTCTTATAATACATTTATTAAAAATTTAAAATCATACACAATATAAAAACACATGTTATCAAATGCACATATCATTTTATTTCAGTCTAAATATAATTTATTTGTAAATCATATAAATTAAACTCAAAGATTAGAGTCATATATATACATGTATATAATATTCATATAGTGAAAGCTCATCGGTGTGTCTAAAAATAGATACATTTTTAAAAATATTTAATTCAATGTCTCTCTCTCTCTCTCTCTCTCTCTCTCTCTCTCTCTTTCTTTCTTTCTTTCTCTCTCACTTTTGGCACAGGTATTAACGTCAATAGGTAATGGCATTGATGTCATTCCCTAGTGGACTATATTAAGTATATTTTAAAAAAATAAACATTTGAATTTATTTCAACTCAGCTATCTATCTCATACAGAGCACTGGTAGGTTTTTTTTAACTAAAAAAAACTAAGTTTAGTTAGTTAATAAATTTTCAGTATATACCTGTATGTAAGTTTTCTAACAAAAATAAAATAAATAATTTAGTTATAATTAAGAAAAATAAATTTAATGATTTTGTTTTTACGAATATTTCATTTTTTATGTAAATAATAATCAAATTTTATATACAGTATATAATCTATTAGTTAAGCAAACTTTTATTAGATATTATATGAAATTAAATATTAATATTCAAATAATTGACAAGTATTTTTGATTTTTTTGAACAAATTGTTAAATTATACATTGATTTAAATAATGATATTTTTATAAACATTTATTTTATTTATTTTGTTGTATAATTAATTTCAAATATCTTATTTATATTCGTTAAAACTTTCCACATATAATTGTTGATTAATATTTAACACATAAATCTTGAAGTATAATCTTATTTGGAAAGAAAACTCAAAAAATCAAAAAAATGTTTATTTTTTTACAAAAAATGGATTTTCCAACTATTGCCATAAAATTATGTAATAATTTTTATAACTAAATCAGTTTATTATCATTAAACTTATAATTATAGTTATATAAGACAACTACAGTATTTAAGACTAATAATAATAATGACAATAATTAGTTAATAATAATTATAATAATGAGATATTATCAGTTTTTTGTTTGTTTTAATTTCTAGACCTTAGAGTCTAATAATAAAAAATTTTTGATTTAATAAGTTATTAATAACAACAAAGTTTTAAAAACATGAATAAAAAGTTTTGTTATATATTAATTGTATTATTATTGACTGCAATCGTAATTTTATTGCTAAATGTTAATCATTTGCTAATAAAATTATCAAACAGTGAAACATTTAATAATTTTAAACGTTTTTCTGATAATAATATCAACAATAAAAAACTTAATGACAATAATAATAATAATAATAACACCAACAACTTTATAATCAAAAAACACAACAACACTACAAGTCATACGACAAACCCGAAGAGCACCGATAGCAGTAATGATCGGCCTGTTGTCCACACACTTACCGGTGCCTTAAGAGGTCGAACACTAAATGTTTTCGGGCGACCCGTTCGTGCGTTTATCGGTGTGCCGTATGCATCGCCACCGGTCGGTGCGCTACGGTTTTCTGCTCCCGAACCTGTTGACCCGTGGCCGGGCGTTCGCGAGGCCACACAGTTTACGCCTATGTGCCCGCAAATTATAATACCGAACAGTATTATCGAAATGAATTACATATCGGAAAACATTTCCGAAGATTGTCTCAGTCTTAACATATGGACACCGGACGTGCGGCCACCCGACGGCAAGTTGAGAACAGTTATGGTGTGGATACACGGCGGCGGGTTTTTGTACAACTCGGCCAACATTCACGAAAAGGACGGCCGTGTATTGGCCTCGTATGGCGATGTAGTGGTTGTGACAATCAATTATCGGTAAATAAACTTTAAAAATATTACATCTTTATATTTATTATTTTTTTGTGGATCAACTGTTTTTTATTGAATCGTTATCTTTGGGTGTATATATATATATATATATGTAGTGTCGGTGTATTTGGCTTTTTGAACGGACGCTCGGAAGAAGCACCGGGAAATATGGGTATCTATGACCAGTCGATGGCGTTGCATTGGATCCGCGACAATATCGGCTTTTTTGGCGGTGATCCCGGCCAGTTGGTACCGTTTGGCGAGAGTGCCGGCGCTATTAGTATTAGCATTTTGATGACATTCAACAGCACTCGTTATCTATTTTCGCGGGCCATCACTCAATCGGGAAGTTTTTTGTTGCCGCAAACATCGCAAACATTTAGTTACTCGAAACGGTTTGCCCAACTCGCCGGTTGTCTACATGAAATGGACAACGAAACGGCAACCGAGTTGTCCACCGAAACGGTCGACTGTCTCAAGACTGTGCCGTTTGATCGGCTAAATGAGGTATTCATTAAAACTATTTTTTTAAAATAAATAATTTGCTTAACTTTGCTGTTATTATTGAATAACTTTCGCCAAAAAACAGATATCCAATTCATTTCTCAATATATCTTATATGGCATTTATGCCGTCCATCGACTCCTACTACGAGGATATTGTAGCTCCAGTTGAGTACATCACCGAAGACAACGCCTACGACAATATGCGCGAACTGATGACCGGTTTGGTCCGTAACGAGGGCTCATTTTTTGTTTACATACTAAACCCCGAACTATTTAAACGGCACAGTTATCCGCAGCTGAAGACACTGAAAGAGACACGCGATATGTTTATTGCATTGATTAAAAACAAGACCAACATTGACGAAGATCTTCTATCGGTTGTCGCCAATACCTATATTGTTGGCCCAAATAGTGATTTACCGGAGAAGAATATCGATCGGCTGATCGACGCTTTTGGTAATGCAGTAATCAATTGTCCGACCATTTATTTAGCCGACGAATTGGCCGCCAAAAACAAATCGGTTTACATGTATTTGTATAATCATCGCCCGAAGTCTAGTCAATTTGGCGAATGGCTGGGCACTGTCCACTATACGGAAGTGCCGTTTGTATTTGGTTATCCATTGCGGAGGACCGATATTTACAGTCCGGTTGACATCAAGTTTTCCAAACGTATTATGAAAAGTTGGTCTCATTTTGCAAAGACTGGGTATTATTATTATAATTTTTGTTTGCTATTAATTATTTTTGTGTTATATTTGTTTGTTTGTTTTTGTGGCTAATTATTAGTACTGTATTACCGCAATTGGACACAAAATGGCCAGAATATCGGGACCGCAACTCGATTATGGAGTTGAGTACAGAAAATGCCACAATTATCAGTGGTTTCAATACATATGCCTGTAATTTCTATAAGACAGTCATGCAATTGAATGGTTGATATACTAAAGTATTTTTTTTATAAATAAATTATTTGAATATATAATAATATAACCAAATATTACTATAAAAAATTTCATTAAAATATATATATATTTATATTTTCAAAAAATACATTTTTGATGAATAAATTTTGTCATCGATATATTGATATCATTTAACTGTTTTATCTAATTTCATAATCGCATATTAAAATGTGGTGAAAATCTACTTTAAATACTAATAATAATATTGTAAATTTATTTGTCTTATTAATATCACTAAATGTGGTTTAAATTTAAATATATATATGTTTTTATTTTTATTGAAAAAAAAACATTTGTTATTTATAGCAAAAATTTGATTAATAAATATAATTAATCCAAATATATTTTTAATAAATGAGTTAATTATATCAGTTATTTAAATAAGAAAATACATTTATTTATTTTATTAAATAATTTATTTAGACAACAAAAAATCTATTGAATAGTTTTATAATTATTAGAATAATAGACATAAATAATAATAATAATCTATAAAAAATTTTATACTTAAATTTATATACAGTATAACTATATCTTATACCGGTATTATTTTGTTAATATAAAACAATAGAAATATTATCTAAATATTTAATTCATTGTTATGCAATAAAATAACATTACAAAAAAAATCTCACGTAAATTAACAAAATAAATAAATAATTTAGTTTAAAATAATTTACATTTATTTATGTATGTAACTGACATGCAATATATTAGTGAAAAAAGCTTATCCTAATTAGATTTGACTGACATTTAAAAAAAACAAAAATATGACTTTAAATTGTATTTCATTGTTTCTATTAATGTCCGTATATGTTATGTATGTTATGTCGGGTATCAGTCATAACAAACACATAAAGTACTGTACTTTGAATCATACTAAAGGTGCCGACTATACCACTATAACCGGTGCTTTTATTATCGATAAAATACTCTACTATTGTAATAAAACCTATTGCTATTCGACTAATATTGTACCAAAAAACCAGTACATGAAGACAATAGTAGATAATAATAATAATGGTGGACAGTATGAAAATCCGGGTGACTTTACCAATAGACTGTTTACAATGTGTAGGTGTTTCCTCCTACCCTCTCCCCCCTAAACTATACATTACATAGTTATTGTTAATAAATTAATTAATCTATTTTTTTAATGGTTACCCTCACTGACAAAATAGCTGATGGATTTACCGTTCATAGCGCCGTCTATTTTGGCAATAATTGTGAGACTGAGGAGTCATCGGCAACAATGGGAACCGTATGTGTGGACAAAGCTATGGGAAAGTTTCTGTTGATTGGCAATCATAGTGCACAGGGATTTAGTTATATAGCCTATGAACGAAATATGTACGACAATTATCCTGTAGATAATCCAGAGAATATGCCATGGAAGTTGGCTCCACGGGGACAGTTGACCGGCAAATTTTGGCCTAAAGTTAAACCAAATTTGTTCACCAGTTTTGCAGCCAATACCAAACCGATTACAGTCTATGTGTGCACCACTACTACCACCAGTAGTGATAAGAAAAAATCAAAAATTTACTATAAGATTGTCGACAAATCGGGCGATTTTCATACCAACTATACGAAACTAATGGCACCAAAATCGTATACCGGACTCGTCTACTGGAAAAACAAATTGTACGGTATGGCCAAAGACAAGTGGTATTTGTTAGTACAGAAAAACAACAGTTTTGTTGAAAACGCAACGGTATGATAGAGATAATCATATACTTGTATATATCATATAACTCTGCTGTAAATTGAATTGAATCATCTAATTATGATTTTTTTTGTTATTGTAGTACACAATGAAAGAGTTTTTCAATTGTTATGATAACTCAACTCTTTTGTTAAACATAACTAAAAACAGTAAAATCATTGACAACAATAACTATACAACTAATACTACTACCGGTACCAATCAGACTACGATAACAATTTTTGACGAAAATCCAACATATTTTACATCACAAGTAATATCTGATTCAGATGAGTCCGATTATACCTTAAGTTCATCGACATCGACACCAATAACCGGTACCGATAGCACCAACAACGTCAACAATCCATTGTTTTGGTTGCTATTACTAATTCTTGTCATAATTATCATCATTATAGTCATCCTCGGCATACTCTTTGGCAGTAAATAATAATAAATAAAAAAATATCATAACTGATCCCATCTTATAATACCTAATATTAATAATTTAAAATCTTCTTTTATTTGTTAGTATTAGTAGTAGAGTCTGGAAAAAAATCTGTAGGAGTTTCCCGAATCGACTCCTCATTAAAGCCTGCATCACGTGTTGTGTCCGAATCAAAGGTTAGGTCAAGAATATCATCGAAACCCAAGTCGTCGTCGCCATCGTCATCGATGTCGCCGTTGTCGCCGAAAAAGGTATCGAAACCAAAAGATACACCAATTGTTGGCAAGAAATCGACTTTACCCGAGAAAAGTATATCAATCAGATCGACCAATTGATATAACAATTTGTTTAATTAGTTTTTACCCATACATACAATAACTATTATAATAAATTACATTAAACTAATTCATCTCAGTTTGCATACAAACAAATGTGGTATTTGTTAGCATTTATTAAATATATGCAATTATTTTATTTCAGTAAATTTACACTAAAGTATACTGTAATATTAGTATTATTTTTTATAAATTTTTAAAAAATAGCTTATTTTGTCAATAAAATTTCTATTATTTAATTCCATAATAACTTAAAATAATATTTATATCTAATTGATTATTATTATTAACTGACGACTTAGGAGAAAATTTTTAAAAAAATTATTTTAAATTTTTATTTTTTATATGATATAAATATAAAAAAATATATGTATATTATTGATAAACCTTTCTAAATAGTTTAGAACTAAATTAAATAAATAAATAAATTATAATTAATGTTACTAAAAAAAAGTATGTATACTAATTATAAATTAATTATATCTACAATTATGACACATATGTGTTATTATATTTTATTTACAATAAGTGTTTATTATTATTATTATTATATATTATTAATATTATTAAATATTGAAAAATGCAATTCAATTACTAGTGAATATATTTGTAGATTAAACCAAGGTTAGTAGTTTTTAGTTTTAAATAAATTAATAAAAATTATTAATAAAAAACAATTACTGTAACCTACCTAATCAATAACAAACAAACAACAAAAGCATCGGTACGACCACTATCCCGGAGCAGTGGCCAACTTCGACAGTTTGGCAAAATTACGCTTCGGCTGATCGTCTACTATGACAAGTCGTTACTACAAAAATACAAAAACAATAAGTCGGCTCTTTATGACTACATCTATCGTGTTATGTATAGTATGGCACTTGTCTATCGTCACCGTACTCTACAGAAAGTGGCCAATTTTGCTATGAAAGTGGACCGCATCGGTGAATATCCCAAACCGATTAATGCCGTTCACGACGGCTATACTTATCGGCGATCATTTCGCAGTTGGTTTATAAATGAATCGGGCGGTCGGCATAAGTTGGCCAACAATTCAATGGTCATATTATTTACCGGGTATTATAATTATGCTGATAATAATAATTTGTAAAATATACTATAAAACTATAACTAATCTAATTTATTATGTTGTCTATCAAAAGTTATTTTTTTGCTATCATTTTTTCATTATAGATATAATTTTAGATCAAACGACCTGAGAATAACTAACTCTAAAACACAAGGTTTTTATTTTTTTTAAATATATTAAAATATGTATATTTTGTTAGTATTAATAATTCATGTGTTTGTTCAGGACTTACACTACAATAAGACACTAAATATTATCAAATAATATTAATAATTATTATTATTGAATCAATTATTTTATTAGGTTTAGCATATGTTGAAACTTCCTGTAACTGGATCTACACTAATGACTCTCGAAGTAAGTAATTTAATGATTGAATTTTATAATTATTAATTTACATTTAAAATAATATAATAATTTTTGTCAATTATTTATCTTAAACAATAAGTGGCCGAACCGTGCATACTGGTCGAGGCCCGATCCTATCGGGCCGTCTTTATTGCTGCTCACGAGTTGGGTCACACGTAAGTTATGCTATTAGTAGAAAAATTAAGGGCTAATAATTATAATTACTAAAAATATATTATTAATTATGAATTTAAACTATTAAAAAATTAGTCTCGGTATGTATCACGATGAAGGTGCCACACAAACAGTTAAATGTGGTAAAAATCACATAATGTCAGAGACTACCGGTTCCGGTAAAGTAACCTGGTCACATTGTAGTCAACAATATTTGAACAGATATATCATTGAAGCTAATAAACCAGTTAAGTATGTGATGTCAACAAAATAATTGATTTCAAAATAAATCAAATTATTTAAAAATAATTACATACATTAAAACATTAGTTAATTATTGTACAATTGTGCAGAGATTGTCTATTTAAAAATGACCATGCTCAATCATCATCAGCATCATCATCGTCGTATTCATCAGTAATTCAATTTCCCGACGATCCCGATATTAGTCCCGCTGTAAGGGATCCCAGAAATTATATGTCGACGAGTGTTGATCTTCAATGTCAGACAGCATTGGGATTGCATTTCAAATATTATCGCAAATCAAAATTTGTAAATAATTTACTTTTTGTTTATTTATAATTAATTAAATTGAATATTTAGTGTGATTTTTCTCTCTATTTGATAGAATATATGCAATCAATACATTGTTTGTACTAACGGTATGGTCAACATAGATATAGGTCCGGCCATTGAAAATACCACTTGTGGTGTCAATAGATATTGTATTGAAGGCAAATGCGATTAAAATAATTTATTTTAATGTACTTTTACAATTATAATTTATAATACAACAAATATAATAAATAAATAACTATTAAACAGTATATTATTACAAATTTTTGCAAATAATTTTTCAAATTATAAACATTTGAAGATTTTTGGAAATAATTAGTGTAAAAATTCTCAGTCTATTTGAAAATAGTTATTAAAAAACAATAAATTTACATTAAATATATTTTTTTTTAAAGTATTCAAGACCTATTCAATTAACAGATTATAAAATATGAAATAAACAGATATTAACTAAAGTTGTTAAAAAAACTAATTATAAGCGACTTCAGGTTAAAATCAGACATTTAATGATAAAATAAAATATTATGATAATTAGTAATTTAACAATTTTTTATAGCTATTAATTAAACAGTTAATTATTGTTTTTTATTTAATGCCAATATTAATTGTTTAATAATTTTCTATTAGTCTATTAGATTTACTTAAACTTTATCTTACAATTATTTTTAAAATATTAGTATATTTTATTTATTTAGTAGTTTAATATGAATATTTTTTTTAGTTCAACTTTATATACTTAATATTAATTGTTTTAATTTTTACAATCAATTTATTTATTTTTGTTATTAAAAAATTGGTTCTACTATTAATTATAAATATTATTATCACATATATAATATTTATATTCATTAATTTATTATTAATAAACTTTATGTACATTAAAAATCAAATAGCATTTATTTTTAAAATAACATTTTTACCAAAATATATGTATTTTTGGTAAATCTTATAAAACTATCTAAAGTTATTAGTTAAAGTTATTAATATTAATAAAATTAATTAATTAATTATACGTAATCATTATATAAGGCATGTAAAGTATGTATGTATACAAATTAATTATAATATTAATTATGACACATATGTGCTATTATATTTTATTTACAATAAGTGTTTATTATTATTTTTATTATCATATATTATTTATATTACTAAATATTGAAAACTGCAATTCAATTACTAATGAATATATTTGTAGATTAAACCAAGGTTAGTATTTAGTTGAAAAAATTAATATTATTAATGAATATATCTAATATAATTGTAAAAACAATTACTGTATAAATACAGTATATCTATGGTACTTTAACTAACCTATCTAATTAATAACAAACAAACAAAAAAAGCATCGGTACGACCACTATCCCGGAGCAGTGGCCAACTTCGACAGTTTGGCAAAATTACGCTTCGGCTGACCGTCTTCTATGACCAGTCGTTACTACAAAAATATAACAACAATAAATCGGCTCTTTATGACTACATTTATCGTGTTATGTATAGTACGGCACTTGTCTATCGACACCGTACTCTACAGAAAGTGGCCAATTTTGCTATGAAAGTGGACCGCATCGGTGAATATCCCAAACCGATTAATGCCGATCACGATGGCTATGCTTATCGGCGAGCATTTCGCAGTTGGTTTATAAATGAATCGGGCGATCGGCATAAGTTGGCCAACAATTCAATGGTCATATTATTTACCGGGTATTATAATTATGCTGATAATAATAATAATTTGTAAAATATACTATAAAACTATAAATAATCTAATTTGTTATGTTGTCTATCAAAAGTTATTTTTTTTTGTTATCATTTTATCATTATAGATATAATTTTAAATCAAACGACCTGAGAATAACTGACTCTAAAACACAAGGTTTTTGTTTTTCTAAATATATTAAAAATATGTATTTTTTGTTTAGGACTTTACTATAAGACTAAATGCTAACAAATAATTGAATCATTATTAGTATATTACTAATGATTTTATTTTTTCAAACGATTAGGTTTAGCACATATTAAAACTTCCTGTAACTGGATCTACTCTAATGACTTTAAATGTTAGTCAATTTAATGTTTAAATTTTACATATAATAATAATAATAATTTCTATATTAAAAATATTTATCTTAAACAATAAGCGGCTGATCCGTGCGCTCTGGTCGAGGCCCGATCTTTTCGGGCAGTTTTTATTGCTGCACACGAGTTAGGCCACACGTAAGTGACGCTAATAGATAAAAATTAAGGGCTAATATACTAAAAAATATTATTAATTATGAATTTAAACTATTAAAAAAATAGTCTCGGTATGTATCACGATGATGAAGGTGCCAAACAAACTGCAAACTGTGGTGAAAATCACATAATGTCAGTGTCTACCGGTTCCGGTAAAGTAACCTGGTCACATTGTAGTCAACAATATTTGAACAGCTATCTCATTGAAGCTAATAAACCAGTTAAGTAAGTGGTGTCAACAACAAAAAAATAGTTAATTAAATTTATATAATTCATAAAAATAGTAATTACATGGATTTGTCATGAAATTAGTTAATTATTGTACAATTGTGTAGAGATTGTCTATTTAAAAATGACCATGCTCAATCATCATCGTCGTCGTCATCAGTAATTCAATTTCCCGACGATCCCGATATTAGTCCCGCTGTAAGGGATCCCAAAAATTATATGTCGACGAGTGTTGATCTTCAATGTCAGACAGCATTGGGATCTCATTTCAAGTATTATCGCAAATCAAAATTTGTAAATAATTTACTATAAATTGAGTATTTACTGGAATTTTTTGTTGGAATCTGTGTTTTTTTAAATAATTTATTTTTTAAAGAAAAATATGGTATAATATTAATTTTTTGTGTAATTTTTTTTCTATATTTAATAGGATATATGCGATCAATTAATTGTTTGCACTAACGGTATTGTCAACATAGGTATAGGTCCGGCCATTGAAAATACCACTTGCGGTGTCAATAGATATTGTATTGAAGGCAAATGCGCTTAAAATATTGTCAAAATATTAGCATATAATATATTGATATTTTATTGTATTTTATTATATAATTTACTTAACAAAAATAATAAATAGATAACTACTAAACAGTATATTAGAGATACAGTTAATAAAAAATTATTATAAACATTTTAAACATTTTAGGAAATAATTAGTATAAAAATTCTTTTGTAATATTTGTCTATTTTTTTGTAAAAACATTAAATATGGTTAAAAAAAGATTAAGATTATAAATATAAAACAAACAGTAATTAATTAATTAAAATTGTTAAAAATAAAACCAATTATATTCGACTACTGGTCTAATATTGGCCGTCACTTCACTCACATCTGATTGTCCGCTCGCGGCTGTCGTCACCCGCATAACCATCAATTCAATCGACTGTCCATCGATTAAGTTATTCATTGCGTCGACCAATTGGACTGCACCGGTATATTCAATATGATTTATACTTAAGATTATGTCATTCAATTGCAATTGATTTCTGTTGAATAAAAAAAATATAATATATATATTTATAGATAAATATAAACAATTTTTTTAGTTTTAAGATAACACGTTATATGAATACTGTATGAATACCTGGCATCTGTGACATTATATGTAAAACCTCTGATGACATTACCCTTCAGTATAATACCTAAACTGTTTGGCCGTTTCAGCCGATTTTGTCTTTGATTTTTAATAGCTATGTATTCATTGGCCAGAAAATGACGGCCCTTATCAATAAACGCTATAAATGATTGATTGATTGATTATTAATATAGTGCAATAAATTAAGTGTAAATTTTTTATATAATTAAAATCTAATTGGACTGAGTTTCTAACAATAATGTTTACGACAATACCTATAGCATCGGTAGCTTTGGTGGCAAAATTGATTTTCGACTCAACAAATGCCAATGAAATGCCGACCACTTGACCGTTCAGATCAATAACCGGTGCACCGCCACAACAGTTGATTACAGTTGGCGACTGATAGGCAAACATAATGTCCTCATTGATAGTAACTTGTCTATTGATTAGCCAACTCCTACTTAGCTCACCCCTACGCGGCAATGAGCATACGATGCCGTACTGTAAAGTGCCAAACATATCGGCATTTCCCAGTAATATTACTTCATCTCCAATGTTGGGCACATTTTGCGACAAATCCATGGCTCTCAGCGAACCCCTAACATAGTCTGTCATACGTATGAGTGCCAAATCTATTTGTGGATCTACATAGACTACCTGTCCACTCATTATGCTTACTGGAGTCAAACTATTAGGTTTTCCTATTATTATATCCTTTTCATAGTATGCAGTGGCTAACTGTATGGTCACATTTGGACAGTCGGACACTAGATAAAAGTTGGTCAGTACCAAACCATCCATACTGTCCACAATGATACCGGTTTCCTGTAAGTGATACGATTCGCCACAGTTTGACATTTTTTTGCTAAGCACTTTGACCACTCGGTTTGAATAATTAGTGTATAACTGTTGTATGTGTTCAGCAGTGGTCAACATTTTGGCACATCTTAGCCCAACTACTACTCCTTTTCCCGATATCCGTGTTTGACAAAACTGTTGATAATTGTTAGACCAACGATGCTGATCAAGTCTAATAGTACTACCAGTTAGTGTCGACATTATAGGTATTGTACTGTATTTTTTTGGTAGTGGAGGGAATCATACAATAAAAGTTATTTCAAAATTAATATTTGCTAATTACTGAGTATTAAATGATAAATTTTTTTTAATTTTAAACTCAAACCATTGTATAATAGTTTTCCACTGTATATTAAGTGCCAATCGATGATACATTTGTAAATATATTAAACAGTATATACAGTATATTGAATATTACTAATTAAAAAAATCAAATGAAAATAAAACAAAATTTTCAATTGAAAAATTTGAATCAATTATCAAATTTAAAAAAAAATATTTAAATGTTTCTATTATTATTAGAGCGTTATTATAATCAGTAATTACTAATTATACATTAAGTCATGCTATTATTGCTTTAATTATTGCTATAAAGTTATTGATTATTATTTATTGTAATTATACTTGTATTTTATAAATACAGTACTATTAGTATATCCGCATCTGTAGTTTAGTTATAAATGTTTGATTGATATAATTTATAAGATGACTGTCCACATATGCCACACCCGTTATCGCCCATATTATTAGTGGGATCATCAATGTATAAGCAATAAAAATCAGTCATTTTATGACAAAATAACAAAATAATAATAATTTTTAAAAAACTTTTTGATATCATTATTATTTGTATAATTATTTACTATAAACCATTTATTTCTGATAAACTTTAGATTATTGAATAAAAATTAACCAAATATTTATGAAAATATTTATTTATAATTAAACACACAAAAAATTTTATGTTTTTCATTAATATAATTCAAAATTTTAGTAAATATAACGGAACTAATTATGCTTTTATTTAATTTAATTATATAAATTTATAAGATAAGATAGACTATCACTTGTAAAAAAAATATTTATTTTATTTTATTATAATTTATTTATTTACTTAATAATTAGTTATATTTTGCCGTTAGCTGTTCAATAAATATGAAAATTTTTTTATTATCTAGATTATTGACATCTGATATTTTTTTCAGTTAAATTTTAGTTTAATTAAGATCTAATATAAAGTGTGCAAAATTATGTTTTATAATATTAATATGTTAGTGTTATTATTGTTTAAATATTTTAATATATATTTTTTAAAATTAATAGATCACCATATTATGGGTATTATATAAAATACAATATATATATATATATATTTATTATATTAGCTTATTTATTTTAACTAGACTATATCCTAATAAACAGCATTGGTTGTAAATTTAATAGCTATGAATATACAGTAAATACTATAGTTTAAATAATGTATAATATATTAAACAGACAAAAAAAAATATGACATAAAATTGTAAGCAATTGATTCCCCCCCCCACCCACACACACACACACAGACAGACACACACACAAAGAGCACAGGTATGTCACCCGTGGCAACAAATTGGATTTCTTTGCAAAACAAACTACAGTATTATATTATTATATATATATGCGATACAGATATTGTATAAACACACACAAAACAGTAACCATCTAACACCTGCTCCCATATTATATCATATATAATACTGTATTTTTTTATTTAACAATAATATCACTCTATATAATGACCACTAAACTGAAAATTGCAGTATTTTTTGCCGCCAATGATATCAACTATAATAGCGATAACAGTGTAGAAGCGATAAATCTGTATAAATTGGCCAACAGTTTGGCTAATCTTGAGTTCCAGTTGTTTACCGATTTTGCCAAATATACAAAACTACGATTACTCGAGTTTGACACACCGGCCGGAAACGGTAGCCGCGAGATTGAACTTTGGATATATTACGGACCGATAGCATCGAGAGATGCCATACCTGCTGTTGTATTGTATGAATCGCATGGCATTGTCCTAATTGGCGACGACCCGACTGTGCAAAAGATTTTTACAGACATAAGAAAACCAATCATTTTGTTCAAAGAGAGAACTGGTTCTCAACAACAAGAGAGGAAAGGTATGCAATATATATACAATAAATTATATACAGTATATAAGTGATGAAAAAGTGAAAGTGTGTGTGTTTTATATGACTACCCCCTTAATGCCCTCATATTATACATAATACTATACTATATATATCTGGAGAGCATAGTCCAGAAAACTTGACTTACATATTGATTATCCAATACCATTACATACTAATAGATTCAATGACTTTCCTATTTTCAATATCCATACTCACATACATAGTATTATATACTGTGACCCTATTATCTCTGGACATGTCATAGCACATGAAAAGACCGGTTTTGTTATATGTATACCCCTTTCCCCACACATAAGAAATCTGATTTTTATTTCTCACTTTCGGAGTGTATTATGATATAACTCCCGGTGCTATTGATTAATATATATATATATATATTAGATATATTGTTACTTTTATGGTATTTCAAAAAAAATTAAGCACAAATGTTGAATTAAATTTTTTATTTTGCTTTATATTGAAATACTGACCTCATAGCTAATTGAAATATTTTTGTGAATTAACTTATATTATTATTATTAATTTTATAGTTTACATGTACTAAACATAATAAACTATTTATTTAATTATGTTTTTTTGTTTCATTTGTTAAATGTATTTAAAATATTTGAATATTTTTTATATAAATTATTTTTGAATGATGTTATTTAATAAATTACAGTAAATAAAATTAATTATACCATAATTATTAGAAATGCATTTATAATATAAAACGGTTCAATTAGTTTTTATAATTTATTGATTTATAAGGAAAATTACTTTTTTCAAAATAATAGTAATGTTTGTATTTATTATTATTGTTATTATTTTATATAAAAATAATTCAGATTCTAAGCAAGGTTATTGATAATTTTTTTTAATAAATTGGCATAATATATCAAAATAATAATAATAAATTTAAGTTTAACATATTTTTAATAAAAAACTAATAACAAATATAATAATTTTCAAAATAGGTAGTCCACTGATAACAACTGTTAATTACTCGACCATTGCGGACGAGATAATCAAAGATGAGTTTAACAAATGGCTCGAAACAACAGTTTCTGTTAAATGAGATACAAATGATTAGCGAATTGGAGAAATTGGTCGCCGAAGAGAAACTGAAGACCAGAGAACAGTTGGCAAAGAGGTTGTCATTGTCGTCGTCATCGGCGGCGACGAYGACGACTACAATGACGACAACGGCTACAGTGAATCCGTTGCAAAAATTTTATGCAAACTATTTGTCAAATTTGTCGCCGTTTGGCAGCTCATCGGCAAAGTGTTGCAGCAGTTATTCACTGACCAGTGCCGGTAGTGTCGACAGTGCCGGTTGTCTCATGAGTCCCGATGGCCATCCCGACACTATCAGCACTGGTAGCTATTATTCAAGTTCCTATTATGTCAAAAGTCCAGCTTTTTTGCTGTGCGAACCCAAACAGTTAAACATAAATACGATTAATAGACAAATGATTGCTGAAACAAATGAGTTGTTAGATAACCTGCAAATTGATAGTAACTGTGCTTTGAATAGGACTTACACTATAGACAGGTCTACATCGCCTGTGCCAACTGTGCCAGTGATAACACAAACTCAGTCACAATTAGTCCAGACTGAGACTCCTGACGAGGATGTTATGTCTAAAGATATGGATTTAATACAAGTGATGAGTCAGCTAATCAATGATTTAAAATTAATGCTTGAAAGTCATCAACAAATAATTAAAGACACGAAAAATGTTACTAAAATTAATAATGAAAATAATAATAATTTAAATTATAACAAATTAGTTATTAGTACAGCACAATCCACTCAAACTAATCAAACAGTTTTTGAGGATAAGGACATACAGACAGTTAGCAATGAATCATTGAATAGAGAGCTCAGGGATGTCTATTGTCAGTATAGATGTGATGTAAGCGATAAATGTCTAATGACTGATAATAACAATAGTAGTATTGATAATAATAACATTGTAGTCAATGGCGTTACACAAACTGATTCCCAAACAGATGAGGAAAGTTGTGTTATCAGTAATAGCTATGAGCTATCAATTGGTGAGATACCATGTTTTAAGGGACGTCGTATCAGTTATTGTTAACAAACTTTTGCTAATTTTTTAAATATATATTTATTTTTATAAATATTATATTATAATAATTATACCGCAATTTATTGCTAATTAATATTTTTAATATATCCCACATTTTTTAAAAAAATAATTAGTCATTGATATTAAGTTAGATAAACTTTCTAGAAATATATTATATTAATAAAATTATATTCAATTAAATATACTGTAATTTAAAAAAGTTTAACTTAAATTATAAACTGTCGTATATAAGAGTTTGAAAATATTTTTTATGTTAAATAATAATAATAATAGTAAATTAATGTAAACATTTTAAATTTTTCCACTATTTTTGTTTTTTCTATAATAAAATTAACACTGATATTATAATTTTATTACCATTCTATGAAAATTATATATATATATATATTTAATAGTAAAGAAAAAATATGTTTAAAAATTGATAATTTTGTCACTAAGTTGTAATATTACTAAAATAATAAGAATTAAGATAAATATTTAAATATTATTATTTTTATAAATAAAAATAAATTAAATTTATATCTATGTTTAAACATAATTATAATGATTTATGTAGTTATTTAAATATTTTTATTTTCTATTAATGCTACTAATAATAGTTATAAAAAAATATTATACAATGATATTTATATTGTATAAATGAAACCTATAATTTTATAATTAATTATTATTGACGCAAATTTATCGTATATATTTTTTTTCAATACATAACGTAATTGACATTAATTTATCCAATAATAAATAAAATTTATTTATGTAATACTGTAAATAAGTAAACTACTTAAATATTGAAATTAATTAAATATTCATAACATCTTATTGATTGTTATGTTTAGTATAATACTTGAAAATTAAAACTAAAAATTTTTTTTTATTTAATTTTATAATTATTTTTACATATAGAAAAAATAAATGATTCATACAATTTGCGATTGCTTAATGCTACTGTAATATATTTAATTTTTTTACTGATTATTGTATATATATTTTTTATAATTTATAAATTATACATAATATATATGTATATATAAATATATGCGCAAGGGTATCTTAAGTTTTTTTTAAATAATAAAATAACATTAATTGCTAAGCAATTAATAACAACACATTAAAAAACTAGTTTTCAATGATTTTTTGAAATGCATATATCAGATAAAATTATTAAAAGAAATAAAAAAACTAAAAGATAAAACAATGTTTTTTTAAAAACATAATCTCAATGAACCAGATTTACATCAATGTATATGAAAAATGTGAGGTAAATAATATAACATTTTTAAAAAACTAAAAAAATATGTTTAGAAATGTTGTAATAAATAATCATTATTTTTTGAAAATTGAAAATTAAATAAATGCATCTATTGTTTTTAAAAAATTATATTTTTTACAATTGTTTTAAATATTTATTTAAAAAATAATATCTATGATAAAAATAATTATATTATTATTATTATCAATAAAAAAATATAAACAATTAAATAGATGAATAATAATTAATATCCTCAAATGTCGTTGGGCAAATATATATTAATAGTAAAATTGATTGATTACCATAAGATGCTAAGAGTATGGGGACAGTTAGATTTGCAACAGGGATGTGTTAGATTTTTTAATATATATTTAAATAAACAATTAGCAATAATTGCGATATTTAGTGACGTATTCATGTACTTTTTAAAAATTAGTTAAAAAATAACTTTATAAATAACTCTTTACTCCTAAATAATTATACAAATATTAAAAAGTGAGTGAGTGAGTTATTGAGTGAGTGAGTGAGTGAGTGAGTGAGCAAGAGAGAGAGAGAGAGAGAGAGAGAGAGAGAGAGAGAGAGAGAGAGAGAGAGAGAGATCTGGTTGTCATTGATAAATAAAAAATTAATAATAATATTGATTTTGCAGTTAAAGTTCAGCCATATATACATACAAATATATATATATATATATATATATTGATAATATAATATAATACCAGTTTTGAATGTATAAAAAAGCTAATTATTTCAATGTCTTAAACGTTGGAAATAATTTTTATTTATCATTTTCTCATCAAAAATTAATAAAAAAAAAATAATAATAATGTTAAACAAATACTATGTTTAGTGCATATACTATACTATACTGTATTATAATATGTTGCTTACATTCACTGTTGAAAATTGATTCAATAGTTTGGAAAATCATAGGAGGGCTCTAATAACGACAACATACTGTATATACTACTACTAAGGGCACAAAAAACATGTTAAAAAACTATTATATACTGTAATGTATTTTAAATTAAAATACATATATATATATTGATTGCATATTATATTATTGTAGTGAAGGTAAACTACTTTCTCTCTCTCTCTCTCTCTCTCTCTCTCTCTCTCTCTCTCTCTCTCTCTCTCTCACTCACTCACTCACTCACTCACTCACTCACTCACTCACTCACTCACTTATATACACTTATTGAATCTCCAGTCACCTGAATCTTGTTTTGAGTGGCGATAACTTTTCGGTGATGATGTTTGAGAGAGAAAGTTAACTGAATGAGAGATCTCAATAAGCAATAGTAAATTAAAGAGGACTGCATTTGTATGTAAAGTATAGTACGGTATGTTTAGTTTGTGGTTATATCTTATTAAAAAAAACCTATAAACGCACAGTACGTGTGAACACTATTATAAAATTATTATAAAAAAAATTGAATAACATTTTATTGTAAGATTATTATTATAATTGTGTGTGTATTTTGTTATGTATTGAAGAAAATAAATAAATAAAACAATGATTACCACTAAATAAAGATTTTTGTCAGTTAATATAATATTTTTATTTATAATAATAATAATAAGTGGTTTGTTTTTTCTTAATATCATTGTTAATATAATTATTAAATAAAAGTCGTGTCTAATTTATAGGATAATAATACTACTAAACAAGTAATTTAAAGCATTTTGTTGTTGTTATATTGGGATACAAATTAATTTTTTTTCAATAAAGGTAGTGTATAAATTTATATATTGTATTTATTTTTAGTAACAATAATAGTGCAATAATAACTGTATAACTATAATACAGTAATATCTAACAGTTATGAATTTTATTTTAATTATTATGTTTATTAATTTTATTTAACAATTAAGTGTTAAAATTTTATTATTATATTATTATAACCAATATGTTATTTTTATTATTATTGATATATAACATAATTAATTAGCAATGTTGTTTTGAAAATGTTATACAAAAAAAAATTTATTTTCTTATGTATTTTTGAAATTTATGTATAACTTTGAAAATATATTGTATTTTAGACAACAATTAATTAGTTTATAGCAAAAAAAATGATTTTTTTTTCTTAAAAATGTGGTCACAATTTTTTTCTGGATACAAAAATTTATTAAAATTAGATATTTCCTTATAATTAGTGACATATAATAGATTATAGTGTATACAGTGAACACTGTATAGTATAGTGATGGGCATACAATATATAAAAATATATTTATAACTATAGTTATCTATAGTTATTAATAAATCCGGGTATTATTTAATAGTAATTATACTGTTAGGATAAAATAGTTTTTATTTTCAAAAAAAATTGCCTCAAATATTCTCTATGACTAATCTATAGCTGCAATTATTATTTACAATAATAATAGACAAATAATAATAAATAAATAAATTACAGCACATACATAATAATTATCATGGTTATTATTTTTTTAAAAATAATAAAAACTTAAACATACCAATGGGAAAATTTTTTTTGTACGTCAACCTTGCTATATGTGAATAATATAAAATACTTATTAGTATTATTATTATTTACTATTACTTTTTTATATTTTATTAATATTTTATTATATTTTTAACAAATTTGCTAATTTATAGTATTTTTAAATAATTTATATCTATTATAACTTATTGTAAAGTATCGGAAAAATTATTTTAAGTGCTATTAAAAAAAATAATAATATTTAGATTTTTTTCTAAATGACATAAAAACGATATTTAATATTAAATGTTTATTATTTAATTTATTATTTAATTGTTATTAATGAAATTACATTATTTATGATTATATACTATTATAATTTAAATTGTAATAAAAGTTTCAACAAAAATAATGTAATTATTAGGTTACCAATAGCATATTATTTTTAATAATATTTGTTATGTTAATTTTTTTGAAAGTATTTATAATTGCCATTAAAAAAATTATTGTTTGTTAAAAAATTTTGCTGCAAAATAAAATCGACATAAATATGTTATTTAGTTAAAAGAAAAATTATTTTATTTCTTTAACATATAAGCCATGAAAATGTCATGAAGTGCTGGTATAAGCCATGAAAAACTTGCTATTTTACCAAATGATAGCTAACTTTCCTTTTCAATAATAATAATAATACTGGCATTTAAAATACATATCCTTAATATATTATGTATAATACCTGTGCTTAGCGTTTGGGAGACACACTCTCTTAACCCAATTTGCAAAAATCAATTGCAAATAACTGTGAGGCGAAATCTCATATAAATTTTTATATATATATACAGTATAAATGATATTATGCTACATTATGTTTATGCACAGGTAAATTTATGTGTCTGTAAAGCCATGTGTAGTAGTAGTATATATTATTGCACACTGTATGTACTATGTACTGTATTTATTAAGATATAGTAATGCAAAAGTTTTAGTAATGCAAAATACATGGTATAAAAAATTACTTAATTTTTTTTTAAAACTTAAAATACTATAACATGAGACAAAAAATTATTTGTTTATGAGAAAACTGTTATACCGTATAAATTATATATTTCAATAATATTGTATATATAATAGTATTTTATGTATGTGTGTATTATATTTTTTATTAAGCAATAAATGATAAATTAATTGATAACAATAAATAAATAGTTGAGACAAACTTCCGTTTTGTTGGTTTAAAACAAATAAGATCTACTGTATGTCCATTCAAGTGTATAAAATAATAAATTATTTAAAATAATTATATATAATATAATAGTGTAATATTTTTTTCCAGTAAAAAATGTATTTATACTGTGTATATAAAATTTCTATTAAAATTAATTACTGATGAATATGCATTAACAAAAAATAACAAATAATAATAATAATTGTAATAATAAAAATTGTATAATAATTATGTTTATTGGGTACGCTTGATTATCAAACTTAATTATTGTAATTACAATAAGTTTTTTTGTGAAAAAAATCAATTGTCATTAAATAAATTAAGGAATTATATGATTGGATAATAATAATAAATTAAATAAATATTATATATATACTTCATATATTGGATTAGTCATAAAATTAGTAAAAATATTATATTTTGTTTATACAGTTGGCATTTACATGTAATATTAAAATATGATTTTTATAAAATTTAATTTTACATTTTGCACACATTTGACAAAATTTAAGGAAATTAATAATTTTATTGATTAACTAAATTGTGACCACATTTGAATAACAATAATGATAAACTATATATATATATATTTATTAGTTATGTTAACATTGAAAATATTCTTTTTTAGATATACAGTAAAATCTAAAAAATTATTTGAATAAAAATATTTTTAAATATTTTCAATATAAAATTATTTTATTTATACAGTAGTTTATAATCAAAAAGTTTAAACAATTTTTCAATTTTTAAGCATAAATAATATAAATTATTATTTTCTTTACGATTAATCATACTTTATACTCTATGATGTTTATTTTTAAAAATAATATAATTAAAAATAAATTATTAATATAATATATATTTCAATTGACAATTTTAAGATTTAGTTTGTCTATAATATGTACAGTATGTGTGTTTGTGTTATTAAATATAAATATTTCCACTATAAAACAATAAATTAATACACAGTATATATGCAAACTAATTTTTAAATTATAAAGCCATCAAATATCCTAAAACAAAACGATATTAAACCAAAATATTATTTTAATTAATTACAAAGAAATAGTGTACAGGTAATCAATGTATTAGAGTAATCAATGTATAAACTTAAAAGTATTAATAATAAATATATTGTTGTAAACACATAGACCATAGAAAATTAAAACTGTTGTTAAATAGGATTAACTATTTTTTTTTAATAAAAAAAATTAGTAATCAATAATTGCATATTTAATACATATATGTATATACCGTATATTATTAGTCATATGTTTGTATTTGCCATAATTTTATTTACTGTATATTTTTGTTGCTGAAAAAAATATATTGAAAACTTTTTTTGAAAGACAGGGAAAGTACGGGAATATATTATCGAAAAATGCAAAACAGGTTTTTTAAAAGATATCAGTGATTGAAAGTGAAGGTGCCATTAGCCCTGACTGTATATTATTACTACATTGGTACTGCAATCACCCATTGCCGTGAAAAAACATACACACACACACATACACACACACACATACACACACACACACACACACACACACACACACACATACATACATACATACAGCAAAACTACCTAAGCTTATAATATAAGTATATCTACTCTCTCTCTCTCTCTCTCTCTCTCTCTCTCTCTCTCTCTCTCTCTCTCTCTCTCTCTCTCTCTCTCTCTCTCTCTCTCTCTCTCTCTCTCTCTCTCTCTCGTCTCTCTCTCTCTCGTTGAAAGCTTTGATAGAGGTTTTTAAGTATAAGCTATTTCTTTTACGGGGACAGGTTTGCTGGTTCTCTCTCTCTCTCTCTCACTCTCTCAGTATGTGTTTGTTTGACTGAATGATAGATAAACATGCAATGAAATGGTGGGAATTTTGATGCTAACTTTCCTCTTAATAATATAAAAAAAATAATAAAATAAAATTATTTGAAATTTTATATAGTTGAAAGAGAGTGAGTGTTTTTGTGGTGGTGAGAGGACAGTCGGATAATAATAACAACGACAACAACAAATAGTGAACAATATGTTGAAGAGTCCGTTTACTAATCATGCGTTCAAGTCGGACGAAGCCGACGTAGTGGCCATCAACGATGACCGACACGCGTCGCTCAGCAAATTTCAACGACTGACCAGTCATGACCTGTCATCGGAACAACAGCTCAACAAACATCCGCAGCTAATGCTGGCCAAACTGGTCGAAGAAACCGAACGAACCAATGGTGGCTATATTAACGAAGCTATGGTTATGGGTGATGGCGATACCGGTACTCCGGTCAGTGGTGCTGCTGCTGCTGCTGGTGGCGCACAGCCTCGCGACATCAAACTGGCCATCGATGGCGGCCAACAAATTGACGGCAAAGTGGCTGTCGATGTACGCGACGTAACCTTTACCTATGGTTTTGGTAAAAAATCTTTGTTGACACTCAAGAAGATCAATGTGTCGGTACCTCAGGGAAAGATCTATGCCTTACTTGGATCCAGTGGTTGTGGTAAGCATTTTGTTTATTATTATTATTTTAAATATTCATAAATCACTTGTAGTTTAGTTTAGTTTTTTTTTGATTGTCTCTTATCTAATGGTGTCTCTGAAAATAAAAATAATATGTGAAATATTATAATAAATTTTTTGTTTGTTTTTTAATGTTTATAATTTCACTGTAGGCTATATTTTACCGTATTAGACAACTTATTAGTTTTTTATATCAAATTTTTTTACTATATTTTATAATTAGGATAAAATGTTTAAAATTTATTTTTTATATGTATGTTTGTATGTTTATAAATTTCAACCATATATTTATTTTTAAAATTTTATATTTTTATAAATATTTTATGTGTGTGTGTCTCAGTTGCATAACTATGGTTAATATATTATAAATTATAAATAATATATAATTTATATATATATTGACAAACATATGGGAAGTAAAAATATTTGACATCAATTTTATATCTAATAATATTATACAGGTAAACCAAAAAAAAATATATGACAGTTTTAAATAAATATTTAAGACAAATTATAAACAATTTCAATTTCATTAGATTTTTTATATTGATATGTTATGTTTTTATAAAGTTATATATTTATATATGTCAATTAAATTTGAAATGTTTTTCACAATTATTAATTACTAGCATTTTATTTTAGTGTATCTTTAAATAATATCTTGTAGACAGTAATTTACTAATTTTAAACAATTAACTAAATAATAATGTTAATTAGTTAATAATACTATATTATTTTTCTAATTTGTAAATAATTTTTTACAATTATTTTTTACAATAGTAAAAATCTAAATATGACTATTTAGTTTTATTTATTTATAAATCTTATTGTATTATTATTTGAGTCAATAATTATCAAAAATATTCAACTACAACAACAACAACAAAAAATGTTAGCATTTAATAAATTCTAGTAATTTATTATTTTTTTTATTGAGTCATAAATAATTTTTAAAACAAATAAAATTGATTTTAAGTATTATCAATTTTTAAAAAATAGTAATAATCATCTATTAATAATAATATACTGTATTTGACATACTGTTATTAGGTATTAAAGGGAAACTACCAAAAAAATTTCTAGTAAATTGTAGTCATTAATTGTTTTTAAAAAATTTATAATTAACTTTATATAAAAATTATATAAAATATGATTCAGTTAAATTATTGTACCATGTTGAAATAATTGTATTATTTTTTAAAAGTAATATACAGTATAATTATTATTTTTTATTTTTACTTATGTACTGTGTAGGTTAAATCAATTATTATTAATAATAATATTATTATTATTTCATGAAATGTTAAATAATAAGCATAAATACAGTATTAAAAAATGCCCTCATAGTTAAGTGCAAATTATGCAATTTATCAGTATCATTTTTGTTGTTATATGAACACATTAATTGACGTTAATAGCTAATAACAAATGTTTTGATAAATTTACAAGTACATTTTTTAAAAAGTAATTTGAATATTTATTTTTGTTGTTATTATTGTTATAAATGTTTTTAAAAATAAGCTAAATTTATAAAAATATTTTTTAAAACTGTCAATTTATAACCTTAAATATCTATTTTAATTTGATTAATCAATTTTGAATGTTTTGTTGAATTTTGTTTTTGCTAAATATTTAGTAATTAAATCTTATAATAATAATAATACGATTGATTTTGTTTAGTTAATACGATTTATTTAAGTATATAAATTTATTGATAATTTTATAATAAAACCAGTTTTATTTAATAACATTGAAATATTTTTCAATTTATTTTCCCTAAATATAAAGATCTAAATTATTTTATAATATATATAAAATAAGTTTGTTATTCAAATAACAATTTTTTTCGATATAAAAAATGATATACAATATATAAAACTATATAAATTATCATTTAATATTATTTAATATAGTAATTACATATATTCTAACAATTTTTATATAAAATATATAATTACTGTATTATATATCTTAATAGATTTACGTTAATGATATTTTTTGCTTACTTATAATAATACATTAGATATTAAATACTAATAATTTTTAATTACTTTGTTTTGACAAAATACTAAAATAACAAAAACTAATAATAATCTAACATTTATATATATAAATTAATATTAAAAAATGATGCTAACAAATTATTTACTTAATATTTTTATTAAAAATTATTATTTTCTACCATTATTTAAAATTTTGTTTGAAAAATAATATTTAGCCATTTAATTTTATATGATATTCAAATTGCAAAATAAATAAAAATATTTAAAGTTTAAATAATACCCTCAAAATAATCGCTAAAACAAATCTCTCATTTTATTAAATAATTGTTTTATATGATATATAGTATATATATATTATATACTATTCAGCCATAACTGTTTTTATGACTTATTTTGTTCATTAAAACAAAAAAAACAAAATATTATATAATTTTTACACCAAATTTTTGTTGTTGTTGGTGTTGTCGCTGATTATCTAATAACATAATCAACAAATTGCTGTTCAAATCAAAAAAATAATTTAAATACTTTAAATCATAATAATAACAACAACAACAACGCCTGTTGTGCTCCCAATTAGTTTAGGGTTTATGAATGTCATTGAAATAAATAAATTATACGATAATTTAAGTTTTAAAAAATTTAGTTAATTAAGAAATTTTTTTTTGTTTATTACCTTTATTATTTATATTATTTTGTTTGTTTAGATTAATTAATTTGTTTATTTTTATACTAATTTTCAGTTATAATGATACTAATAAATTTTCTAAAAAATCTATTCATCTTCAATTAACTAAAATGATAATCAATTTTGTTAAATTAAGTACAGTATAAATATTAAAAGTAAAATATACAGTTAATTAACCATTAGTTATGTAGTGGTAGTAGTTATGTTAAAATTGATAAAAAATTAATTCAATAATAAAACTTATTTGCCTTTATATGACTGGTTAATTAAATCATTTTGAAACAAAATTTTTTTAATAGTTTTTTTATATAAATATTCAGTATATATATAAATCTTATAAAGTTAGTAAGTTTTAGAATCACCTTGACAAAATTATTTATTAAGTTATTTTTGTTTGATAGCAACAAATATGCTAATAAATATTATTTTATTTATTTATTTATTTTTTACTTTAAGGCAAAACAACATTATTGAGATGTGTTTTGGGTCGACTGACACCGCAGTCGGGAACAATTCGGGTGTTTGGCCGCGAACCCGGTTCCGATTACAGTCCAGTACCCGGTCCTGGTGTCGGCTATATGCCCCAGGAGTTGGCACTGTTTCCCGATTTTACAATCAAAGAAACGCTTAGATATTTTGGACAACTGTACCGAATGTCGGCCAAAGATATCAAGTCGAGGACGAAATTTTTGATAACACTCTTACATTTACCCGAAAAAAATCGTTTGGTATCACAACTGTCAGGTTAGTTGTAGCTAAAGAAATGGACAGTTGTGTCAATTTGTTTTTTACTAATTTTTGTTTTACTTTTTACAACAGGTGGCCAACAGCGTCGTGTATCGCTTGCCTCAGCACTGGTACATCATCCGCCACTACTCATTCTGGACGAGCCTACCGTCGGTGTGGATCCGGTATTGCGTAAAGCCATTTGGGAGCACTTGGACGCTCTATGCAAAGAGGACGGTCTGACAGTAATCATAACAACTCACTATATCGAAGAGGCCCGAACTGCCGAAACGGTAGGTCTGATGCGTTTCGGTCGACTACTGGTTCAGGACAATCCCGATCGTCTACTTGAACAACACGATTTGCCAACACTGGAGGCTGTATTTCTCAAACTATGCCAACTGGACTCAGCACAGATACCCGAAACTAGCAAACAGGATGCCATGAGATATAGCGCACCGGATGACAAAATAACAATATCGACCATCGATACGGAAAAGAAAAATCTGAAAAATTTGACGACAGGTGCCGGTGAGGACAGTCAGAGTAAAGATATCAATGAGAATATCGAAATGACTATCACTAGTACTACGATGACAATCGCCAACAAACCAGATGACAGTACAGAAACAAATAATAACAATATAAGAGAAGTCAACAAAGCAGGTAAGGCATAATCAATAGGGAGGGATGGGTAGAGATGGTTAGACTAGTAATCAGTGATTAGTAATCGATGTTTTATTTTAATCTGTATTTTTCAGCCAATTTATTAGTACCGGCCGTTCCGTCGACATTCAAGGACGTGTCGGCCAACGCTACGCCATCCTGTCTGACGCCTCGTATGTCATTCAGCGAAAAGTCGACCGACAGTCCCGTCGGCACACAAGTAAACATACCGTCCGGCAAACGGAAAGCCTTCGACGTGAGCCGTGTCTACGCTTTGTTTGTCAAAAATATCATACGATTGAAACGAAATGTGCCAATACTTTTGTTCTACTTTTTCCTACCGTCCATCCAAATCGCCCTGTTCTGCATATGTATCGGTCAGGACCCGAAAAACATACCGGTAGCCGTCTACAATGCCGAAGACCCGCCCGGCCTGTCAGCCGAGTATCTATCGTTTGTCAACAAAGATATCGTAGTACAGGTTCCCTATAATTCACTCGAAGAGGCCAAACAAGCGGTCATAGATGGCAAAGCCTGGGCTGCCCTACATTTTTCGCATAACTATTCCTATGCACTCAATCAACGAAGAGTTTTGGTAAATAATAATATACAGAATATTTTCTACTTTTTCATAACTAACTAATCTTTTTTAAACTATATAAATAAAATGACATCCCATTCCCCTTTCACTTATAGGCAGGAAATGCTGATAACGACACAATCGAGTCATCCAACATCAAGCTCTACCTGGATATGTCTAACCAAGTAATCGGTTTTGTATTGTTGCGATCATTTTTCCTGGCCTTCCAGACTTTTGCCCAGGACTACCTGTCCCTATTGGGCTACAATCCGGCCACTGTAACACTACCCATTACAATCGAAAAAGTCATCTACGGTAATCTACATCCGTCGATGACCGAATTTATGGCACCGGGTGTTATCATTTTGATTGCCTACTACGCTACCACTGCTTTGACCGCCCTGTCTCTGGTACTCGAGCGCAAGGACGGCCTACTGGAACGATCGCTGGTGGCCGGTGTAACCAGTATCGAGTTTTTGGCCTCTCATATCATGACCCAGACACTGGTGCTTACCATACAGGAGGTGTTTATGTTGATCACCACATTCTATCTATTTGGCGTACCCTCAAAGGGACCGATGATTTGGGTCTTTTCATTGACATTTTTCCAGGGTATGTCCATAATTGGCTACTTGTCCTTAACATTGATTATCATTAGTAGATTAAATGCAAACACACACATAAAACAATAGAAATGTTTAATATTGATAAATAATAATTATAATGAGTGTATGTATGTGTGTGTGTGTGAGTGTTAAGTAATAAACATAAAAGTGTGATAAACAATACAATTATAGTTATTATTATTATAATAATTGCTAAAAGTTTTTCTTTAGTGTAATTTTTTTTAATGATATTTTGATTTTTGATGACATGCTATGAGTGAATATAGAATTTTGTTTTTTAATATAAATAATCTATTAATGTATAAGTTATTGCAAATTATAGTTTTTTGAGATTTTGTTTGTTTGCTTGGAGGACAACCACACCATTAGTTTTAATAGGTTGTGTGCCATTGAATAGAGAGAGAAAGAGAGAGTACATCACAATTATCACCTAAAATGGTTACATTTAGTTTTTTTTAAATGAAAGTTTATTGGCAATTATGACCAACTCTAGAGAGAGAGAGAGAGAGAGAGAGTAATGTTTATGCCCTCATTAAACTAGTTATGATAAAAGTTAAAAACAAATCTATAAATTATTTATTAGTAGTACTTATAATAACAGCTATTTAGCGAAAGTTGTTTATTTAACTTAAATGTTTGGTTTTTCCTAACCTAACCGTTCAATGATACATAGCATAGATAATTGACAACATATTACACTTTGTAAATTATGTTAATTTAGTTTTTAATATATATTTATTTTTTGTTGTAATTAGGTGTGGCCGGAGTCATGTTCGGACTGTTCATATCCTCCCTGTGCGCCGATGAGGTATCGGCCGCTATGTTAGGTATGGGCTCGTTTTTCCCAACCATTATGTTGGGCGGCATTTTCTGGCCAATTCAATCAATGCCCGATTGGATGGCATCGTTTGCCTCATTCCTGCCCCAGACACTACCGGTAGAGTCGATGCGATTCATACTGTCCCGGGGCTGGGATGTAACCTATATCGAGGTAGTCATGGGCTTCATAGCCACCTGGGGCTGGATTCTCATATACCTCGTGGCCGCCGCCTTTATCTTCAAAAAATATACATAAATTAATTAATTATTAAATTAAAAAATATTAGTTATTAGTATTATTATTATTAATTATTTTAATTTGTGAAAAAAGCTTAATAATTATTATGTGAATGAGTTAATAATTTTTACATTACTTTTTATTATTATTATCATTACTTTTAGTATTTTTGTGACAAACAGACAGTATTTCTTAATATCGGAAATCCTATGCTTTTTGATTTTATAGATATTTTTATTTTAAAATACAATTATATTTTTTAAACAAAAGAAAAATACATTTGTTTTTAAAAAACACAATTTCGTACAAAACATTTTTTTTTTAAATTACTGTATGTTATTATAGTCGTCTATACATTATATGATATATAAAAGTGAATTACATAACTAGTTAATTGACGCATAATTTTTAGATATAACTTAATAATGAATTAATTTTTTATAATAATAATAAAATATGTTATCATAAATAAACAATAGTTGTTTATAATCCCAACTATTTTTGAAAAAATAATAATTTAGAGACATTTGTCTTATTAATGCCATTCCTATTTGAAAAACAACATATTATTAGATATTTAAAAATTATTTTGTTTTTTTTTAATAATTACTGTATCTATTTTGTGAATGTATTGTCTCTATGTTTGTGTGTATTTGTATAGTTTTTTTTATTTGAAAAAATTAAGTTATTATAATAATTATTTAATAAAATAAAGTTATTTTGTTTTTTTAATTAATTTTGTTTCTTTATTATACAGAATATTAATTTTTTTAAATACTAAATTTACTATTTATACGAAAAACCATTAGATAAACCATATTTTTATTTATTTATTAATTAACAGATATTTTCTTAAGAAAACTTTGTATTAAGACTTCATTTTTTTGATGATTTTCTAAAAATGTTATTTTTAGTATTGGTTTAGTTTAATACTACTACAAGTGCTTCAAATGCTATTTTTAACATACATTGTTACTACTAGTAATTGCCAAAAAAAATATCATTACATTACATAACAAGTTTTAATATAAATAATACAATTGAATTTATATGAATTTACTAATGAATTTATATAATACTAACTAAATTTTCAATAGATTTTTTGTTTAATTGTAAATGTGTACCAAAAAAAAACTTAATGAAATTTAAGTTTAATTCAATTATTGTGATCAAAGTTTTTTAATAAATTATTTAATATTAGAAAATAAATAATGAATATTAATTTTAACGGTTCAACAATGCCTACAATTAAATCGTGGTTTATTATGATGTTTACAATGTTTATTTGGTTAATCATTGTTAGTTTAGCCAATAGTTATCCTAATGTTTGTGATATAGTAGTACCAAATGGTGACTATAGGGGTGTACGTGTTTATCGGCACTGGATATCCGATGGGTTTGCCAGTCGGGCCAAAGTGACATCAAAATTAATAATGTATACAAATGGCAGTCAATGGGAACTTAGTGTAGACAGAGATGACATCGGGGATTGGCATATCTCAGTTGATGAGAGCACCTACAGGTCGTACGATAAGCATATTGCTAATAGGTTTGGCGGAATCAGCTTTGAATGGTTTGATAATAACCGGCGATACCATCCCGAGGCTTACTATTGTGAGGTGTCATATGTGGTCAGTCATAAACCAGCAAAATAATAATTAATATTAAATTTGTTATATTTATATATCATAAATATTTTATTAGCATAGAAAACATGCCAACAAAAGCGTGTCCATGAAGACAGACTGTTGGACGCCAAAGCACAGAGATAGGGGAATGTTTACCGATGATGATGTCCATCAATACAATCCCGAAAATATCATATTTAGTCCGACAGTAGTGACAGCCAAACGCGATAATCGTTATCATATAATCTATGATAAGCTGAACAAAACGGCTGAGATATTGCACGTCAACCTACACTATCAATTGCCTCCTATGGCCGAGGACTGGCTGCTTGTATACGACTATCGGGAATGTGATAATAGCAGCAATGATAGCCACGAAAGTGATGAGATATGTTGTCATTATGATAAATGCCGAAGACCTCGATTCGTGGATCTGATTTCCGACCAATTGGTCGACAGCTTAGACGATATCGTTGACTACGAACCGGATGGCAGTTATTATATCTTGTGGTTTACAATCAATGGCCAACCCATGTATTGTCTTACACGAGAAGGACAGCCACTATCGGATCAGGTATTCAAAAAAAAACTTAACTGTTATATACTGTACAGTAGTATTAATGATTAATTAATTAATAATATTTATGTTTAATTAAAATTTTAGTGCAAATCTAGTGAAACGTTGAGACCATTTCTGGATCACTGTTTCACAAACAACACTAACATCACGTCTAACTTTATCAGAGCTCAGGTGTTATCGAAAGCTGGTTGGACGGCAACGGTAGCCGTAATTTTAATTATTTTGGTAATCGTTGGCTTAACGGCCACTGCCATAGACTTGATAATTATTAGACATAGGAGTCGACAATTGAAAATTAGTACCGAAGCCGATGATAGGCCGTTCAAAGAGGTGGTCGTGAGTAATAATAATACTAATAATAATAATAACATTAATAATTTTAATAATATTATTGTTACACATAATAATAACAGACAAACTAATGATTGGTTATAATTGATTTATAAAATAATATATATATATATATATATTTGTGTCAAAAATTTTGTATAATTTTTTTGTACTTTTTATTTGTTAACCATTGATTTCATAAATTTAAAAGAATATTGTTTATTACCCCTACTTTATAATAATTTATTATTTAATATTATTTAGGTATTTATGAAATTACAAAATTTACAAATTGTGATCATATATAGTTTTTAATAATAATAATAATAATAAAATTAAAATGTTTAAATAAAATTGTAAACTAAAAATTGTACTTGTCAAAAAATATAGATTGTGATAGATGAACTTAAATATATGATTTACATGCTAAATTTATTTTTAAAAAACTATAATAATATAAACTGTAATAGTTAATCTAAATAATAATTTATATGAAAAATGTATTACAAAAAATATGTATTATTTTATAATTTAGATATTATTAAGCAGTAAATAAAATTTATTAACAATTGCTTGAATTTTTTTTGACAATTCCTTTAATATTTTATAATATAATAATAATATGATTTCAAAAAAAGTATTATCAAGTATTGATAAATATTTTTGATAACTATTTGTTTTACTAAAAATACAATATAAATGTTTAATATATTCATATCTATTATAGCCTATAGTAAATAATAAATGTGTTAAATGTTAAAATAATTAATATAACTTATAAATTATATCACTATTTATATTAGATTTATAACCTACACAACAGATATGTATTTATTATTAAACTTAAATTTGATTAATTACTATTTATTTTAAAATCTAATAATTGTTTTGATTAAACTTATCACATCCTGTATAAACAATTTTTTAAAAATATAAAACAAAAAAAAATATAAATGAGATCATCAAAAAATATCAGTTTTATAAGCTTAAGATAATACGGTATATTAAAACAATACTTATCTATTGATGAGTAATTTATTTATTTAGATAAATAACAGTTAAATTAATTTAATATTTATGTTATTTTAACAATTTTTTATGATTTTGTTTTATTTATATAAAAATAAATCTAATAAATTCTATAAATGAGATTATATCTAAATATAATATTTTTATTTATACAAAATAGTAATAATAATAATAAATAGTAATATTATTAAGTATTATTATATTAATATAAATACGTATAAAATTCATGTTTTATGATACGAAATATAACTATACAATAAATGTTAAATCAATTTTAATATTTATATATTCATAACTTACTGTAAATTATATGAATCATAAGCATCTCATATATACAGTAATCGCATGAATAAAATAACAGATATAATAGTTTTACAATTATTACATATATTTAGGCAAACCTTTAGACCTTTCAAGTACTCAAATAACAGTATTTAATAAAATATATAATATTCAATTGAATAAAAATTTTATTTAAAATTAATTTTCATGAAAGTAATAGTAAGCTAACAGTGTTTGTGTTGCTGGTTGTTTTCTATGATATATTGAAAACTAATTTACCCAGATGTTTTATGTTATGTAATACATGTTAGGGCTATCGATCATTTAAAAAATTTGTAAAGTTTATGTAATTTATATATATATGTATATATGATGCCAAAGTAAAGGGTGGTTACCCATAGAGATAAATGTGTATTTAGCTATGCTGAGCACTAGACAAAAAGGACAGTTAGTTTATGTAATTTATTATACACTATTACATAGCCGCACACAGACACTGAGTGAGTGTGTGAGAGAGAGAGAGAGAAAGAAAGAAAGAGAGAGAGAAATGAGAGAGAGAGAGAGAGAGAGAGAGTTTAAAAATAAACGATAAAAATTGTGAAAATATTTTTGTTAGTCAAATGTAATTTTAGTTTTTTTTCACAATAACTGTCTGATAGTTGTAATGTTAACCCTATTGGTTGTTAGTCAGTATCAGACATAAATACCAGTGCTATAAAAATGCAAATGCTTTTAGACTACTAGTGATAACATACAGAATATATGTAATCAAATTAACTAGGATTACCAAATAGATTTTTTTTATTATTAAAAAATTAATTATAACATATATATTTTTGATTTAAAAAAAATTATCATCGAATTATTATATTATCAATTAGTTTATATAGAAATTAATTTCATTACTAACACAAATTTTCTAAACATAAATAAAATATAAACTAAAATTAAGTCACTAAAAAAATTAATTATAAATATTTGCCTATAATTTACAATTTTTGTAACTAATAATTTTCTAAAAAAATATGTTTGTCACAAAATAATTATGCAAAATCATAAAATAATAATACTATAATAAATAAATAAATCAACATGATAAAATTATGATTAGATTGATCTTGCTAATAGAATGATTTTTTTTAAATCTGTACATAATATTTATGGTAAAATTTGCTAATTTGACAATACATTATCATATAATGCTGTATTTGTATTATACAAATAATATTTAATATTATATACAAATTATAGATAATATTAAATATTATATATACGGTATAAATGTCTACATTTGGTCACTCTATTACTATTAGAATATTATAAATACAAACATTCAATATGTGTTTGACTGCTATTTCAGCCATTGGTTGTTTGCCAGTAAATAGTGTGACTGTAATAATAATAATAATAATAATAAAAAGTACACAAACTGTAAACTAAAATAAAAAATTATTATTATTCAGTCAAACGTCACACACGTTAACAACTAAAACCTTTTTTTTTTTTTTTTTTTTTTTTGAATGACTGAATGACTGCTTGTGTAAGAGTCTGGCATTGATTTGTTGGGAAGCAATTGATTGCTAAAAGAGAGTAAAGAAAGAGAGAGAGAGAGAGAGTGTGTGTGTGTGAAGGGTTGTCATCAACGAAGTCGTCGATAAATTATTTTTTTTTCGGTCACTTCAACAACTGTATCCAAAACAACTGATCCATTGATATATACACTACTCTATTCCTAACGCCACCGCCGCCGACACCACTACCACCAGTGCGAAGATGGGCGAAGACGACTGCTGTACAACGTGTTGCAAATGGGTGTGCGCGTGCACGTGTCCCCCGTGTGCCGTACTCTGGCATCGGGGCTGTTCCGGCCAGTTCTGGTTGAATATGTGTCTAACACTATTCGGTTGTATACCCGGCTGTCTGCACGCTTGCTGTGTGGTCAACGAAGATCGTCACGAACACGCTGTCTATGTTAACACTACAGTGGTTGCACCGCCGATGATGGGACATCATCAGCCCGGATCGACCAATGTTGTACTCAATCAGCCGCAACAACAGTATCCGCCGCTACAGTACCCGATGGGACCGGCTCAGCAGCCGCTAATGGGCAATCCTACAGCGCCGCATATGTATCCGCCTGCCGGTGCCACTGGACAGCAGCAGCCGCCGCCCGCCTACTTTCCGACGGATAATCCCTATGGAGATAAGTTTTAAAGAGTCTACGGCAGCGGTTAGTATTGATCCCGACATCTCAGTGTTGGTCACACACACATGTAATTTGATGGACAGTTAACCGAAAAAAAAACTTACTTTATGTGTCATTAGTGATACTGTATAACAGTATGCTTTAAATATTATTATTATTATATTTTTATTTTTTTTTAATTATTATTATTGCATTTCATTATTATTATTATTATTTAATAACATTATTTGTTATTTTTATATTTATATTTATGATATATATAATTACCGGTAATTTTTTTTTCTTTCTAAATCATTTCTATTGAATCAGTTATTCAATTATTTAGTCAATTATTTTAAGCAATTAATTAATTAATGATTCAATCAATATGTTTTAGCATTTTGTTTCAAGTCTATTGAATTACACATATTTTTTGTTATTTTGTTTGTTTGTAATAAATCTCATAATTATGGTAAATGTGAAATAATTTTATTATAAATAATGATATTTTATAATTGAAATCATAAACTAAATTTATAAAAATATATAGTTAATTAAATTTATTAGTTAATGATTGATAAACTATTGATTTTAAATGTTATTTTTAAAAAAAATATATAATGATATAAAATATCAATATTACATATTAAATCATATACTATAATAATATGTTATCTTCTAATTAATTTTAAAAAATATTATAATAAGCAAAACTATTTTGTATTAAAACTATACGGTTTATTAATTTACAATTAAAATTTTTAACATAATTTTGTGCCCATATTTTTGATTAAGATTGATTGTTTTGCTAATTTTTTAAATAAAAATTAAATACACAATGAATTTAATACAAATAATTATATAGTTAATATGAAAAATATATTTTTTATTTATTCATTAATATTAGACAATATATATATATATATATATATATATATATATATATATAGAGAGAGAGAGAGAGAGAGAGAGAGTGACCTATAAAATGATGTGATTTATAATCACATTGTATTTCATCTTTTTTTAATTGAATTAGTAATTTTCAATATTTTTATATAAATGTTGTTTTCTTTAATTTTATAATTTTCAAGTTGTATTTGAAAACAAAATTAATAAACATTTTGTTTAAATAATATATATATATATATATATATACTGAATATACAAAAATGCATACTTGTATTTGCTATTGAATTACATGTTTTTCAGAAAATATCATCAATACTTGTTTTTTGCATATTTAGTGTTATTTTATCTATACATCCCGTAATAAATATTAAAAATATATTTAATAGTATGATATTTGGCAAATGAACAACAAATACTGTATATAAAAATATATATCAATTGATTTATTATACTTTAATTATCGTATTTATGTATAGCTAATTATGAATAAATATTTAGATTTATTATTATTTTTTGGTTACTATTTTTTAACCATAATTATATAAGTTAAATAATAATAATATATTAAATAATTTCTAAATTACATAATTTTATGTGTACTATCAAAAATAATTCTAAGAAATTAATTATTAAAAAAAATTAGTAATATGATTTTATCTATTGATAGTTAGTTGACATTTTTTTTTATTAGTAATCACCCATTTATTTAGGAAATAGTTGAAATTTAATGATATATTTCCCATTAGTTAAAAGAAATTTCCCTGTTTATACATTATTAATGATATACAGTATTTTAGTGTTACATATCATTAACAATAGATAAAATAAAATAAAAACAATAATATTATTCAATAAACATTATATTAATGAAAATCTACAAAATAAAACACAATGATGTGAATATTAAATGTACTGTAAATTACAGGCATTACATATACAAACATAAATTATTAATTAATATATAAATAATTATTAAACAAAAAAAAATTAAAAAATTTTATTACTTGAAAAACACACAAATGCTATACTATTTCATAAATGTTACTGTAATTTTAATAATAATAATTACAATTTAGTTATAATTTTTGAAAACTAGTGTGAAATGTTTTCATCAATTGTTTTAATTTATTACATAAATTATATATTAGATATCAATAATAATAACAGTAAAACTCGTGTTAAGTCCGACCCACAGTCAATGTTAAGTGGTTTTATTTATTTTTTTACAATAAAAAATTAAAATAATTTTTTATTTTTTCAAACAATTCATATAAAATATTGTTAACATTATATTTATTTGAGTTGAGATGCGATGAGACAATAGTATTTAACTTTTAGGGTGATCCCCCCCCCCCCTACATACCTGACCACTTGAATATTAGCAAATATGTTTAAGTCAATAGTACTTAAATTTTTGGCCAAAATTATTATATTTGTCTAAAAGTTTTCCACTTTTCACCTAAAAAAACATCTTATTATTTCAGTTTTAAACTTACATTCAGTAGAATGTAATGAAAATCTGAAATTAGAAAACAAAAAAAAATGTTTACAAAGTTTCTTAACAGTGTTTTACTGATAGGATTTTTTGTGGCATTAAATAATACTTTAGTAATTGTTTCACAAAATCATCCGAAAAATCAATCGCTATATTTGTGGCAAAATCTGAGTCTATATGCAAACAATTGGAGTAAAGATTTTGTCGCAATTCATAAGTCATTTGTCGAAGAAGTAGTTCAATCAAGTAATGTATCGCATAGTTGTTCACAAAGTATATCCGCAACTCTAGAGGCAATCGATAGACTAGAAGACTGGTCACTATTGATGGCCAATTCCTGGCCAACAATACCACCAATAGGTTAATTGAGTGATAAAAAATGATTTTAAATATTAATTTTTTAAAAAAATCTATTTTTTTGATGAAAATAATAGGTATATTTGAAGGAACAGTTACCGACTTAGGAGCCTATGATCAATGTTTGGCTATTGTTGATAATGAGGTGTTAGGATCAGCTCAGTATTGTTTGCTAGACTTCAAGTTTCCATTACCCGAACCGATGGCCAAACAACACAATTTGTTTCATCAAATTAATGATTTACTTCCGGCTAATAATAGTTCACAAATTAACACAACAAACAATGCATTGAATATTATTGCAAAAGAGGCGTCAATTTTCTATTGGATTTCATTACGATTAGGCATTTGTACGCCAAATAAATGTAATACTAATGATATCTCAACAATGGCTAAATATGGTATAATTTTAGTAATAAAATAAAATTAATAATACATTTTTCTCCTTAAAAAAAATTGTTGTAATATATATATATTAATACAGTATCAGCTAAATCAGGAGTTCAACTAAAGTCAGTTAATTGTGAACTAAAATCCAAATTATCTTTAAAACCTATACATGTTTTTGCAATGTAAGACAATTGGTATTTTTAGTATTACTTTATTATTATTATATATTAAATACCTATATTTTTCCCCAAATATTTTTAGATTATTTATTTTGATTTTCTGTGCGATGTGTACTTTGGGTACAGTTTGCGATGCAATAACTAATTTTAAAAGTAAATTTTTACTTAATATTATTTTATTTATTTTTTATTAAATAATTTCTAATCAATAAAAATAAATAATTTTTTTTATAAATATTATGTTAGAAAATTCAAATGGATATACATTTATAAAAATATTTTCATTGAATCAATCTGTTCATCGATTGCTAGCTCCGACCTTATCATCGGATCTGTCGTGTATTCACGGTATACGAGTCCTGTCCATACTATGGATACTATATGGACACACCATTCAGTGGAATAACCATCAACTGTCCGGTCATTATTTTTTTTACTAACAATATAAAGTTTGTAAATTTTATAAAAATATCTTTGCATTTAATTAAAAAATAGCCCAAAGTTTTTACGGAAAACATTTATTAACACAATTCATGGCTCAGCCCTTATTGAATGGAGAGTATGGTATCGTCACTTTCCTATTGATTAGGTATATACTGTTTAATTAATAATATTAGAAAATAATTATAATAAATAATTTTTGTGAATTTGTTTTAGTGCTATCCTAACAACCTATATATGCTTAACTGTGACAAACAATAATCGTAAAAATTTTTCAATCATTGGATACATTGTATTACGTTTGGCCCGACTTTGGCCACAATTAATGATATTTATATTGTTGACATTTTTGTTGCCACTGATCGGTTCGGGTCCTGTCTGGTCGGAAGTTGTGGGCGACAATGTTAGCAAATGTATGGACAATTGGTGGCTAAATATGCTATTCATACATAACCTCTATAGATCCGATCGCATGGTATTTATATAAAGACAATTACCGTTAAATTAGAATTAAAAAAACAATAAAATAGTAATTAAATTTAATTTAGTGCGCTATCCATACGTGGTTCATAGCACTTGACTATCAATATCACATAATAGCAATTTTAATAGTTTTGGCATTTTTGGCAAATAAAAAGTTAGGTATAACATTGAATGTGATATTTATTATGACATTTCTAGTAATTTCATCGACACTCTGGTATGTCTATGAACTGCCTCCGGCTCTCATAAACACAGGTCGCACGTGAGTTATTTACAATTAAAAATAAATATGAATTGAATTAAATATATATATAATTTGTTTTCAGTGAATATTTTGAACAATACTTTAGTTTTACAATACATAAAATACCCGGGTCGTACGGAACAGTCTACTTTATTGGTACTCTTGTTGGTTATGTTATATATGCTAATAAGAGTATTAAAATAAATAAAGTATAAACTATTTAAATAATTAAATTTATTTTACTTTAATCTGTAATTGTATTTATTTTCAAATATTATCCCAATAGACTTGTTTGACACTAATATGGACAACAATACTATTGGCTTATTGTATGCCATTGTGGGACAAAGTTTATTGGATGTACGGCCGCCACTACACGCCATTAGTCGGTACTATTGGCTATCAAATGTTTCAACTGATTTGGTCGGTGTGTACATCACTAATGATATGGCTGTGTGTATCTGGCAATGGAGGTCTGGTCAACCAATTGCTATCAATGAAGCCGTTCATACCGTTAGGACGGCTCACATATTCAGTGTATTTATGTCACGCTTGGCTGATATGGTATTATGTCGGTACCCGACGACACTTGACTGATGTCTCTCAGTATAATATTTTGATAAATTTCACTCACATTACAGTCATGTCATATATTACTGGTTTTATATTTTATGTATTGTTTGAATCGCCTATAATTGAGTTACAAAAGTATTTGGCAAATAGTTTGACAAAATTAAATGAAAGACTAATTATTAATGAAATACAACTTAAAGACATTGATAGACAATATAATATATGTCTGTATCAAACTATCAATACTAACAACAACAACGATAATAATAATGATATAATTAAAATAAATGATAAATAGTTTTCAAAGAAACTATTTTGATTTTAGTTTAATTTAAATATTTCATTACTTAAATATTTAAATATTTTGCTTATTTTATATTTTTTTACAAAATTTACAGAATTATTATATCTTATTAATAAATACTATTTTTTAAATATAATTTTTATTTATCATTCAATGTTACTATAATTTTTATAATTATTATGAAATAATAATTACAATTTAGTTGTAATTTTTTTTGTATACGAAAAAACTTTTTTCATAACTAGTGTGAAATCTTTTCATCAATTGTTTTCAATTATTACTAATATTATACAATATATTAGATATCAATAACAATAACTGTAAAGCTAGTGTTAAGTACGGCCCACAATCAATGCTAACTTGTAAGTGGGTTTAGATTTTATTTGTAATAAATTTAAATATTGTTTATTTTTTTGAGACAATTTGTATAAATATTTTTTATATTTATTTGAGATGAGTTGCGATAAGTAAATGTCATTTAGGGTATTTCCCACACCATAATTGTCTACTTGAGTGTTTGGCAAACATGCTTAAGTCAATAGTACTTAAATATTTTTACAAAAAATATCATATATATATGTCTAATAAAAATTCTCACTTTTTATCAAAAAATATATTTTTATCAAAATTTTAAACTAACATTAAGTTTAATGTAATAAAAATCTGAAATTAGAAAACCAAAAAAAAAAAAATGTTTACAAAGTTTCTTAACAGTGTTTTACTGATAGGATTTTTTGTGACATTAAATAATACTTTAGTAATTGTGTCACAAAATCAACCGAAAAATCAATCGCTATATTTGTGGCAAAATCTGAGTCTATATGCAAACAATTGGAGTAAAGAATTTGTCGCAATTCATAAGCCATTTGTCGAAGAAGTAGTTCAATCAAGTAATGTATCGCATAGTTGTTCACAAAGTTTATCTGCAACTCTGGATGCTATCGTTAGACTAGAAGACTGGTCACTATTGATGGCCAATTCCTGGCCAACAATACCACCAATAGGTTAATTGAGTGATAAAAAATGATTTTAAATATTAATTTTTTTAAAAATCTTTTTATTTTTTGATGAAAATAATAGGTATATTTGAAGGAACAGTTACCGACTTAGGAGCCTATGATCAATGTTTGGCTATTGTTGATAATGAGGTGTTAGGATCAGCTCAGTATTGTTTGCTAGACTTCAAGTTTCCATTACCCGAACCGATGGCCAAACAACACAATTTGTTTCATCAAATTAATGATTTACTTCCGGCTAATAATAGTTCACAAATTAACACAACAAACAATGCATTGAATATTATTGCAAAAGAGGCGTCAATTTTCTATTGGATTTCATTACGATTAGGCATTTGTACGCCAAATAAATGTAATACTAATGAGATCTCATCAATGGCTAAATATGGTATAATATTAGTAATAAAATAAGATTAATAAAAATAGTAAACACTACTGTATATGTATTAATACAGTGGCAGCTAAATCAGGAGTTCAACTAAAGTCAGTTAATTGTGAACTAAAATCCAAATTATCTTTAAAACCTATACATGTTTTTGCAATGTAAGACAATTGGTATTAATGAAAACAAAAATTTAACTTTTTTTCCAACATTTTAGATCTTTTATAGTTATTTTCTGTGTGATGTGTACTTTGGGTACAATTAATGACTTTCAAAGTAAATACTGGTTTTATATTGTTTTATTATTTTTATTTTTTTAACTAATTTCTAATATATAATTTTTTTTATAAATATTATATTAGAGAATTCAAATGGATATAAATTTATAAAAATATTTTCATTGAATCGATCTGTTCATCGATTGCTAGCTCCGACCTCATCATCGGATCTGTCGTGTATTCACGGTATACGAGTCTTGTCTATACTTTGGATATTATATGGACACACCATACTGTGGAATAACAACCAATTGGCCGGTTATTATTTACTTATAAAATTATAATATTATAAAATTAGTAAATTTTCTTAAAATATCTGTGTATTTATTTTTAAAAATAGCCCAAAGTTTTCACGGAAAACATTTATTAACACAATTCATGGCTCAACCCTTATTGAATGGAGTCTATGGTATCGCCACTTTCCTATTGATTAGGTTTATACTTTATAATTAGTAATAAAATAATTATAATAAATTAATTTTTAATATTTTTAGTGCTATCTTAACAACCTATATATGCTTAACTGTTACAAACAATAATCGTAAAAATTTTTCAATCATTGGATACATTGTATTACGTTTGGCCCGACTTTGGCCACAGTTAATGATATTTATATTGTTGACATTTTTGTTGCCACTGACCGGTTTGGGTCCCGTCTGGTCCGAGGTTGTGGGCGACACTGTTGGCAAATGTATGGACAATTGGTGGCTAAATATGCTGCTAATACAGAACCTCTATAGATCCGATCGCATGGTATGTATATATAAATAATTACCTGTTAATTACAATTAAAATACAAATTTAATTTAATTTAGTGCGCTATCCATACGTGGTTCATAGCACTTGACTATCAATATCACATAATAGCAATTTTAATAGTTTTGGCATTTTTGGCAAATAAAAAGTTTGGTATAACATTGAATGTGATATTTATTATGACATTTCTAGTAATTTCATCGACACTCTGGTATATCTATGAACTGCCTCCGGCTCTCATAAACACTGGTCGCACGTGAGTTATTTACAATTAAAAATAAATATCAATTGAATTGAATTAAATATATATATATAATTTGTTTTCAGTGAATATTTTGAACGATACTTTAGTTTTACAATACATAAAATACCCGGGTCGTACGGAACAGTCTACTTTATTGGTACTTTAGTTGGTTATGTTATATATACTAATAAAGCTGTTAAAATAAATAAAGTATTAACTATTTTTTAATTAAATTTATTTTACTTTATTTATATGTAATTGTATTTATTTTCAAATATTATGGCAATAGACTTATTTGACACTGATATGGATAACAATACTATTGGCTTATTGTATGCCATTGTGGGACAAAGTTTATTGGATGTACGGCCGCCACTACACGCCATTAGTCGGTACTATTGGCTATCAAATGTTTCAACTGATTTGGTCGGTGTGTACATCACTAATGATATGGCTGTGTGTATCTGGCAATGGAGGTCTGGTCAACCAATTGCTATCAATGAAGCCGTTCATACCGTTAGGACGGCTTACATATTCAGTGTATTTATGTCACGCTTGGCTGATATGGTATTATGTCGGTACCCGACGACACTTGACTGATGTATCTCAGTATAATATTTTGATAAATTTCACTCACATTACAGTCATGTCATATATTACTGGTTTTGTATTTTATGTATTATTTGAATCGCCTATAATTGAGTTACAAAAGTATTTGGCAAATAGTTTGACAAAAAGACTAATTGTTAATGAAATACAACTTAAAGTCATTGAAAGACAAAATAATATATGTCTCTATCAAACTATCAATACTAATAACAACAACAATAATAATAGTAGTAATAACGATATTTTAAAAATAAATGATATATAATTTTTATCATCATTTTGTTTTTTTTTAATTTAAATATTTAATTAATTTTATTGTATTAATTTTTATGTTTTTCCAAAATACATAATTATTATATTATGTTTTTTATATATAATTTATTTTTTTATAATTTTTATCATTAAATATCTTGTTATAATATTTTCCTGAATATTATATAATAATCATTTATATTTTAGTTTAGACATAAATTTTTGACTTTTTAAATTAAAATAATTTATATATATTTTTAAATAGATATTTTGATAAATTATTTACATATATTTATTATCGATAAAAGTTATGTTTGCGATACCTCTTGAATCGGATGCCCTCCTCAGCCAACATACAGTCTTTGTAGAGCTTTTGTATGACATCGACGACCACACCATTGATTGTTGCCAATCGATCAAAACCAGCTAATAATTTATTTAAATACATAATTATATTTATATATTAATATAATAAAAAAAGTATTTTTTTTCATTAGTATAACCATTTAATTAATACCTCCCACACCTCCCGATGTTTCGACGGCTGATCTTAATTCTAGACATTCATGTCTATTGGGAATCATTTTTTTCAAACAACTAATCTGTTGTACGACTACTAACAGTACAACTGTTATCAACAAAATAACATATATTTTAAACATAATTTAATTATTATTTATTTATTTATTTTTTTTGCTGATCAAACAGTTATTTTAGAAAATGATGTCTAATATCTTGAAAAATTTAGTTAAAATTTTAGTGTTTTATATCAAAAAATAGTTTTGATCTACAAGTGATGATCCTTTATATATGTACATTAGTTTTTGATAAAATGAGTTTAATAGGATTTAAATATTTTTGTTTAGTAATAATTATCAATAAATAATTTATACAATTTATTAGTGGATTTATTTTGCTACTGAATATTGTATATTAGATTTATATATTAAATAATTTTATTGTATAATACATGTTTGTTATTAATAGTGTTATAAATACAGTAGTTATTTAATACATAATTTTATATGTATTTTAATTATGAGATAATACTTTTTAATTATTAATTTATAGCATATTTAATATCTTTTTAATGAATTTATTTTTAGATGAAATTTGAGATTAAAAATGTTAAATATTAATTGCTATTATAAACTCGATTTTAAACTATTTATAATAAAATTTATAATATTGCGCCAAATTAATTATTTATAAATTTTTTAATTACTAATAGTTGTAATATATTATTAAATATAATCTCAAATTACTTGATTTATTATTTAGTTTTCTATATATATTATTAATTAATAGCAATATTTTTCAACTCATTTTGCTGTCTTTAAATAATAATAAAAAAACTAATTACTCAACAAAAATTAATTACATAAATGGTTGACAACACATACTGTGTATGTTAATTAAACTTATTGTTTAGTATTATCATCTATTATTTTATTATATATAAAAAAACTCTTAACTATAACCCACCCACCCCTCCGCCATCCTCCCCGGTGTCATCAAAAAAATGTTATTTACCTATATGTTTAGCTACCGTTTTATGGTGGCCGTCATAGTGATCACTCATATGATACTGACAGTGGTCATTGCTGATAAACCAGCCAAGAAAAAATCAGATGATGGACCGCCCAAATCGGATCCCAAACCATTTAAACCTAAGCCCTATAAGGGCAAACTCAAGGCACTGTCACCACAACAGGTCGAGTTTGCCAAAGCGTTTTACGCCAATCTTATGAAAGATCAGAGCAAAAAGTTTGCGGAAATGGATGTCGACTCCGGCAAAAAAGGTGCCAAAAAAGTGGCCAAAAAAGATGAAGACGAAGATAAAATGCTGAAAGCGTCGGCCGATGACGCAGATGATGAAGAAGAGGAAAAGGGTGAAGAAAAGGAAGACTCAGAAGACAAGTCTAAGTCTAAAAAATCTAAGTCTAAGTCTAAGTCTAAGCCCAAACCTAAGTCCAAGTCTAAAAAGTCTAAGAGTAAGTCTAAGCCTAAGTCTAGATCTAATGAGGAGGAAGAAGAGCCAACAGAAGCTCAAGAGTCCGGCGGTGGCGGCGGCGGTAATGGTCCTGACCATATGGGAACACTTCCGCCAAAAGCCAGTGGCATGAAGATGGCGGCCAGCGGTGGTATGCAGTTTTTCGACCAGATTATACACTATTATGTACCAATGGGTGATCCATATGGAGGAATGCCTGATGGGTAGACTATTTGTTTATTTTAGTTGCTATTATTATTATTATTATTATTATTATTATTATTATTATTATTATTATTACTGTATTATATTGAGATATTAATTATTATTATTATTTTATAATATATAATCATCGATTGATTGAATTAATTTTTGTTTCTGTATTATTGTTATTTGCTTATAGTTTACTATCAATGGGCAAGTGGTGTGTGTAAGTACTTATTATATTATTATATACTGAATATGATATAAAATATTTCCAAAATGTCTATATAATTGTGTTTATTATTATTATTATTTTATTATAAACTACACCCATCTCTAATAACTTATCTATTAGTATGTTAACCACAAAAAATATATTTCCTACCCGTTCCCCACCCATCCTATCACTATCTCTTCCCACCAATTAATCGTTCATCACTTATCATCATAAATATACAGAGAGTTCTGGATCAAGGGTGCACTGGGCATCATGTATACCACTGTCCGCTATCCACACAAGATTATGCTTAAGATGCTGATAGCCATATCTGCATTAACTTGGATACCGATGAACTTTATCTACTGTGCCAATCCGTTTTCTATGGCCAACTTTATTGCCAAAAGTAAAATAATCAACCGATCACACGATAAATTGGCAAAAATACATAAGGAATGGAAGATCCGATTGGCTAATCTATTGGATAAGGTTATCAAAAAAGAGGATATGTTCAAAGTTGCTTGCTGGTAGGTATTACTTTATAAGCACTCCCATGTGGGATGGGGTGGGTTGGGTGTTCCTGATAATGATGATGTCCCATATAGTTAAAAAAATATTAATTAATTGTAAAATTTGTTTATTTTCTTGTTGTTGTTGTTGTTGTTGGTGACCTCCAAACAGCGGTTTTGCCGAATGGAAACGCAAGTCAATTGAGGCCATAGCCGATGAGGGCAAAGAGTTTGCCGCCCGTTGGTTTGCCAGCTTCTTCAAGATGCACCAGGTCATTTATATATATATATATATATATATTTAATTTATACTTAAACAATTTATTTTATTTTAAAATATATTTATATATATATATTTGTATATAGCTTGTATATTGCTCTGATTATCAAGATGGATCGGATTTGTGCCAGGGCATTGAATATATTGGTAATAATAATAATAATAATAATAATAATCACATCCCGGTGCATACGGCACACATACATACACATATAATTAACAAAACAATTATATTAATTTAATATGATAATTTATCTCATTTTATTTTTTTAAATTTTTTTATAGATGATGAACCAATTAGAGTACTACCCCGATCATGGATAACATTGTTTCTGGAAAAATGTACCAAATTTTTCTAGATTTAGATTTTTTTTGTGTGCAAAAAAATTATTTGCAAATTTTTTTCCCGTGTATAAAATAAATAAATAAATAATATGATCAATTTTTTGACAAAAATTAATAATAAATAATTAAATTGTTTTTTAAATTTTTGTTATTTGTTTCTTAAATAAATAAAATTTATTAACTATAATTTAATCAAATTTATATTAAGTTAAATAATTTTTCATAAAAAACAAATATGACTTAAATATATATTTTTTACAATAAAATGATTATACAATGATAACGCTGAATGTTATAATAAATTAAAAAATTTAATTAAAAAATTAAATTACAACAGCCATGTTAATAATTCATGCTAAATATTTTTATTTTAAAGAAATATATTAAAAATTGTTATTTAATACCTACACTGTAGTAATTAAACAAAATGATAGGATATTTCAAAATCAAATAAAGTCAAACAAAATTATCTATAAAAAATGGATATCAGGATATTATTATGTATAAACATTTTAATTATTATATTACTAGTTTTGATCGGTATATCGGAAATCAATGGACAACGAAACCCGTCTAATCCGCGCAACTATGGCGGCCAGTCGTCAGGAAAATCGCCGATATACGGGCCAAAAGAGATAGAAATAGCCAAACAATTTTGGAAAAAACTGGGCAAAGACCAGAAAGGACAGCGCAAGTATACGTCCAAAGAGGCGGCCAATGCTGGCAAATTCCGAGTGGCCAACTATCAGAAACTGTCACCACCATCGGGAACGTCGTTTTTCGATGACATTGTGGCCGGATTTTTTCCTATAGGTGACAAATACGCCGGTGCTCCCGATAAGTAAGTTGCAGTTAATTGTTATAATCAATTTGTATAATTATTATTTGTTGTTGATTTTAGTTTAATATAACTTAAATATTATTGAATATATAGCTAAATATTATTGAATATATAGCTAAATAATATTGAATATATAGCTAAATAATATTGAATATATAGCTAAATATTATTGAATATATAGCTAAATATTATTGAATATATAGCTAAATATTATTGAATATATAGCTAAATAATATTGAATATATAGCTAAATAATATTGAATATATAGCTAAATATTATTGAATATATAGCTAAATAATATTTACCTAATAATATCTTATAATAACTAAAAAAAAAATATTAATTATTATTTTACTCCATTTCAGTATTGTCTCAATGGGATTGTTTTGCGTGTAATATATATATTGTTTTTTTTTATTAACCCGTAAGTAACTATTCAAATTACTGATACTAATTGTGTGGATATTTTGTTTGTTTGTTTATTTTGTTAACTATTATATATATATATATAAAAGTCAAACATTAGTGAAGGGTGCAATCGGCGTAATCTATACTACAGTACGATATCCGCATAAAATACTGTTAAAAGTGATGATAGCCATCGCCGCCCTGACTATTGTGCCGGCAAATGCCTTATATTGTCTGAATCCATTCAGTATAGCAAACTTTATTAAAAAAGGTAGTTTAATTAATACCAAACAGGATGATTTGGTACGACTGCACGAAAAATTTCAGGTTAGACTGGCCAACACCATGGATAAGTACAAAACAATCGGAGAGATTCGCAAACAGAGTTGTTGGTCAGTTGTTGTTGTTGTATACGAAACATGTAGTTTGTCGCACATGTAGTTCACCCAAAAAAATAAATAAATAATTATTTGCTTTTTTTCACCTAATGTATGTAATGTATGTCTAGCGCCTACTGGCAATGGCAACGGGAGTCTATAAAAGCAGTTCCCAAAGAGGCACAGGATTTCCTAAGTCAATGGTATTTGGCTTACTTTAAGTTACATGAGGTTTGTTAATGTTTGTGATTGATAATTATAATTAAAAATTAGATGGATTAATAATAAATGTCTAATTAATTTCAGATAGTTTATTGTATGAAATTTACAGTAGCCCAACAAAATGATTTTTGCGATACTGTTGAATATGATGGTCAGTGGTCTATAAATTATTATTAATTGAATTTTTTTTTAAAAAACTTATTATTATATATTTTATTTTTTACCAAAAAAAAAATTAACAGATTCCGAGCCCACTCGCATGTTGCCCCGGTCATGGGCCACACTTGTATTACAAATGTTTACTGAATTTCTATAGATAATTGTGTTTTTGTTTGTTTTTATTGTTGTTTGTATTATATGTTAAAATGATTATGGTCATTTTTATTGTAAGGTAAATAATAGTTGGAAAAAATTTTTGTTCATATAAATTATACACATATTTTTAAAAATATTATGTATAAACTGTAATCAATAGTACTAATGTTTTTAATCTATCGTTAACTATCTATTAAATGTTATTGTTGTATATTATAGATGACTTACTATTAATTAAATAATTATATTTATTAATAACCATTGAATATAATTTTACTGTTATTATTGGCAAAAATGTAATAATAAATAATTTCAATTAAATTTTATGTATATTTATTAAAATAAATTCATAAGTAATGTTTTTTTTATTAAATTAACATTAATTCTAAATTATATGTAATACACTACCATTGAATTTTTACTATACAACTAAAATACTAAATTAATTTTTCACCACCATATTAAAAAAAATTATTATTAGATATAGTAATAAAATATAGGTGTAATAATAATAATAATAATAAACGAAAAAAATGATAGTATTTTACTAATACAATCCCAAATACATATTATCGGAATGTTATATAAAAATATTTTGTTACTAACATTACTATTACCGGTTTGGGTCCTAATTTGCGGACAATCGGACAGTGATGATCATAAAAATGTTAAGCGACGACCTATACCGCGAAACTATGGCGTCCAGTCGTCGTCGTCGTCGGGAAAATCGCCAAAATATGGTCCGCGAGAGATAGAGTTTGCCAAACAGTTTTGGAAAAAACTGGGCAAAGATCAGAAAGGAAAGCGCAAGTATACGGCCAAAGAGGCCAAGATTGCCGGCGCTGTCCAACCCAAAGGACCGACCAACTATCAGAAACGACCGGTCGAGGCGGGACTGTCCTTTTTTGATGACATTGTTGTCTCTTATTTTCCGATTGGCGAGGAATATGCCGGACTACCCGACAAGTATGTGTTCAAAAATGCTTGAATTTTTTTATAGACCTTTTGATATACAGATATTTAATAATTATTATTATTATTATAGTCTTGTTTCGATGGGATTGTTTTGTGTGTAAGTTAATTAAGTGAATATATTGTAATTGATGTGATAAATAATAATAATAATTATCATTATTTCTAGCCAAACATTAGTCAAGGGTGCGGTTGGCATAATCTACAGTACTGTACGATATCCGCATAAAATACTGTTAAAAGTGATGATAGCCATCGCCGCCCTGACTATTGTACCGACAAACGCCATGTTTTGTCTGAATCCATTCAGTATGGCTAACTTTATTAAAAAGGGTCGTATAATCAATGGCAAACAGGATGATTTGGTACGACTGCACCGGCAGTTTCAGATAAGACTGGCCAACACCATGGATAAGCCCAAGTCCTTTTCAGAGATACAGCACCATAGTTGTTGGTTAGTAGACACATAGTGGTGCACTGGTAGTAGTCATCAATTGATTAATACGGTTTTATTTTTATTTGATTGTGTATGTGTGTGTGTGTGTGTAGCTCCTATTGGTATTGGAAAAAGGAGTCCATAAAGGTAGTACCCGTGGAAGCACAGGATTTCCTAAAACAATGGTTTTTGGCATACTTTAAGTTACATGAGGTTTGTATTAATCTATAAAATATAAAGTATATACTGTGTATATATGTGTGAATATCAACTTTCACTTGAAAATTAAATTTAAAATTTAAAGTGTAATTTATATAATTACGCTAATATACTTAAATTTAATTATCAAATTTATTTATAGATTATTTAATTTTAATTAATAACAGGCTACTAATTTATATTATTATTGTTTAATTATTATTTTGTAAATTTTAGTTAGTTTATTGTTGGAAATTTACTACAAAACAACAAGATGATTATTGCGATAATATTGAATATGATGGTAATTCAAATATATTTAATTTTGTAAAAAAATATATGATAAATTTTAAAAAAAAATTTTTTTTTTGTTTGACTATAGATTCGGAGCCAAGTCGTATGATGCCCCGGTCATGGGCCACACTAGTACTACAAATGTTTACCGAATTTCTATAATAAAATTTAATGTTATTGTATTTTTTGGAGGGGAGGGGAGAAATTTTTTTAATTTTTTTAGATAAATACATAATTATGTTTATTAACTAAATTAAATTAAAAATATATTCAGATAAAATATTTTTTTTATCGATAATATTGTTAAAGTATATTTTACTTATTATATATTTTTTAAAAATAATAATTTAATTGTATTTATCTATCAATATTTGTATTAATAAATAAATTTTTCAAAAAAATAAGAGTATATTTTTGCAATATTATAATCGTAGTAATAATATATAAAAAATATTGTATTGAGTTATATCATCTATAATACTGTATTATTGAATGTTTTAAAATTTTTTATTATTATATAATTAAAAATATTTGTATATTAGTTTTAATAAATTTTTTATATTTTAAAAATTAACTTTTATAAACTGTATAGAAATTACACTTTTAATAGTATCTAAACTATTATTTTTAAATTAATAAATCTAACAAAACTAAAATTAATACTCTATTCATATTTTTATGTAGAATATTAAAATAAACTAATAATTTATCATTTTTTGTTTCATTTTATTATTAATTAAAAAAACTATATTAAATAAAAATGAATGAAACTATTACAGCCATATGCTAACTAATTGCAATAATAATAATATTAAATATATTATATGTATAGAAATTATGAAACAAAATGATATAATTAAAAAAAATAATTTAATAAATAAATAGATACTTAAATGGCGTTCAAACAGCAATTGAAAAGACTATCACTATTATTCAGTGCACTCCTATTGATCGACCAATTCATCATTGGTAGCACTGATCCCAATGAGTTAGGTCTACAAAATAATGGAAATTTTGACCAATCGGGCGGTCCAATTGGCAGCATTGTGGGCACTGGTACGCAAACCATCCGAAAAGGTACGCTAAGCGGTCTGGCCCGTGCACTGGACGATCGGCTGTCACAGGTTGACTATTTTGGTAATCCTCATCTGTCTATGCCCGAGGACCTGCCCGGTCACATACTGTTTTGTACGTAAGTATAGTTTCAAGAAAAAAACAAACAATTATAATTATCATTAGGAAAAAAGTAGTTATTATTTTTTGCATTAATTTATTATTATTATTATTATTTTATAGACAATTGATTTACTCGGGACTGTACGCAATGATCTATTTGATTATCAGATATCCGTTCAAATTGTTAAGCAAAACAATGTTACTATTGGTAAGCATAAGCTATATTGCCAATTATGGCAATTGGTGTATAAATCCGATAGCTTGGCTAGACTTTACCAGTGAGGGACGCAAAATTAATCAACATATTGAACGATTGGCACAGTTTAAGACAGAGTTTATTAGAAGGATTATGTGGATCACCGATAAGGCCCGACACGATGAAAGACGAAAATATGCATGCTGGTATGTATACTAACCTACCCAGTCCTATAATAATAATATGACTGTCCCCTCTAATGTGTTTGTACTGTTTAAAAAAATTTATTATTATCATACTCCCAGTGCATGGCAAGATTACAAGTCCAAGAGTATTGAAGAGGTACCGGAGGCCCAAAGTTTTGTTGAATCATACTTTAACCGATTGTACAAAATTGATGAATGGGTTTATTGGTAAGTTTATACATGAAAATAGTTAATATCTTTTAATGTATTATTACTTATTTTTATTTAAATATATATATAAGTTGGAGCTACAGATCACTAGAGTTATGTAAAAGTGTAGACTTGAAGCCAACCAACGAAGAACCGGACCGAGTGGTGCCACAGTCTATGGGAACCGTTGTTTTTGAATTGTTTGATAAATATATCTAAAAAAAATAAAACTATATTTTTGTTGTTGATTACTGTGTTATTACAAAAATTTATTGTATATTTAAAAAAAACAATTTATATGAATTTTTAGAGAGTTTAATAAATTATTTATTTTACTGACATTTTTATGGGTTTAAATAATATAAATGTTCTATAATTTAATTAATAAAAAATAATTTTACTTAATATATATATATGAAATTTTTTATATAATTTATATCTTTGATAAATTCAGTAAATTTAACTAAAAAATTATAATAAAATAAAATTTTAATGCAAATTAATTTACACTCTTTGCATACATATAGGTATATCTGAAATATTTTATACTGCCATTAAACCTATCTGTAAATAAAGATTGTTTTAATTATTATAGTGACCAAAACGTTTACAATTAATGTAATAAAAATTTATTTTTATAAATTATGTAAAAAATAAAATAGTTAAGATATATATATTTTTAAATATTTTTTTATAAGTTAAAAAAATATAAGTAGAATATAGATATATCAAAATTGTAGTTATTATTTATTGAATACTTCTAATTATATATGAAATATTGAATTATTTAGTAACTTTAATATCTATAGTTATGTTTTTAAAATTATATCTAAAATAAAATACAGCAATTATCAGTAATTTACACTATATTTTAACTAAGTTATTGTTAAAAAATAAATTTGTTAAACTATACAAAATTATTAAAAATGTTATGTATCATAATATTTCAATTTTAAAAAATATTATTTAATTGAATATGCTAAAATTATATATATATATATATATATATAAATTATTTGGTCACTATAATTAATTAATTAAATATATTTACTGTATATAAATTTATATATTGAATAAAATAATGGCTGCTTTATAAATATACAGTATTGTACTATACATACAAATTAGTTAATTAAATGTATGTATTATCCACCAAAAAAAAATTAGTGAACAACAAAAAATATATATAAATAAATGTCACTCCAAGACATTAGATGCCGGCATAGCTGGACTCTGGTATTATGTATTTTTCTAGTGTGCGAACTGTTTATCCCGATCTACGGTAAACCAGATAATAGTGAAAGTGAACGGGAAATAGAGTTGGAATACCAGCACACACCTAAAGTGGAAAATAGTGAAGGACAAGCGGCAGATGATGGCAGTGGAGATGCAGATAAAAATGGAAAAGGAGGCAAAGGCAGTGGTGATGGTAAAGATGGCGGCGGAGATGATAAAAAAGATGGTAAAGATGACAATAAAAAGGATGGAAAAGCAGATAAAGATGGAGACGGCGACGGAAAGGGTGGTAAAAGAGATGGAAAAGATAAAGGAAAGGGAGATAAACCTAAAAAAAGAAGTTCTGATAAAAAAGGTGGTTCAGGAGGCCTTAAGAAAAAAGGGGGCAAAAGTGGTAAGTAATATGTTTTACTATTTCTGTCGATGGCTTTAAATTTAGCGCATTTATCATTAAATTTTTTTTAATTATTGTAAACAATTTTAATCAATTAAAATAATTATTAAGTAAATTATATCTCAACATATATTATAGTATTTATATTTATATAATATATAATTTAGTTACACTATAAAAACACATACATATGTACTAAAGGGACAACCATTTTGTTGAATACCATATTTTTACACAATTTGATTGCTTTTTAAAAAAAATGATTTTATTAAAATATCATTAAAAATTGAAAAACAAAAATGGTTTTTAATTTTAAGCCTAAATTCTATATATTTGCTTTATTACTAATATGTTTACTGTTGATACAAGGTCCGTTTAACTTAAATACAAACTAATTATTAATTAAAAAAATTTATTATTTAAATTAATATAAAATTATATATTGTATATTGATATAGATATTTATAGTGATATTATAGAGTGTAATATATAAAACATAAATATGAATACTATTAATTAAAAATTATTTTTAATATTATTTATTTATTTTTTTGTAAACTTAGCCAAACTGGGCAAACCAGATGACGATGAAGATGGTGGTGGTGATGATAAAAAGGGCGCAAAAAAAGATGCCGACAGTGATGGCGATGACAGCGATAAAAAAGACAAAAAAGGTAAAGACAAGGGCGGAGGTGATGACGATGAAGACAGTGATAAGAAAGACAAAAAAGGTAAAGAAAAAGGCGGTGATGATGATGAAGATGGTGGCGATAAAAAAGATAAAAAAGGCAAAGACAAAGGTGGTGATGATGACGAAGATGGTGGCGATAAGAAAGACAAAAAAGGCAAAAAAGGCAAAGACAAAGGCGGTGATGATGACGAAGATGGTGGTGATAAGAAAGACAAAAAAGGCAAAAAAGGCAAAGACAAAGGCGGTGATGATGATGAAGATGGTGGCGATAAAAAAGGCAAAAAAAATGGCGACGACGATGACGATGAAGACAGTGATAAAAAAGGCAAAAAAGATAAGAAACCCAAAGCCAAGAGCAAAGGCGGTGACGACGACGAGGATGAAGACAGTGACAAAAAGGGCAAAAAAGGCAAAAAGAAGGGCGAAGACGATGAAGATGATGGTGACAGCGGTGGTGGCGATGAAGAAGATGATAGCAGCAAAAAGGGTAAAAACGGAAAAGGAAAGAAAAAGAAAGGAGGCGATGGTTATGATGAAGAGGGCAATCCTAAACTGTATAAAGCTGGCGGCAAAATTGGCAATGTTATCGGCACCGGGTCACGAAAAATCAAAAAGGGTACACTGAGTGGACTGGCCAGAGCTCTCGATGAACGACTCATGCAAATCGATCGGGTCGGCAGTCCATATCTTGGTTTGCCGCAGGATTTGTTCGCACATTTCCTATTTTGCGCGTATGTATCATATATCTGAAAAACATACATACACACACACACACACACACACACACACACACACACACACACACACACACACACACACACACACACACTGCCGTCACTACAAAAAATATAAACTATATATTTATTAATATATTACTAAAATTGTTACTTTTATTTGACTCCCATATATATATATATCCAATAGACAACTGGTCTATTCTGGTCTCTATTCGTTTCTCTATATATTGATTCGTTATCCATTAAAAATTCTGGTCAAAGTGATGGTCATATCAGGAGGTATGACCCATATATTTACATATATGAATTGGTGTATCAATCCCATTGAAATAATGGGCTTTACCGGTACAAACATGAGAGTCAATATGCATCTGGAAAGGCTGCACTGGTATAAAACACAACTTAACAAACGTCTCATTTGGATTACCGATCACGCAAAACATGAGGACAGACAAATGTACTGTTGCTGGTAAGTCCATATGTATGTATGTGTGTCTATACGTGGTAATGGTAGTCTATTAATTAGGGAATGGCAATAACTATATATATATATATATATATATATATATTGTATATACCGGTAATAACAATGATTAAAATGTGTTTTGTTTGTGTTGTCTCTAAAAAAATTAGTGCTTTCAACCACTGGAGACAAAAATCTATTGAAGAGGTGCCCGAAGCGGCTGTCCATTTAGCCACTTATTTCCGGCGGCTATACGGAATCGGTGAACTACTTTTCTGGTAAATACCGCCTCATCTCCTACCCCCCCCCCTTCTAGTTTCAATTGAACACACTGTCAAGCTTATTGAACTTTTTTTTAAATTGTTATATTAAATTTCTGTCCATTTTGTGTGACCTTTCACCCCTCACCTCCTCAAATATAGTGGCAAATTTAAGTTGGGAAGCGCCGCCTGTGAGGAGACTGATTTGTCGCCCACCGATGAAGCACCGGATCGTATCCATCATCAGTCATGGTTGACCCCCCTATTTGAGTTGTTTGATACCTTTATTTAAATGGCACACCATATACACCTAAACAAGCAATACACACCCAACAAAACAAAAAATGATATCAATGCCAATGAGAAGTAATAATAATATAATAGAAAATAATTATATTTTTTAAAAAAAATTATTTCTAAATATATACCAAAATTAATTTTTTAAAAACAACAAATATGTTGCTATATGTTAGCAGTTTTATGGAAAATTAATTACTTTTAAAATAATAAAAATAATAAAAAAAATTAATCAAATTTATACTTTTCAATTTTTAAATATATATATACTGTATTTATTATCAATTAAAGCATCAATTTGTAATCACAATAGGGCATCAAATATGCTAATATTAAGCTATAAATTTAAACTTATGTTATTATAATATGTTAATCTGTTAATAAAAATAATAATAAAATTTAGTTTTTTTTAAATAAATAAATAAATAATTTTACTGTAACACAAAGCTAATTAAAGATAAAAATTGATTAGTTAAATGGTTATTAAATTAAATAAAAAATTATTTATTCGGGGTATCATCAAAAAAATAAAAGGTTTATACACTATTTAGTTTTAATTATATAATTAATTAAACTATATTAATCAGTAATATGTATTTAATAATAATCTTTTAACTAAATCAACTGAATTAACTAAATATTGTATTTCTAATGTGTCCACAAATTTATAAAAAAAAATTATTTAAATTACTAATATATTTTTACTTAAGACAAATTTAATAGAAAAAATAATTTTTAATATTACATTATTAGTATAAATTAATACAAATTAAAAATTATTGATTTATTTACTTATTTCCTATTCAAAGTTATTTTATTTCTATTTATTGATTATCTGTTTTTTAAAATAAATTATAATTATATATATTAATAACTATAAAAAATATTAATATTTAATTTATAAACCGTGATAAATGATATTAAAAGTTAGTTTTTTTATGAAATAAAGTTTTTAACTAAAAAGTTTTAATATTAAACTACTAAATATTAATAGTTTATTAATCGATATGATATTAAATTACAAATTATGATAAGATTTGAGTTTTAAATAAGAGAAAACTAAATTTAAAATAAAAATTAAAGTTAATTATCAGTCCATCAAAGCGCCTATAGATAATAAAAACAGACAACTCTTATTGTATAATATATAAAATTATAAATTATTATTATTAATAATATGATAGATAAATCTCTAGAAAAAATATGTCATCGATGTCTTTAAGCTTAAAATACTTAATATATTAATGAAATTATTTGAAATTGTAGTATTTGTTGTCAAAAGATTAAATATAATATTTATTTTGAGAATAAATTATGAATTTTATTTTTAATATATATGCAAATTCTTGAACTTTGATTATGCAAATATGATAAAAACTATTTGTTTATTGAACAATAATATTATTATTATTAATAATAATAGTAAAAATAATAATAATAAATATATTTAAAAATAAAATACAAACATTGCTAACGTGCAGAAAGTTTTTTTTTATTATGTTTTGTTTAATAATAATTTATATAATCATTTTTTCATCATTATTATACTGTATGTTAATATACAGTAAAGACTTATTTACTTAAAGACTAAGAGAAACAGTTAGTTAACCCATTACTTGTTGTTTTTATTATTATTATATTTGATTATTATGTTTGCAAAAAAAACCAGTACTTAATAAAATCCCAGTGTTTTTATTATTATTAGTATTATTAGGATAACACTAATACAAAAACTATTGCAGTACTACTACTACTACTAATAATAATGATAATAATGTTAAAAATAGAAACATATGTATTAAAAGATAATACTTAACAAAAAAAAAATACTGTATGTGTTTTGTTGGGCTATTGTTTCAAATAAAAATTTTCAGAGACAACTGAAAAGTTTTATATTAAGTGATTATTTATATATAACTTGTGAGTTGTGAGCTAATAAAATAAAATCTTTTAGTTTTCTAACAATAACAACAAAACAAAATAATAATACTAATAATAATAATAATAATAAGCACCACATTTTGTTTGTTTGTTTGTTAGCCCTTTCCCATATAGTTATCCGTTTTTTTTAAAAACTTTTGTTTTGAAAAACCAATATATTTAGTACATTATATAGCCATCAAAAAATAAATAATAATAAATTGACCCCAAAAAGAGTCATCGCATTTAATATTTTATCCGAAAGAAACAACTTTTACACAAAAATATTTTTAAAAGGGATAAACTATATATATATATAAGTATTTATATTATATTTTATTATAATTATTATAATTATAATAACAATATATGATATATACAAAATGAGTTTTTTCAGCAAAATAAAAAATTGTTTTAAAATTCACTTGAAATTCAGTCACCTAAAAATTTTTTTTAATAAAATTTTAATTTACACAACTTATACAGTTATAGTAAATATTATATACAGTATATACATACACATACTATTAGAAATTTTAATAAATTAATAAATAATAATTATTTATATGTATATTAACAATTATGATAATACAGTAATTATGAATTAACATTTTTGTTGCTGTTGTTGATAAATTCAATACCTCATCAACAACAAAAAAACAATACTAAATTATAATATATGATGTTCACCAATACATAATATAATTTATAATATACTTTATATGGTGTGTATGTAATACATGTAATACTATGTATGTATGTGTGTGTGTGTGTGTGTGTGTGTGTAAAAAAATTAAATTAAATCAAAATGTTGAATCACATTATAATGAACTATTTTTTTTGCATTCAAATAAAAAATTTCACACTATTTTCAATTATAAAGCAAAAAAATAATATAATATAATAGTAGTATACTATATACAGTATTCAATAATAATAATAATAATAGTTCAATGAAAAACAATTTTTTTATTACACGCTTAAGGATATGCATTGTGTTATTATAAGATGTTATTATTAATGTATTTTTAATATTATTTTATATTATTTTTGCTATATTGATAGCCTATTTTAAAAATACAGGTATATTTTTTTAATAAAAATATATAAATTGCATACAAATAAATTGTTTATTTAAAAAAATAAATGTTTAAATTATATTGACAACAAGTTAGCAGTGATATTGAATAAACAACAAACAAACTAACCAAAAAATAAAACAAACAAATAAATAAAAATATTAATGCATCAAAAAATACAACAAAAAATAATAAATAAAATTATTTAGTAATTTAATTTAAAAAAGATAGTTTTAATGATAGCAAAGTGAGACACATCCCATAATAATAATAATAATATAATACAAGTTATTAATATAAAAGTTTGAAGAATATAATGTGTTATTTATAGCTATTTTTGATGTCAAACCACAACAATTTAAAACCTTTACTTTGAAATAATAATAACTATCATTATATGGATATATAAATAGTGTAAAAAAATAAATTAATATTAAATAAATTAAACATTTTTTTTCTTCGATAAAAACTAAATAAAATAAAAACTATTAATGTTTACAAATAAATGTAAAATAGTTTTATTTCTTCTTATTATTATTATTAATAAATAAAAACTACTTTTATTTGATTTTATTAACTGATACTAATATTGATAGTATATAATAATTTATGATAATTAAAAAAATTGATTTTTGTTTTGCCTAACAACAAATTGATCGATACATTTTGTATTTATTTATGTGTTTTAATTATACATTATTATTATTATTATTTAATTATTTTTTTTATCAAATAGAAAAAGTTAAATAAACTTTTTTAAAAATAGTTTTTATTTATTTATTTTATTTATATACTGTTAGTATTATTATTTTTTTAAAAATTCACAATTAAATGCTTACAAAAATAGAGCCATTAATTAGAAGATAAAATATAATTTTTTTAATCTATAGTTTTTGTTTATCTACATTGTATATAATAATATGTTTTGTTTGTTTGTTTGTTAATGTCCATGTTAATTTTTAAAACTTTTTAATTATTATTGTTTTTCTAAGCATTTAATATAATTTTAACAATCTCTCTCTCTCTCTCTCTCTCTCTCTCTCTCTCTCTCTCTCTCTCTCTCTCTCTCTCTCTCTCTCTCTCTCTCTCTCTCTCTCTCTCTCTCTCTCTCTCTCTCTCTCTCTCTCTCTCTCTCTCTCTCTACAAAAAAGCATAGTTTAGTTGTTAACAACATTTTAAACAATAACAACAATAACAAGAAAATTAGTTTTTTTTTCTATTTTTCTAAAAAAAAGTTAATTAAGTTTTGTAATGTTATGTAAGTTTATTTTATTTAATACTATGTAATGCATATGTAATGCAAACCATTTGACTGTTACTGTACTCTAATAAAAAAAAATTAATATCACTTTACACAATACATTCATGTTTTTTTCACCATAACATACAAACGTAACAAAAAAACACACGTAATATCTGTAAATATCATATCAATTATAGCTCAGTGCATACATCATACATACATAGACATACATAGTATATACATATACACACATAAACGTCTAGTACATACACATACTATGTATATATGCAGTACGCATGACATATATATTTTGAATTATAATAATAATAATAATAATAAACAACACATCAATGCATAGGCGCTAATGAAACCCAAACAACAGTTAACACACAATACACTATACACTACACACTATAGTCTCTCTCTCTCTTACTATCACTCAATGCATGCATGTGTTGGACACTTGCTTTCAGTTACTCTACTCTTAATAAATGTATTCAAATATTTTATGAATGCATTGTATACTTACAAAACTTATTAAATACATTGAGTTAGTATTATAGTAGTAGTAATAGTAGTCAAACACATATTGAAAGACAGAGAGAGAGAGTCAAACAAAAACAATCGACAATTGATTTCAGTCATAATAATAACGTAATAATTATAATAAACTAATTATTATTTTTATTATTAATAACATATTGTCTTTATTGTGAAACGAAATAATAATTAATATTATTATTGAATGACTGTATGTTTTGTGTTGTGTGCCAAACCTATTGTAAAGTCCAGTTCCCAGTAAACCCAAACCCAACCGCAACACCAACGACAATGCCGTCGACTAATAACAGGCTAAGCAATGGCGCGCACCCGCCGTTGTCGCCGCACATATCGCCGTCCTCTCGGCTAATGGCCTCAACTATTAGCTCACTGGCCAAACAAAAAGGTATGTTTATATATATATATATTTGTATTGTGTGGATGATGACCTGGGTATTAATATTTTATTTAAACAAATTATTTAAATGATTAGGATATCATTGAATGAATGAATGAATTAATCAATGATATGATTAATTGTATGTTAAAAACAAAAGTTTTTTTTTGATAGTTTTGTTGTTGTATTTTATTTTATATGTTGTGTGTGTTTGTTATATATGTTTTTATTTTATTTTATTTTTTTTGAATGATTAATATGATATTAATATTTATATATATGATTGTATCACTTAATAATAAAAAAAGTTAATCGTAATATAGTTAAATGATCTTGATTGATTAATTATATGTTTCATTAAATATAGTGTATTATTATTATTATTATTATTATTATTATTATTTTACTTATATTTGTTTATCATTGTATTTATACAGAGTTTATAATATATAATATACATTACAATACAGTCCTACAATAGATTGTATTTAGTTTTTTTTAATACATTATTTAATCAATTTTTTTGTGTATTTTTTAAATAACGTAATAATAATATGGGAGGAAAAAGTTGTATAATTTTTTTTAATATATATATTTGATTATATATAATGAAAATATTAAAACTTATATATCAGGAAATAAATATCTTATTATATATTATTTAATAAATTATAAGTAATATAATAAATTCAATAACTTATTAGTTGCACAAACTATAAGCATATTATAATAATTTTTTTTTTTTATTGAAAATGTTAAAGTGTATTGTTATTATGAAATACTGTATTAGTATAGTATTGATAACATTATTATAATTATCTTTTTTCTAAGTTGTCATTATTATTATTATTATTACAATTAATATAATAAGATATAAATATCATATATAAATTATATTGATTTTGAAACACTACTGTATAAGATTGAGGTTTACTACAGTATAATTTATATTAAATAAATTACTGATAATTTTACTGAAAAGGTATTATGAAAAAAAATAAAACTATTTAACTTATATATCTATATGAATGACATGAATGGCATTAATTTATGTTAATTTATATATCCTTTTCTTATTTTATAATTTTTTTGAACGAAAGAAATAGAAAATAAATAAATTTTTGATAATTCAATCGATATTAACCTCTATTTGATATTTTATTGTATTGTATTAATATATTAAGCACTATCCCGATGGGACACCAGCGACAGCGGTCTCAGTACGTCTACCAATGGTACCGGCGCTGGCCATGAAGTTATTATGCGCCGCACGACAAATCTGACCCGTACTCGAAGTCTACGATTACCGCAGAGGTCAAGAAACTATATGACGACCAGTTCCTATGATAGGAGTCATGGTATGATGAATAACCCCAAACAACATAATAGTTAAGATTTAATACACCAATTGATTGGACATTCATATGATAATCATTATTAGACATATGGTTTGATGTATTATTAATAATTTATTATTATTATGTTTTGGGATGTATTTTTTTTATTATTATTTTATAACTTATAATGCATTTACAATTAGATTATTAGTAATTGACTTATAAGTTATGACATGACATATTAGTTGCGGTTGTCTTGTATTGATTATCATATGTTTGGCACGATTTTATTTATTTATATATATATATATAAAGTTATTAAGTTATGGTAAGTATAAAATGTATATGATATCTAAAAAATACCATTAAAATATTTTTATATTCATTAATTTTTTTTATGCATCAAAAAATTATTATTAGCCAATCCATCAATAATTTAATTTGCAAATAAATAGATAAATAATATACACACTGTGGTGCCGTGTATTGTATTTACATTATAATAATTATTAAATTATTATTATAAATCATGATTTGTGTTGTTATTGTGATATTTAAAAAATATGTGAATTTATTTAGCAAATATTTTTAATATGCATTTTTGTGTTATTCTCTTATTTATTTATTTATGTATTTATTCACACAATTGATAAGAAAAAAAGTTTTAGCTATTATTATAAATTTAGTTATGTTTATAATTGTATTTATGATTTGTTTTTCAGGGTATTATTGTAAAGTATATATGTGTTATATTCAAAATAGTTTTTTATTATAATATTGTTATTATTATGTGAAACATACATACATATAAACAATGTTTAATTAAATGCACAAATATTTTACATTAATTTTAATTTTTTGCTAAAAACAGATTTTTTTTGCTATTTTGTTTTGGGTTTTGTTTTAATTTTGTTTTGTGTTATATATATAATATTATAAAACTTATAAAAAAAACATACAAAACATTATTGTATTGCAGTTCACGTCTTATGTATTAAAATAATCACGACTTTTGAATTTAATAATCATTTTACAAGTTTTTACATTATTAAAAAAAGTTAGGCTATATATGTTTTTACAGGCAATAAAAGAGCACAGGTATGTGTCATATATTTTATATATTATATATATATATACCTGTTTGCTATTATAAAAAACAACAATAAATAAGTGGATTTTAAATGCCATCCATGTATATGTATTAGTAAAATATATATGTATTATATAAATTTTAAAAACTTAAAGCTAAAAGTTAATAGCTTTTATTATATGACTATATAATATTCAAATAATAGTTTTGTAAATGATTGATACTGCATTTTGACAAACAAAATAATTATATAATATTACCGGTATTATTATTATTATAATTGCCAGTAGTTTTATGACATTATATAAGTAGTAGTAGTTTTAGTTTATATTTAATGACAATTTGCTAACAAATTTTTTTACTTTGTTTTTATTTGTATATATAAGACGTAAGTCCTACCAACTCATCAGTCGACGACTCGCGAGTGTCTGAATTGGAAAAGAAATTAAAACAATGCGAACTAAAGATCAAAGAACTGGAATCAGATATCAAAGAGTCAAAAGAGACGATTGAATTCTTGACATCTGAGCGGACAATACTGGCCGACAGTCTTAAGGAAACCGAAGACACTCTCTATCGGGTAAACCGTGAGAACAGTTCGTTGAAGAAGTCCATTGATGTCAAAGAAGAAATGATTGACAAATTGGGTTCAAAATATTCCCGAAACCGAAAGGTTTGGGAAGAAAATGAAGTGAAAGCCAATGAAGAAATTAAAAAATTGGATGAAATGATTGATCACGTAATCGATACCTTGAAGTCACTTCCAGATTGCCATAAGAATTGCGAATCAATTGAACACTTGTTGTATATGTTGACCGATGATAACAAAGTCGGTGGTCAACAACATAACAATAACAACAATAATTATAAGATTACTAATAATAATAAAACTATCAATAATAAGCAGCAAACAGTTGTTTGAATTGTCTAATTTATATTGCATTTATACATCTAATAATTTTTTATATATTTACAAAACTATTGTTTGTTTTTTATTATTAATTTTGATTAATATTATTTTTTATGACTTGTCTTTTACACATTGATGTTATTGCACAAAATTTTTAAACATATTTTTTCACCACAATTTTATTCATTCATTTTTTTATTTGATAAACACAAACAAACATTTCATTATATAATTGATTCCTATTTTTAAATTAAATTAATTATTATTTTTTTTGTGTAACGAATTTCCTATTTAACGAATATTCCTAAATATTGATGTATTATTCTAAATGAATTGTTATATATTTTTATTATGCAATTCATTGAACTATTTTGTATTCAATAGTATTTTTTAATGATGAATATTTTGATATTTTTTTATCAAATGATATAACAATGATACTGTATTAATATATGCTAATATATTTATATACCGTAGATGTCATAATTATTATTTTTTAATTTGTATTTTGATATGCAGTATATATATATATATTATAATAACCGTTATTGGTATATTTTCGTAACAACTTATAAATTGTACTAATATTTTATTACAAATAAATGTAATAAAATGATATATTTTATATCGTACAACACATATCTATAAATAAATTTTATTAAGCTTATTTTTGTATATATCGTACCATTATGAATTAATGCAGTTATTTATACTTAATATTTTATTTTAATATTGATTTTATTTACAAAATTAATAATTTAAAGTTAGTATCAGTTATAATTATTGCAATTTAATAATTTAAAAGTTTATCATAGGTCCTTGACCATCAATGTTATTATTATTGTTATTATTTAAACCCATACCCTGGCCATCATAATTATTATCATTGTCCAAATATGCCTGAGCGCTATAACCATTAAGATTGTTATTATTATTGTTGTAATCATTATGGCTCTGATGATAGGTATGTTGATTGTCGTTATTATAGCCGTGAGTGTTGTCTACACCGTTATAGATGGCATCGGCAGCGTCCTGATGACCAGTTCCCGGCTCATTGGTATCGACATGTGCTCGAAATCCTTGTTTATCGGCCACATAGTGAACAGTGCGTTTGCCTCCCTTAGGAGTGTGCAAACTGTATGATCCGACAACACCTCCGTGTGGACCACCCTTTTCCTCTCGTGAATTTTCGCCGCCCTCCTTGTCCTTTATATTATAGCCAAACTTGTAATTTCCTTAAAAATATTATAAATTATTAATCATATTAATTATCAATTCAGCTATAGTTTTTAATTTAAAAATATTTTTATACAAACCATGGTTGTCCTGTAATCGGTGCGATGTCGAGTATCCGCTGTCATAGTGGGTGCCATTGATCGCCACAATAACTGCTAAGAGACACAAACTTTTTGACAACATTTTTGTTTGACAATTGATTTTTAAAGTGTAATAAATAAAATCAAATATTTTGCAAATGAAATGCAACTAATAAATAAAAAAAAGTAAAAGTGTTTGCTTTTATACCATTTTTTGTTGTTGTCTAAAATTGTTATCTTTTAAGACAAAGTTAAAAATTATGTTAATATTCATATATTATGTTTAGTAGTAAATTGTTTTGATGTAGATATCGATAAAAATTATCATTTATAATTTTTAGTCTATGTGATAATTAGTAAAGTTTTGACAACATATTATTATATTAATTAATAGGTTATTTTAATTTAAATAAACATTTCATTATATAATTGATTTTTTTGTTATTAAATTAATTAAACGAATTTCCTATTTAGCGAATATTCCTAAATATTGATGTATTTTTTTTATTAAATATATAGTAAATTAAACTATTTTGTATTAATTGTTATTTTTTAATGACCAATATTTTAAAAAAAATTTATAAATTGATATAACAATAATACTTTATTAATATACTTTTAAATACTATACATGTCATAATAATAATTATTATTTGCATATTTATTATATAATTACCGGAATTTTCATATCTTTCAATCTATACTAAATTGTAAAAATATCTTATCACAAATAAGGGTAATAAAATTATTGTATATTTTATACCGCAAAACTTATATCTGTAAATAAATTTTATACATTTATATTACAAATTGTAATTTACAATAATTAATTACTTAATTATTTTGCATTTATCAGTTTATTTATATTTTTTTGTGTATAATTAATCCACTCTATAAATTAATATAGTTATTTATAATTTATTTTATTTTAATTATGATTTTATTTGCAGAATTTAAAAATTAATTTAATAATATTTTTAATTTAAATAATTTGGTATTAATTACTATATTTGAGTTAAACTAAATTTATTGTATATTAAACTAGAGTATAATATAATATTATAGGGTATTAATAAAATATTTACTGTTTAATAATATTATTATTTAGTTTTATAAATAAAATTTAATGCATTTCTATACAATTATCGACAAAAATTGTTTATATGATTTCATAAAAAACTTTAATTAGTATAAATTTAACAATAATTCATACATTAAAGTTAATTGTATATAAATTACTATTAATTTAAATTTTGTTTTATTTAATCGACAAATTTTTACACTATAATTATTAGCATAATTTTTTTTGAGTATTTTATAACATTGTATTTTTAAATAATTTTAATCTATACTTTTATTTGCAACTAAATAAATTATTACAATAATGTGTAACAATATTGTTAGTAATAATTTTAATGTTAACAATTTTTGATAATTTATAAATTGATTAATGTTTCTTGATTATCATAGTTATTATTATTATTTAAGCCATGAGCCTGGTCATCATAATTATTGTTATCATTGTCCAAATATGCCTGAGCACTATAATCATTATGGCTCTGATGATAGTTATGTTGATTGTCATTATTATAGCCGTGAGTGTTGTCTACACCGTTATAGATGGCATCGGCGGCGTCCTGATGACCAGTTCCCGGCTCATTGGTATCGACATGTGCTCGAAATCCTTGTTTATCGGCCACATAGTGAACAATGCGTTTGCCTCCCTTAGGAGTGTGCAAACTGTATGATCCGACAACACCTCCGTGTGGACCACCCTTTTCCTCTCGTGAATTTTCGCCGCCCTCCTTGTCCTTTATATTATAGCCAAACTTGTAATTTCCTTAAATATATATATAAATTATTAATCACCATTATTTATCAAAAACAGTCATTGTTTTTAATGTAAAAATATGGCATAATATATTATTTATAATATATATATATATATAATACAAACCATGGTTGTCCTGTAATCGGTGCGATATCGAATATCCGCTGTCATAGTGGGTGCCACTGATGGCCACAATAACCGACAAAAGGTATAAACTTTTTGAAAACATTTTTTGTTTGTTTGACAATTGATTTTAAGTGTAATAGAAATACAGTTAATAAGTAATATTAAATATTTTGCAAATGAAATGCAACTAATAAACAAAAAAAGTAAAAGTGTTTGCTTTTATACTATTTTTTTAATCTAAAATTGTTATCGTTTAAGACAAAGTAAAAAATTAATATATATTGTATCGATTTGTAAATTTTGTTATATTTTATTATTATTATTATTATTATTATTATTATTATTATTATTATTATTATTATTATTATTATTATAGTATTTTGTTTTAAATCACATTTTTACAAATAGATAAATATTATAATTTATATAAAAATATTTTATTTTTGTTTAATTGCTAATTAGTTTTAATCTATAAATTTTGTATATACAGTATAATAATTATAATATTGTTAATAAAACTAATAAAAAACAACAAAAAGTTGTTTAATTGCTCTAATTTATATTGTATTTAGACACTAATTAAATTTTTAAACAATCTCATCTATTTATGTAAAATCTATTTAATGTCAATTTATAAAATAACAATTTATACATTAAATTTACTAATATAAACAATTCAATTAAAATTATTTACAATTATTTTTTTCAAATTAATTTTAATTTTATTTTATAATATATACAGTATGTAAGTATAATAAAAAATAATATAAAAAAACAGTATAACAAGAAAGTTAATAAAAAATAAATCAAATAAATAGTATATTGAATAAATCATTTTGAAATAAATCATTTAATATTAAATAAAAAAATCATTTTGTTTTCATATCAATGGTCGGCGGCGGACATCGGAGGATGAGACTCAACCAGAGTTTGATCACTACCAACACAAACAAAATAACAATAAAAATGATGGCCGTCTGTGTCAGTGTCTCGTATATGGCATCACTGGTGACACCGATTGTGCTGAAGATGTTGACTACTTCTTCACCGATATCGTCGTCGACTACATCATTCATCTAGTAGTGGTCATCGCCGGGTATGTACTCCTCGATTACCGATCGTTTTAGTGTCTGTTTGTCTTTGACATTGTTTACACTATCGTTAATACAGCCGAAAAATGTCCTCAGATTGTGAACATCGACCCGATGTTTGTTGTCGTAAATAAATAAATTATATAAAATACTATTAATTTAAATTTTGTTTTATTTAATCGACAAATTTTTACAGTATAATAATTAGCATAACAAATTTTTTGTTTTTGAGTATTTTAAAACATGATATTTTTTTAAATAATTTTTTAATCTGTACTTTTATTTAAACTAAATAACTACTAAAAACAACTAAATAAATTATTACAATATTGTGTAACAATTTTGTTAGTAATAATTTATACAATTTTTGATAATTTATAAATTGATTAATGTTTCTTGATTATCATAGTTATTATTATTATTTAAACCCTGAGCCTGGTCATCATAATTATTGTTATCATTGTCCAAATATGCCTGAGCACTATAATGATTAAGATTGATATAATTATTATTATTGTTGTCGTTGTTACTGTTGTAATCATTATGGCTCTGATGATAGTTATGTTGATTGTCATTATTATAGCCGTGAGTGTTGTCTACACCGTTATAGATGGCATCGGCGGCGTCCTGATGACCAGTTCCCGGCTCATTGGTATCGACATGTGCTCGAAATCCTTGTTTATCGGCCACATAGTGAACAATGCGTTTGCCTCCCTTAGGAGTGTGCAAACTGTATGATCCGACAACACCTCCGTGTGGACCACCCTTTTCCTCTCGTGAATTTTCGCCGCCCTCCTTGTCCTTTATATTATAGCCAAACTTGTAATTTCCTTAAATATATATATAAATTATTAATCACCATTATTTATCAAAAACAGTCATTGTTTTTAATGTAAAAATATGGCATAATATATTATTTATAATATATATATATATATATATATATAATATATATATATAATACAAACCATGGTTGTCCTGTAATCGGTGCGATGTCGAATATCCGCTGTCATAGTGGGTGCCACTGATGGCCACAATAACCGACAAAAGGTATAAACTTTTTGAAAACATTTTTTGTTTGTTTGACAATTGATTTTAAGTGTAATAGAAATACAGTTAATAAGTAATATTAAATATTTTGCAAATGAAATGCAACTAATAAACAAAAAAAGTAAAAGTGTTTGCTTTTATACTATTTTTTTAATCTAAAATTGTTATCGTTTAAGACAAAGTAAAAAATTAATATATATTGTATCGATTTGTAAATTTTGTTATATTTTATTATTATTATTATTATTATTATTATTATTATTATTATTATTATTATTATTATTATTATTATTATTATTATTATTATTATTATTATTATTATTATTATTATTATTATAGTATTTTGTTTTAAATCACATTTTTACAAATAGATAAATATTATAATTTATATAAAAATATTTATACATTAAATTTACTAATATAAACAAATCAATTAAAATTATTTACAATTATTTTTTTCAAATTAATTTTAATTTTACTTTAAAATACAGTATATATATATTAATAAAAAAAATAATATAAAGAAAAACTTAGTATAACAAGAAAGTTAACTAAAACTATAAATAATAAATCAAATAAATAGTATACATTGAATAAATCATTTAATATTTTTAAAAAAATCATTTTGTTTTCATATCAATGGTCGGCGGCGGACATCGGAGGGTGTGTCTCAACCAGACTCTGATCACTACCAACACAAACAAAATAACAGTAAAAATGATGGCCGTCTGTGTCAGTGTCTCGTATATGGCATCACTGGTGACACCGATTGTGCCGAAGATGTTGACTACTTCTTCGCCGATGTCGTTGTCGTCGTCATCGACCACATCATTCATCCAGTAGTGGTCATCGCCGGGTATGTACTCCTCGATTACCGATCGTTTTAGTGTCTGTTTGTCTTTGACATTGTTTACACTATCGTTAATACATCCGAAAAATGTCCTCAGATTGTGAACATCGACCCGATGTTTGTTGTCGTTGTCGGTGTACGAGTAATACTGTTGATAAATAAATATAAAAATTTATTCATTATTTATTAAAAACAGTTTATACAAACTGACCAACGATTGAATTTCAATCATCTCCTGATCTTCGCTGGTCTCCATAGTGTACACCTGATCCTCGTAGACCCGTGAAGTGTATAGTATACGTCCGACAGCGTACGACTGGCCCCTATAGGCAAACATACCTATAAGATTGCCGGTAAAACATTTGCCGAGTCGCCAGTAAGCCTCCCAGTCCTGGTCTTTAACTTTAGGCCATTCGCGGATATCGTGAATCATTTTTTTCATATTTAAATGTGTTATACAATAGTATTTGTTGTATTTTATTCCTATTTATTGTTTGAACAAAAGGAAGAGAGGACAGGTATGTAAACCGATTATTGTTGTAAACTATAAGTTAGATATTGAAAGTGCAACCAAAAAAAAACAAACCCATATATAGGATGTCCAGTAGGTTGTCGTACAGTGCACTGACAATCTCACGTTTTGTCGGATCACTGCCGATACCGAAAAAGCGGTCGACACGCGGCAAAAATCCGTGTTTTTCTCGTAAATCTTGTCGTTTCTTAAAACCTAACGGATTGACTAATTCGTCATCTGTTTCGATGATATAACGATAGTAAAAGGGAACGGCATGTGTCCGGTCAAACATAATGGTTAGTCGATCCCAGGCCTGTGTCGATCGGAAACATGTTTTGTTAAAGTCATCCGCATGTGTCAGACAACTGATTCCCTGAAACGAAAAGCCATTGAACAGTAGTTTTTCGTCCGAATATTTCCCATCAGTTTTGGCCACATTTTCTGTTAATTTAGTTAATTAATTATTTTTTGTTGTTGTTTGGATAAACACCTATTGTTATTAATAAACTGATTATTAGTAGCAATACTGACCTCCAAACCAATGTCTCGCATAGGCCAGCATCGAGTAGTCCCTGAGAAAAGCTCCCTGTCCTCCATCAATGCGATCGTCAAAAGTCCAGACTTCGCCGCAACGAATAAAATAGATGAGATGACCGACACTGAAGACACTGTCCAACGATTTGATGTCACAATACGGTAGACCTTGAGTTACGTTTGAAGCAATTATAGTCAAAATAATGGCAATCAATAGTAGCATAATTTGCTAAATACAGTAATAATAATAATTATTATAATAATAGTTCACCAAATTTTATGTCAATTATGAATATTTAGTGCACACCTTATAGTAACTTATATATGATTTTATGTTATTTATAATATATTCAAAATATAAAAATTAAATGTATTAATTAAAATAATTTAAATTTTATTTAATCAATTGTTGTTGGGGCGAGACAATTGCAATTACCGATAGTTTCAATTATATATTTAATATAGAAAATTACATTTTAATAAATAATAAATTTTAATATACAGTAGAAAATCTATTAATGTAGTAATAATAGTAAAAATAATTGGAAAAAATTTAATACAATAAATTTTTACCGCTTGAATTAATTAGAATTATTAGTAGCATATATTGATCATAAATTTTTAGTTTATTTCGTTTGTTTTTTTTTAATAAATATTTTAATACACAGTTTTTAATAATAATAATAACAAAATGTTTTTAATCTTATACTTTTATTTTAAAATAAATAAATAAATCAATACACTATTAGTTTAGTTAGTCAGTCATTAGACTATTACCGTAATGTCATTATAATTGTTAACAATATAATCAATTTGGATAATTTAGAAGTTGATCAAAGGTCCTTGGCCATCATAGTTATTATTATTATTATTATTGTTGTTGTTGTTATTGTTCAAGTTTCTACCCTGGCCATTATAATTATTGTTACCATTTCCAAGGTATGCCTGAGCACTATAACCATTAAAATTGTTATTATTATTATTGTTGTTGTAATCATTATGGCTCTGATGTTGATTGTATGTATGTTGATTGCCGTTATTATAGCCGTGAGTGTTGTCTACACCGTTATAGATGGCATCGGCGGCGTCCTGATGACCAGTTCCCGGCTCATTGGTATCGACATGTGCTCGAAATCCTTGTTTATCGGCCACATAGTGAACAGTACGTTTGCCACCCTTAGGAGTATACAGACTGTATGATCCGACAACACCTCCGTGTGGACCACCCTTTTCCTCTCGTGAATTTTCGCCGCCCTCCTTGTCCTTTATATTATAGCCAAACTTGTAATTTCCTTAAAAATATTATAAATTATTAAAAACTTTTAAATGTAAAAATATGGCATAATTTTATATATACAGTATATACAAACCATGATTGTCTTGTTGTCGGTGCGATGTCGAGTATCCGCCGTCATAGTGGGTGCCACTGATGGCCACAATAACAGCTAAGAGACACAAACATTTTGACAACATTTTTGTTTTTTTTATGTATAATACAAATAAATAAATCAATCAAATGAAATATTAAGCAAATGAAATGCAACTGATAAATAAAAAAAGTAAAAGTATTTGCTTTTTATACTATTTTTTTGTCGAAAAAATTTATTTTCGTTTAAGTTAAAAGTTATGTAAATATAATGTATTATAATTAATGTTGTTTGTGTTGTAAAAATCGATAAAAATTATCATTCATACACTTTAGTCTAATTGCTAATTAGTAAAGTTTTGACAACTTATTATTGTTATTTTTTTAAATAATAAATTATTTTAATTTAAAAAGAAATAATTAATAATTTTAAAAATAAGTTATTATTTATTTCAAGAGCTATTATCAAATTTGGTTTATAAATTAAGTGAAAAAGTTATATATTTTGATATATTATTTTTTTTTTAAATTTTGTAGTTTTTCTAACAAAATATGTTAATTATTTTTTTTTATTACTATAATTGTTATCTAATTAACATTTTAACGGATATTTTTGTTGTTAAGTTTCATACCACCAAAGTGTTGGTTACTAATTAAACACAATTACATTTAATAAATATTTAAACAAAATATAAAAATAACAAGACTGTGATATCGCAAACATAATAAAATTGTTTACAAACATGTGTTCATAAGTTTTTAATAAACTTTGTTTTGAAAAAGTACTAATAATTTGTTTTTGTATTTAAATATCGTGTGTACTGTCTATATATATAGTATTTTATTTATATTAAAAAATTTTGATTCAATATTTAGTTAGTTTAATTAATGAATTTTTATTTAAATTATTTATGTATGTAAAATAATAAATTATTTTATATCATTTAGATTATATTTAAATAAATTTTGTTTTTAAATAACAAAAATATGAATTAATAGCATTTGAGAAGCTAATCAACTGTAAAGTCAATGACAATAACTTAATAATAACTTTTTCATCAAAAATTACTTATATATTGATATATTAAGATTGAATTAAAATGCAATGAAAAACTAATTGCAATTATCTTTTATTAATTTTTAAAAAATTTAATTAACTAATTAATCACTAAAAAAATAAATTTTTCTATATATATAAAATATAAATTTAGATAAATATTATATTAGTAATATTGAAAAATTAGTTATAATAATAAAAATAATTGGTAACTATTAATAAAATATATTACAATATTAAATATTATTTTTTAACACATTGTTTTATACTCTCGTGATTTTGAAAAACTATATTTAAAATTTGATTTTTACAGTATATCAACAGTTAATCAGCAAAATTAAATAATTGTATATTTGTATAAACAACTAAAAAAATGTCAGATACCGGTGCGATACGAAATTTATATCCAAAACCGAGAGCAGTATCCTATAGTACGGGTAGACGAGTGTTAATGTTGAGAAACAGCCAAACAGTTGATCCATACAAGCAAACCGATGACCAAAATATAGATCCGATAGCACCGGTATTTGGTACACAACAGCCCAGAGAACTGACTACCGATGCTATGGTCAATCGTACAGTAGTTTTGCCACAATTACCCGCGAGTTTCATGGCCGGTGCTGTCATTGGGTGGACAGAAGAAGAGCAAAACAATACACTGGTTCTGGTGTTGTTAGATATTGCGATTGTCAGCACCGGATTTCGCAACATTGAAGTAATAACACTGTATAGGGACTCAATATTTCCCGTTTTAATGACATGGGATTGTCAGCCAATGGATACAAAACCAGACAGATATGGAAACGGTATTTATTTGGGAATATTGAAAAGCAAAGAAAAACAACGTTTCCAACGAACCGTTAGATTTATCGACTATAAAAATTTAAAGTCGACACCTGTAGTTACCTGTAGTACCTATGCGGCCTCACTCTACCTAAGCGTGTGTAGTAGCCGTACCGATAAGACTAAGGTCAATAATCATCGCTATATTACACGTATTATCGACACGTATCGACAGTCGCATAGTGTATGCGGTCTGTACGCCCCCTATAACATGCCAATAGGCGAACGTATAGCACTGGATTGTACTGATGATCCGATTGATATGTGTATCGGGCCTTCGCAGTCAAATCGCTATCTATTTCTAGTGGCCAACGACGCCCTATTGGCGGTCACCGAATCGGGTTCCGACAAATCGTTTTTTACATCGTTACTCAAAACTGATAGCTTCTGTATCATTGAGGGCAATGCAAATATTTCAACCGGAATTAATAAGGAGTTTAAAAAACTTTACCCAAAACCAGCCGTTTATTCATATTATCAACTGCTGGTTATTGTTGCCGAAGGTGTCAATGATCTACAAATCAGTCGAAAAGATTACAGTAAAGTTGTCAACAAAACCATTACATTTGTGACCGGCTTTATCCGTGTGTCCGACTTGTCCACCAATGTTGCCACTCTAGATTGGGCTCAGGTATGCGATGATTTACTACCAATTAGCATAGCCTTACCGGCCAGATTTAGCCAACACATGCCATTGTCGGCCATTACCGACGCACTAATTATTGAACACAAATACAAAATGGAAGGATTCTTACTGTTCTCTCTTACAGACAATTATAAAACCGACAAAATTTTTATCGATTTCTTCAATGTCTGGATCTGTTTGGATGATAGCCAACACTCCGATCCCAGTACTATCTATCAGTTTGTGTTGAATGCAGAAATTCGCTACAATAGAGACAATGATGGCAGACATTTAGGCCGTCCGGTCATCAATCTGCACAATACCAGTGTGTTTCAAGTGATGCAACTGACCGGCGAACAGGAAAACAAATGGAGAGCAGACGGCAGGTTTGAGTCGCCGTTATTTAGATATAAAAACAATTACCAAAACATTTATTTGCCAAAAATCAATGAAACAACATTAGATCAATTTCGTAATGTCGGTCCCAATTTGGTATTGCGTTACAACCGTATCGTTGAAAATGGTCTCATATTTCCTGACCGGCAGCTCATCCAACAGCCGTATGGTCCAAAAAAAATTTAATAGTTTTTAATTAATAAAAATGTTTGTAATATATAATACAAATAATATATATACTGTATATAGTATTCAACTAAACAAAAAATTCACTTAATATAAAACAAAATTTAAATTTAACAAAAACAATAAACATTTAACAACAAATTAAAACTAAAAACAATTCAATTAAAATATTTACCACTAATTAATAAATTAAAAATTAAACTAAAACCATAAAATTAAACATAACACAAAAGAAAAAATAAATGTCAAATAAAAAAGTAGATGAAAAATAAATTAGTTATTAAAACAATAATATTTATAACATTAAATAGTATAATAAAAATATATTATTACTTATTTATATCTTATTATAATTGCAATCAAAAAAATAGTTATTCCAAAATTTCAATTTTATTGTTATATGAATAGATAAAAATCAATATTTTAAAACAACAACTTGTTTTTTAAAAAATAAATAAATATTATTTATCTATTTGCGCAAACAAATTGTTTAATTAGCACTTAAAATCTTTTATATGGTATCAATTATATTTTTATTATAATAGGTAGAGTTTAGTCGATATCCCTATCAATTGAATTAAACCTAACAATCCTAACCCCCATATAACACTCGCATATCTAAACCTAAACTTATCTAAACTATACTGTAATATACAGTTATTTATTTTTCAATTTAAATAATCGCTAAATAATTGTTATAGCATTTCAATGAGTGAATATGTGTGCAAATTATGAAAAATCACACGCAATGCCATACGGTTTACTTGAGATCGGTATGTAAGTGATATCTCATCGATAAATATTACGTCGGCTTTCAATTGCCGTTCTTTAGTGGCCACAAACTCTTTCAATGTCTGTCCAGTAACTACAGTATGTTATGTAATGTAAACATTATTTAAAGCGAAGCCCCAAAAGTAACTAAAGACTAGTATTTTTTTTTGAAACGTATTGTTTAATACTCTCGTGATTTAAATTTAAAAATCTGATTTTACAGTATATCAACAGTTAATCAGCAAATTAAACAATTTATTTGTATAAACAGCTAAAAAAAATGTCAGATACCGGTGCGATACGAGATTTATATCCAAAACCGAGAGCAGTATCCTATAGTACGGGTAGACCAGTGTTAATGTTGAGAGACAGCCAAACAGTTGATCCATACAAGCAAACCTACGATCAAAATATAGATCCGGTGGCACCGGTATTTGGTACACAACAGCCCAGAGAACTGACTACCGATGCTATGATCAATCGTACAGTAGTTTTGCCACAATTAGCCGCTAATTTCGTGGCCGGTGCTGTCATTGGTTGGACAGAAGAGCAAAACAATACACTGGTTCTGGTGTTGTTAGACATTGCGAGTGTCAGCTCTGGATTTCGCAACATTGAAATGATAACACTGTATAGGGACTCAATATTTCCTGTATTAATGACATCGGATTGCCTACCGATTAACACAACACCAAGCAGTTATCGAAACGGTATTTATTTGGAATTATTGATCAGTAAAGAAAAACAACGTTCCCAACGAACCGTTAGATTTATCGACTATAAAGATATAGCGGCTCCTGTAGTTACCTGTAGTACCTATGCGGCCTCACTCTACTTAAGCGTGTGTAGTAGCCGTACCGATAAGACTAAGGTCAATATTCATCGCTATATTGCACGTGTTATCGACATGTATCGACAGTCACATAGTGTGTGCGGTCTGTACGCCCCCTATAATATGCCAATAGGCGAACGTATAGCTCAGGATTGTACTGATGATCCGACTGGCGTAAGCACTGGGCCTTCGCTGTCAAATCGGTATGTATTTCTAGTGGCCAACGACGCCCTATTGGCGGTCACAGAATTTGGTTCAGACAAATCGTTTTTTACATCCTTACTCAAAACGGACAGCTTCTGTATATGTGAGGGAACTATAAGCATTGCTACGGGAATTAAGGACGAGTTTAAAAACCTTGTCCCAAAATCATCGTTTTATCCCTACTATCAGCTTCTGGTTATTGTTGCCGAAGGTGTCAATGATATACAAATCAGTCGAAGAGATTTAACTAAAGATGTCGGCAAAACCATGACATTCGTATCCGGCTATTTCCGTTTGTCCGACTTGTCCACCAATATTGTCTCTATGGATTGGGCACAGGTATGCCAGGATGTGGAGCCACATGGAATAGTCTTACCGGCCACAGTTTGTCCACTGATGCCACTGACGGCCATTACTGACGCACTGATTATTGGACACAAAAACAAACAGGACATCATCGGATATATACTGTTCTCGCTTACCGACAATTATATAACCGACAAAAATTTTGTCGATTTCTACAACGTATTCATCTGTTTGGATGATAGCCGATACTCGGATCCCAATACTATCTATCAGTATATGCTAACCGCCGAAATCCGCTACAACTTCGACAGGGATGGCAAACATTTGGGTCGACCTTTTATCTATCTCTACGATACAAATCATCCGATATTTCCGATACCCCAACTGACCAGCAAACAGGATTACAAGTGGAAAGCCGGCGGCAAGTTTTCGTTACCGGCATTTAAATTTAAAAACAACTACCAAAACATTTATTTGCCTCAAATCAATCAAAAAGTATTAAAACAATTTCATAACGTCGGCCCTAATCTGGTGTTACGTTACAACAGAATCAATGAAAATGGTATCATATTTCCCGACCCGAAGCTCACCAAACCATTTGGTCAAAAGAAATAGCCTATCAATTGATTTGTTTTATTGATTGACAAATTGATTAATTGTTTGTTTATTTGTTGACAATTTTGTTTTAGTATTCATATTTTCAATTATAATTATATACAGTATTAATAGGTATACAAATATTAATAATATATGATATATTATAAATAAAATATAGTAATCAACTAAAAAAATAAATATTTTTATTATTTAAATATTATATATATATACACACACATAAACAAATCAAACTTAAAAAAGATAATAACTTGTTTTTTAAAAATAATTATTTATCTCTTTTTGCTGCACAAATAATTGATTAGCAATTAAATCCTTTATATGGTATCAGTTATATATTTATTATATTTATAGTTTAGTCGATAGTCGAGTCCCTATCAATTGAATTACACCTTACAATCCCAACTCCTCCCCTCCTATTATTCGCATCCCTAAACTTCAATCTACACTATAATATATAGTTTTTTAAAAATTAAATAATTGCTAAAATTTTTATAGCATTTCAATGAGTGAATATGTGTGCAAATTATTATAAATCACACGCAATGCCATACGGTTTACTTGAGATCGGTATGTAAGTGGTATCTCATCGATAAATATTACGTCGCCTTTCAATTCCCGTCCCTTAGTGGCCACAAACTCTTTCAATGTCTGTCCAGTAACTACGGTATGTTTGTTGGCTAACTCGACAAAAGCGCAGCAAATTTGTCCGTCGGATTCCTGGCCACCACAAGTGTTGTCGACACCGATAACTACAGCCTCTTTGACGGCGTAATGTTGTTTGAATAGTCGCTCAATATTCTGTGGATTCACCACATCCTGGCCCTCGTAGATCAGTTCGTTGACTCTACACTCGACATACAACTGGCCATCGCTGTCGTAATAGCCGGCGTCGCCAGTCTTGTAGAAGCCGTCAATCGTAAAGGCGTTGCGCGTAACGACCGATAGATTACGAGTTTTATCGATAGTTTGGGCGCTTTTCACACAAATTTCGCCGATTTTGTTGGCCATTCGTGGCTTTTCCGTTTGCGGATGTATTACTTTAATCTGAACGCCGGGAACTGGATATCCGACACTAAAATAACTGGTCGGACAAACATAGACACATTCAGTGGCCATCACTCGCCACTTACACGATATGACTCCCGTTTCAGGCGTCCCGTAGACTAATAAAATATAATTACTGTCGATATTGTTAACACAAAAAAAACTAATTTACTATTACTTGATCTGAAATATTTTGGACACAATTTTTTGAACACTTCCTCAACGATACAGTCCGAGTGAGGCAATGGTGAACCAGTATGTAGTATATCAGTCAATGAGGAGAAATCAATACTGGATTTACTGATAAAAATAATAAATAACTAAATTTTTTTTAGTTATAATGTTTAACTATACCTATAATTATGAATATCCACATCGTTTCGCAACATATAAAGCAATTCCGATAAATCAATTGATGCACACGTTATACGATATTTGCCAACAAATCCCAGTGCTTTCTGACGGGTAAAGTAGCTATTGGTGAATGCAATTTTAGTGCCCGAAACTAATGTATGACAAAATAGTACGACACCCAAGTAGTCGGCAAAATGTTGGCCAACAATACAGTCGTCATCCGTAAGGGCCAGTATCTGCGAGTCGTGCAACTGTGAGGCCGATTGAATTAGATTGGCATTGGTTCTGATGATTGGTATCAATTGATTGGGTACACCGTCGCGGGTCTGTTTGACAAAATGCATACAACAGATATCAGTGGCCGCTACCGGCACCGGTATCGGAACCGGTTTGGTCAGTGAATCGGCTTCTGGTTTGTACTTATATCGCATGAATTGCATCAGAAAATTACAGTTTATCTGTTCGTAGACACAATCATCAGTATTACCATCGATGATGAACAGGTGCTGTCGGGAAAAATTATTATATATCTTCAGATCTCTTATACGGATAGGTCATACTTTTAATGTCGTCGATTCCTTCAACAGTGTCAGCGCTTGACGTGAATTGTCGGACAAACAGATAAGAAATTTGGCTGAACTTAGTTTTATGACTCTCCGGATGTCATCTATTATATTATATTTATCATTAATCATTTGAAGACATTACTGAAATTTTTGATTTTATAATTATATGACAATTATTGAATATTAATAACATTATTATTATTATTATTATTACTTAATGAATAATTAAGATCAATGGCCACATATGTGGCGCCCGAGACAATGGTAGCCAAAAAGGCAATCGAGTGGACATCACTATTGGGACACCAAAAGCAAACCGTATCGCCGATATTCAGGTCAAACTCGTTGATGAAAGCGTCGGCCAAACTGAGACATACTTCGTATAGCTCTTTGCCCGTCCATTGGCAGCCCGTCAGACAGTCGACCTGTTATTTGTTATTTTTGGGCGACGTTTACAATAAAACAAAAACAATTTATAATAATTTTTCATTGATTTTATTTAAAATATATTTTACGATCAGTTGTTTGTCTTTGTGTTGTAGTAGACGTCCCAACAAAAAGGTCGACAAATAGACATTGTTTTGAACTTCTTTGAGACTGAGCTTACTCTGGACTATACGATCACTGGTTATCTGAGCCATAATATTGGATTAACTGATTAATTGATTAAATAATTGTTTATTACATAAAATTAATTATTTTTATTTATTAGTATTTTCTAAAAAAAACTACTTATACTTTATATATAWAAACATTGAAATTTTGTTGTAAATTACTTAATATGGGAATTAGATTTTTTTTATATTTTTCATATTTATAAATGTATTAAAAAATAAAAGGAAACTACAATTTAATATATATATGCATTTTATTATTATTATTATTACTAAACTTTTATATCCGTTATTATTTTATACTATGTAATGAAATAATTTCCAACTATCTCTACAAAAATCATAATAAAATAATGTCATAAACTATGATTTATAACTTTATGTTTGACAGTGCAATACAACAATTTTTAATCATTTTTGTTTTTTAATATTTATCTTATATTATTTACAATAAATTGCAATTAGTCACAAAAGTATTTATACTGTATATACAGATTTAGATATATCCTAATAATTAAGATAAACGATGATTAATACTGTAAATGATGTTATATTTGGTTTTAACTAATTTAGTAGATTTCAATTGTTTGATCATTAATTAAATAAATATAACTATTAAATATAAAAAAAATAAATATTAAAATTTAAAATTATTTAATTTATATATATATATTAAAACATTTATAAACTTTTAATCAAAAATATTATAGTTTATGTCATAAATTTTGTTTAAAAACTCGTACACATAGAGTATTAAAAAGCATTGATTTAATTTCTAAATATAAAAATAATTATAATACTAATTATTAAAAGTTATTGCATTCAAATTGAATTCAATTTAGCTTTTATTAAACAAAACAAAAATAATAGTAAATGATAAAAATTAATATATTATATGTATATTAATGAATATAAACTTATATAAGAAAGTTAACTAAAAAGTTTTTAAAAAATATATATAAATTAAAAATAATTAATTAATAGTAAATCAAAATAAATCATTAAAAACAACAACAAAATATAAAGTAAATATTTCAGAGTTTTCATATAAGATTTGATTGAATAAATAACTTTGTCTTCATATATATCTATATATATATATCAGTGGTCGCCGGACATCATCGGCAAATGCTGACGACAACCAGTGAGAGTTGTTGGCCGACAACAATCAATCAATTTGTCGGACGTTTGGTCCACCAGCTGTTGGACAGTCTCGCGGACGATGGCCATAGTCTTCAAGCGTTCAATCGATTTCCAAGTGTGATGTTTGACCAGCGATTTCAGTGATAGCGAGTCCAAGATTTTGATGATCTCCTGTTTCTTGTCGTTCAATGACTTATTATTACCAAAAAAATAATACTGTTTACTAAAGCATCTCTTGGACAGTGAAATCATGTATCGGTCGATGACATACATAAACAGTTGGCGACAGTGTTGATCTGATCTGATAGGATGTCCCTTAACGCGCATAACACTGGCAATTGTCGGCCACTGGACCTGTTCATCGGGATGTAAGGCCAATGCCAGGGCTATTATTTCGCACAAATTAAGCTCTTTTTGTAACTCATCCCGAAGCTTACTAAGCTTACTGTCAGCTTTACGATTATTATCTCCACCAGAGGTGTTAACCACAACCACAGGTCTGGTGGTGTTATTATTGTTGTTGTTGTGTTGTTTGCTGTGAATCGGTTTTACAAAAATTTTCGAGGCATTGGCCACTCGGAACCGTTTCGTAGTGATCGACAAGTATTGTCGGCTCTTATTTGAGTTCAAATAGCCAAACAAATGAGTCCTGAAGTCAACGACATCGCCGACAACTGATTCAAGTTTGGCCAGAATCCGGTCAAACGATATGCACTGACCTTTGTTGGCGATCACTTCGGGAAATATCAGTCGATGATTGGTTTGATTGATCTCAACGTAACATCGAAATGCATTTGTTGTTGTCGTTGTCGTCGTCGCCGTCGCTGTTGATGTAGTAGTAGATGATGACACTTGATTGGCCATTGGCTTATTGGCCACTGTTTTCAATGGTTTAATCATTAGTGAAACCAACTATAAGTACAGTATAACCAACCGGTGCTGATGTTATCAATTACTGTATTCAACTTTTCTAAGAGTTTTATAGCCAATAAAATCGTTTAATTATAATTAATACTACTGTTATTATTAAAAACTAAATTCAAATTTAAATCAATTAAAAATATATAAACTAAATGATAGAATTAATTGTTTTTTAAAGATAATCACGCGATTATATTGTATTAGTTGTTTAGATTAAAAAAAATATTATAAATATAAAAATATAAGAAAATTATTGAATCAATCGCGCGATTATTATTAATTAAATTTATGAAAAATTGAACAAAAAAAATTAATTTGAATTTTCATTGTATTGTATTATTATTTTATTTGTGTATAAATATAAAAATGTGATTTATATAACTTGACTTCAAGACAATCGATTGATATAACAATATGTTTTTATAAGATAAATATTTATTTATTTGTTAGATTTATAAACCAAAACAAAAATTAATTTTGTTATAATTGTGGCAAATAAATAATTTAAAAAAATAGTTATCAATTGTGTGTGTGTATATATGTGATATATAATAAATATATGGAGACCAGAAACGATGATGACCCGACCAATAATTTACCGACAATGGCCACGGCCACTACTATCAAATTGGCCGAACAGTCGGCCGCCAATCATACCGATAAGCGGACCGGTAGGCGATTGATACGGTTCAGTGTCAGACAGAAACAACTGTTAGATAATATTGACGATAACAACAACAATAAGAATAAAAAGAAGAAAAAAGATAAGAAAAATAAGAAGAAAATGAAAGACATGACGACACCGATGATGACGACAACTCAACAACAACTTAACGATCCGTACGGACAAACTGTTGACAAAATTCAAGCCGACAATACCGACACCAATAAACAGGTTGTCATTGATGTGGAACAACAGCGAAAGTTGGGCGACAAAATTGATACCGAGATTAATGTGCACACTATCGGTGCTCGAAAGGTATGTCCTCACTAATATAGTAGTTTATACAGTACCGTATATATATATAAACAAAATTATATACATGTACTCGTATTTTAAGCAATAGTTTTATTTATTTTATTATTATTATTTTTGAAATAGATTGATTGTACGGTAAATTTAATTATTATGTTAATCTTACCATATAATCAATCTAATGTACAATTTCATCGACAAAGCATACCTGTGCTCTCAACACTCATTATACAGTTTATCTCTATGCTGTCCAAAATATAAATTATTATTTTTATATTTGAAAATAACCTTCAATTTTTTTAAAAAATTATTAATATATACATTGTATACTACATAATGTTTAAATTGTGTATGTTTGCATATTATTTTACCAAAAATTATAACTAGTATACATCATTTTAAACTATAATAAGATACATTGCCTAAAGTTATGAGAAAACCAATAATAATTTGTTATAATTATTGAAAAAACAAAGTTATATTATTTACACACACATACAAAATTAAGTTAAATATCTCTTTAGATATAAAGTTTATTTTTGTTGTTAAATGCTATGTTATATTATCAATGTTATGAAATAAAACAAGGTTTAAATAGTTTTATAGAAATATAACAGTATTACATAATAGTAATTGTTTGAAAAACACAAATTTAAATCACTTTATCTGTTATAAATAAAAAAAATACATGTATATAGTATTATATAAGTATTATATTTTGTATAATATATTATAGTACAGTATATTGACAGTTAAAATATATTAAGATATCTAATATTTTTAGTTAAAAAAATAAACAACAATTATCTCAATAGATTTAAACACACTATGGTATCAGTATTTTAGCCTAAATTAATAATATTTTGTTCACTAATACAGTGTATATATACTATAAATTAAGATAATTATTAAAATATTTTAATATATAAATGATAATAAAAATTTGAAATATTAATTATCAAATATATTATTTATTCTAATTAATTAATATTATTATTTCAATAATAGTTGAACTTTTAAAATATGTTTTGTATGTCAATATACAGTATAAAGAAAGATAATATAATGCAAAAATAAACTAATAATTTAAGTAATTATCTAATCAGTAAAACACACTTCAAAACAAATAATTATTATTAATAGTTTACTACTAAATATATTTAATTATTTGTTATGATATATAAATAATTTCAGTGTTTTTTATTATTAAAGCAGTTTTAGTTAAATTTTTGGTAATTAATAATTATTAATTCATTTATTAGTATTATTATTGATGTAATAAAGATAACAACAACAACAAAAAAACAGTGAAAAAATAGATTTTTATTGATTATATAATTGTATGAATTGATAATCTCTGCCAAATAAAAAAAAATAATGTTAAACTCTAGTAGAGAGCGGCTAACATTGCACGGCATTAATAACTCATATGATTCATTTGCACCGGTATGTTATCAACAGAAACACAATGTGGTGGACAGTGAAGGACAGGAACCCTCATCGGTGACCGACAAAGACGACGATCCGTCATCAGAGGAGGAGGACATGTCTGATAAGATTGGATCATTAGATTGGGATCACCTGATGGTTAAGGTACGGGAGCTATGCTTTTCCTATGGCAGAAGCAACAAACAGTTCATCCATCAGCTAGATATGTCGATACCTAAAAGTGCTATGTATGTATGATTAAGCCGGGGGCGGCGGGAGGGTAGTATTTTTTGTATTTTTTTTAATTAATAAAAACCAAACAGTTATGCCTTACTGGGTCCAAGTGGTTGCGGTAAGACTACACTATTGAAACTGATTTTGGGTATATTGAAGCCCAAGTCGGGTACCGTCAAAGTCAATGATAAACTTAATGGCGATCCTCTTAATCATATACCGGGCAAAGGGGTCGGATTTATGCCACAAGTATTTGAAAATTATATATTTGTTGAAAATGTATTTAAAAAATTTAATTTTTTTTCTTTGTTTATTAAATTTAATTAGGACTTAGCTCTCTTTCAGGAGATAACAGTGAATGAGGCGCTCAAATACTTCAGCAAAATCTATGGTATGACTGATGAACAGACACTATCGAGTATTAAGTTTTTGGTCGACTTCTTGGACTTACCTGATCCGGAAAGACGTATAGATACCTTAAGGTATGAATTTAATTGAAATTATATTTATCTAATTATTATTATAAACAAAATCAAGTGGTGGACAGAAACGCCGGGTCTCTCTATCACTATCGCTGGTACACAATCCTCCGCTACTCATATTGGATGAGCCGACAGTGGGCACCGATCCCGTCTTAAGGGAACGGTATTAAAATATTTATACCGTTACTGTCGATGTTGTCTTAGTTATTATAACTAACTGTTATTTTGATTATAGGATATGGAAACATTTGGTGATATTATCTCAACAAAAGTCGACATCAATCATAATTACCACTCACTATATTGAAGAGGCCCGACGGGCTCATATGGTCAGTCCAGAGTCATAATTTAATATCCAGTTCCTATCAGTGTTTTTTTCTATTATTTTTATTGTATATCAGATATCACTGATGAGATCCGGCAAAATACTTGTCGAGCATTCGCCCAAACATTTGCTCAATCATTTCGGGATCAGTACACTAGAACAGGTATTTCTCAAGATGTGTACCAATACTAACAACAGCAACGATGATGGCATACAATTGCCACAAAGCTATCTAATCACAAGAAATAAGATGACTAACACTGTTGATGATGTCTACACTGACGACAGTCAGGGCAATACAATGATTAAGATAGATAAGACAGTGATGACAGTCAATGGACAGCCAATGAAGAGTCTGCCATCGGTGTCGACTATGCAACGGGTGAAGACACAGACACACAAAAACTTTTTGAGAGTTATGCGAAACAAACCGTAAAACGAAAACTGTTTTTTAAAAAAATTATTTCATTTTCTTTACTAATGACTAATTACAGTATTTTCTATTTATTTTTTTATACATACCGTTCCCTCCTACTGCCACTACCACCACTTGTATGCTTCCAATAGTCTACTAATATTTCAGACAATATTGCCAACTATTATTATCATAATATTTTGCTTGTGTATCGGTACAAAACCCTATGGTCTACCGGTTGCCGTCTATAACGGCGAATATGATCAGTCGGTATCGGCCGACAACTCATCGTTATCGACAATGATTTTGAGTCCAGCATTTCTCCGACAAGTGGACAACAAGACAATCACATTTGTAAGTGTTTTTTTTAAATCAATTACCGGTACTGTAGTCTCCTGTGAATAGCTAATTGTGTGTCTATTAGTTCCCAATCACAACTGTGATTATCTGTGTTATCTATGATTGTTATCCCTATCCCTATATATATCATATATATCGATACTGTAGAAACATTTCCGATCAAATAAGACGGCACTGGAGACTGTCCACGACGACAATGGCGTCTACGGCGCTATTATCATTCAAAATGGATTTACCGCAAGTCTGGCCAAACGGTTTAACAATAAAGAGCTGACCAGTGATGAAGATATCGACAAAAGTACCATTAAATTTTATGGTGACTTTAGCGGTAATTATTGTTATCATTATTTTTTTCTTCAAGAGCACAGATATTTTTAATAATAATTAAAAAAATAATTGTTTTATATTTATATATATTTTTGTTTTGTTTGTCTGTTTGTCTGTCAAGATATGATAATAACACAAACAATAACCAAAGTGCTGATCGACGCCGAGTTTGACTTCTTGCGCGAAGTGATCAACAAATATGTTGTCAGCAAATCGCAGGCCAAACGTCAGATCCGTGTCTTTGATCCGTTGGTCGAGTTTGTCGATCCGCCTGTATTTGGTTCGATTGACCCGAAGTTTCGTGACTACATTGCACCGGGTATTGTCATGTCGTGTATCTATTTTATGGCATTGGGACTGACAGCTATGACTCTGGTTATTGAGCGCAAAGAAGGCCTAATGGAAAGATCAATAGTAGCCGGACTTAAGTTGACGGAAATTTTGGTCGCACAGGTGATCGTCCAGTTTTTCATAGTCACACTCCAGACAATATTGTTAATGATATTTACGTTTCTGGTGTTTGAAGTGCCAAACAATGGTAACATATTATACGTGATAGTACTGGTGCTGATGCAGGGCGTGGCCGGCATGTCATTTGGTAAGAGCACCCATCGGGTGGCGAAATAATGTTTTTGGTTTTTCAATTAATTGTATTTTTTTTAAATCCCAAGGTTTGCTAATATCGGCGTTTTGTAAGACAGAAAACTCGACAATTATGGTAGCGTTGGGCTGTTTCTACCCGTTTCTACTCATATCGGGTATCATTTGGCCATTGGAGGGAATGCCATACGAACTCAGATTGGTCAGCTACTGTCTACCTCAGACACTGGCCATCATAGCGTTGCGAAACATTATGCTAAAAGGCTATCATATTGGCTATATGTGGGTATTTTTAGGCTACCTGTCCACTATTGCTTGGATGGCCATATTTCTAGTGCTGGCTATTGTTGTATTTAAACATAGAAAGTAATATTAATTATATGTATAAATAATAAATATTATTAAGTTTTTCAATGTCAATATAGTTTTTTTATTATTATAATTGTATTTTTTTACGGTTTAACTTAATACATTATTTTAAAATATCAAATATAATAGTTATTTATTATACAGGTATTTTATATTATAGTTTATTTTTGTACTTATTGCTTAAACAAATTATATTTCAATATTATACAATTGAAACAAAAAAAATCATTAATATTTATGACCATATTTTTCTAAAGTTATTTTTCTCTTATTATTTTATTTTATTTTTTAAAAAAGATGTTATCATAAATAAAATTAAATAATTTATATTTTAATAAATAAAAAAAATATTATTATTGATTGAAAATTTGGATTAAGATAAAACTGATTGAAACTTGAATTTTATTGAATTTTATAATAATATTAAAATGACTTTTTTTAATGATATTTCAAAGGTTTCAATAGGTTATCATTATTTTATACAATTTATTTGAACACAAAAATTAAAGGTCATAACAAACATCTTATAAAATTTATTTTAAAATATATATATATTATATGTATTAATTTAATTGTCATTTATTGTCAACAAAGTTGTAAACAATTTCAATGTTTTTTCTTTCTCTCTCATAGTTTCAATACAGTATCTGTAGTTTATATAAACAAACTATACTAATGTTTTATAGTATAAACATTTTGTTTTGAAAATAAAATTTTAATTTATAATTAATTGTAAAATTCAGGGCAATTTCAATACAGTAGCTATTAAAATGTGAGAAATTGATTTATCTTATAATTTAAATTTAAAAACAATTTTTATATTTACTTTTTAGTATAACTATTTTTACAAATAAATGTCTTAATCATATTGATTAAAATTTTATAATAGTTAAGCATTTTATATTAAATATTAATAAAAATATATTATATATGAAAAAAAATTGCTTATGAGTAATATTTAAATAATTTATAATACAATTTTTGGATTTATATGTAACAAAATTTTAAAAAATAAATAATTAACTAATTAACTAGCACAAATAAAATAAGCTATAAATAATTTTATCACTGTATAAGAATATTCAATTTATTTACAAATTAATCATTTAGTTAACTTTATAAAAATAATTATAAATTATTATAATTTAACCCCACAAAAACTGGTCATTTTTTTTGTAATTAACTGATTGCAATATAAATCACTTTTACTTATGGGATACCCATAACTATAAAGTTAACTAATGAAATACAGAAAAGGACAGGTATATAATAGTAGAGTCGTCTCTAGCCTTGAATATGACATTTACCTTACAGGTGAGCTAATAAAATGTCAAATATAGTAAATTTTATTTTTTTATTGGTATATATTTATAAAAATTTTAAAGCATTACGTCTAGAAAATTTATTTTCGGTTCCAAATACACAATAATAATGAAACATTTAGTCTCTCTCTCTCTCTCTCTCTCTCTCTCTCTCTCTCTCTCTCTAACCTAACCTAATGTGACTGACAGATAACTTATGTAATACATTTGTGTGTATATATGTGTGTGTGTGTCCATAAATATAGATTAATTGCTTTCATTATTATTTGTACGATAAATATATATATATACATTATATACTAATATATGATAAAAATCAGTTTTATATGTAATTTAAAGTATAAAAAACTAAACTAAAATATAAAATAATCTTTTTAAATATTTAAGACTTAAATTATATATATATATAAACTTTTTCATTTGTTTATAAAATATATTTGGCACGTACATATATTTAATATTAAGATAGCTAGTTTAGATTATTCATTGTATATTACCTTGATAATCATAATTTTTTTAATACTAAAATTTCATTTCATTGCACCTGTATACATTTATATACAGGTAAATTTTAAGATATATTAAAAGATAATAAAAAAGGGCTAAAAACAAATTTAAAAATTAATTTAAAATAAGTAAAGTGTTTGACACTAAACGACAGTTTTTTATACAATAAATAATTTATGACTTCAATTAGCCGTTAAATTATTTTTATTTAAAAGAAAGTTAAGTCTTATTAAAATTGTATATAAATTGCATATTAAAAAAAAATACAATAATATATTTTTAAATGTATTTTTTTTGGTTAAAAAAACCCTTTATCAGTATTTTGCACGACATTAGTATCGAATTATTTTTGATTTATTATTAATTATTTATCAGATAATAATAAAAAAAGCGATTTAATTAAACTTACTTTTTATAAAATAACAAAAAACAACTCAATTGGTTGGACAATAAAATATGTGGTTTAAAGATTTACTTTCACTTATTTCTATATACAGTATATATATAGTATACTGTATGTACAGTCAATATAATTTATACATTAGTCAATGATTCACATCCCGGAGCTTTCTATAGCCAATTAATTTGAAAGTAAAGCTTTCACTTACTCTATCTTTGTCACCGGTTTTCAGGGGGTAGTAGTAGTAGTAGTAGTATTAGTACTAGTAGTAGTAAATAGTTGTAGTATTAGTAGTAGTAATAGTCTCTGACTCCTAAAATGATTGGTAAGAGAGAGAGAGAGAGAGAGAGAGAGAGAGAGAGAGAGAGAGATTACTTAAGATTATAGATCAAAACTAATAATAATAATAATAATAATATAATAAATTATGAGACAAAAACCCAATGCCAAGGTTTTTGATGGGTTCGGTTGTGTTTACTATAAATATAAAAGAGGCACACAATCCGAGTCCACAAATAAATAGTTGCATTTGTTGTTTGTGTCTAAAGTTTTTACATTAACTTCAATAGAAAAAAATGATGAAATTATTGGTAAATAGAAAATTCAATTATTTGCTTAAATGTTTGATATTTAATATAATAATAATTTTTTAACTAAAATCTCTCTCTCTCTCTCTTTTTGGTGTCCAGATCTTAGCTACCCTATTGGGTTTGGCCATGAGCCAGGTTATAATACGAAGCGGCGGACACGGAGGTCACGGTGGTAGCGGATGGAGCGGCAATGGTGGTTGGGGCGGTTGGGGCGATCATGGCAACTTTGGCTCGCACTGGTCCGGCTGGAATGGTGGCCAACAATGGGGCGCCAATACCGGCTGGAACTCGGACGCCTGGGCCAATGGATTTAGCCGATGGTACCCGAACACCGGCTACAGCGGCTACTACCCGTATACCACCAACCGCGTCGTCTACAACACTGGTCTCGGAGGCGGTCTCGGCCTGAACCGTGGTTACACCTACGGACTCAACAACGTTGGATACAACCGTTTGGCCTGGAAATAGATACACCAATTGGCATCCGTTAATTTTTTTTTTGTTGCTACTGGTGCTGACCCAACGATACTAAAAAAAATATTTCTCCCAAAAAAAAAATATTGAAAGTCATGTCATTTATAAATACAAATACTTTTTTCTAATGTCAAATGTTAATTGAAAATTTTTTTTAATGACAAATAAAAACCTCATTTATTTAATTTATATGATTGTATTATTTTTATTTGTAAAAACAAATTGTTTTCAATTGTTTTTTTTAATTAAATTTATTTGAATTATGATAATAAAATAAATCAAAATTGTCATTAACTTATTTTGTGATTTTATTTTATTTTTTTTATACGAAAAATTATGTTGCATGATGTAAAAATTGTGTAAAAATTGCTCAATTTAAACAAATTAAGTTATATAATATTGTTAATTAATAAGTTATTTATTATTTTGAATTTATAAATTACTAATTAATTTTTTATGCCATTAAATTACACAATTTACATAATGTTTTTAAATACAGTAAATATATACTATATTTAAAACCAATTATTTAAATATTCTGGCTGTACTTTATATTATTAATAAATTAATGACTCTGATTTTTATTAATTAAAATTTATTAATACAAATAAAAAAAATAATACTCATGTATTTTAATATAAATATAAATAAACTTATTATGTAAATTAGATTGTAATTATTTTTAAAAAAAACTTATTTAATACAGTATTACATTATTTATAATAATATTTTTTTTGAAAATAAAATTTATATTTAATTGATATAGTAGTAAAATAATTTAATTAATTAAAATTCATTGAATATCATACACAATATATAAGTTTTGTATAATATTAATAATAAGCTACTGTATTACACTAAGTAAATGCACAGTTAGATAACAAACCCGGGTATGTACTGATATATGTGACAATGAGCATATATGATATGACATTGTTAGGTGATTATCATTGGATTAATTAAATAGATAATGTTTGTGTGGTTTTTTTGTGAAGACTTTTCCCATTGATAATATCTTTATGTATAAGATTACTAAAATATAAAAATTTATTATATAATAATAAAAGCATATCACCTTTCACTGAGTTATTTAAATCATAATTTTTTTATTGAATTTTATTATTATTTTTTTTGTTTTTGTTTGAAGGCAATAGATAGTGAAAGTACATGAGGTTATGTGTGGTATATACTTGTAATATAAATGCATATTTTAAAATAAAATATATATTTTATTATAGAAAACATGTACCCAAAAAAATTATTATAATTCTATGATTAACAAAAAAATTAAAATGATTTTTTTATATATATATTCAAATTCAAGGCTCAAATGTCTGTATATTTTTTGAGTATATATAAAGGGGTTGTCTGAATAAGAAACCATATCATTTGCAACAAACTTTAATAATAATATAAAATAATTGTTTATTATTTACTATTTGTGCTTATATTATAAAAAAATATGTCATATAAAATATTGGTATGTTATATAATTATATATATATAAATTATATATTTAATTTTTGATTTTAAAAAAAATAGTTATTATCGGCTCTCATGGGTATAGCTGTTTGCAGCAACAATTGGGTAGTGAGAGGTAACGGCGGTTGGAATAATGACTGGAATAATAATGGTTGGAATAATGGCTGGAATAGTAACGGTTGGAGTAGTGGACAGGGATTGAGTGGACTGGGTTGGGGTCGCGGTAACGGTTGGACCGGCAGCAGCTGGAGCCGACAACCGATTGCATGGAACAACTGGAACGGTGGCCAATCGTGGGGTTCGAACAACGGCTGGGATAGCGATGCCTGGGCCTGGAACGGTAACAATCGATGGTCGGGCAACAGTGCCTGGATAGCACCGTCCACCCGATGGACCACTGGTAAAAGTGTTTGGGCAGCACCGACCACCCGATGGTCAGGTAATACTGGCGGTGTCTACTACGGCTCCGGTTTGGGTGGCGGTTGGACTAATGGTTGGGCTAAAGGAGGATTGGGTGGTGGCTGGAGAAGCGGTCTCGGATCCAACTCGTGGAACAACGGCTGGAATGGTTGGAAAAAATAAATATAGTTTGACTCAAACTCATTGACTATCGGTGCTTAAACATCTAGTAGTTTAGTATAACATTATTATTATTATTATTATTATTATTTTATATTACAAATTTTTTGTTTTATAAAATTATTAGATAAAAAAAATATTCATTTACTGTATTAGATTCAGTATATTAAATATATTTGTTGTTGTATTAAAACTCAAGTAAATGTATTCAAAATTGTTGTTTTGAAATAAAATAAAAATTATTATTTTTGTGAAACTTTTATGAATGTTTTATTTAATTTTATAATAATATTGTTTTAATGTTTTCAGTTAATTTGTTTATTTCTATAAAATGTAGTTTAATTAAGAAAAATCATTTTTTTAAAATAAATTTTTTAAAAACTAGACTATAATATTAAGTATAATACTAAAATGTTTTTTTAAATATCATAAAATATACTAAAATTTAACTATAATTATCAACATTTAGTTAAGACTAACAAATAAAAATATAAATTTTAAATAACAGATATTATTGATAAGTAATTTATATTTTAATAATAAAACAATCTATAATTTATTACTAATAAGTTTTAATAAAATTAAAACTTATAAACACTTCAATGAGAGTAATGATTAAAACTATTGCCACAATTATATTATAAATATATAAAGGGTTCGGTATTAAAAATCCAATAACAATACTAGTGCCCAGCAGACTGGGTAGGGTAGTCCGGGGATCGCTACGATATTCCTGTCCCGGTGGACAGTCAAATATTTCGCTTATGGACCTATTCTGTTCGTAGTATTGGCTTAGTTGACCATCTTTTTGACGGTACAACTCGTACAACCAGTTGTCCAGTTCCTCCTCCGCTTTGGGCACCTGTCGTACATCGATAAGCCGCACGTGTATGTCCACTAAGTTATGATATCCACTGAAATACTCTGCAAAAATTTATATATATAAATAAATATATATATATACTGTAATCTATGTTTAATAACATTTACCGATAAGAGACGGCGTCGATCGTCTCAATCCATTGCCAGCTCTGGTATTAGGATAGACTATTGTGATGTCTAAGACGGCATCGAATCGGTGGCCAAATTGTTTGTGTATGGTTTTAAGTGCCCGGGAACGGGGCATAAGCAGGTGCTTGAATGGCTGGACACCAATTTTATTCATATATCGTCTATTATCGGCCAACACATCAGTATAGACCTTATCATAGAAAGTTCCCTCAGGGTATAGTACTATCCAACTCTATAATAATTCAATATTCAGTATATAATAAATGCATTATTTATATTATATGCTATCATTATCAGGCTAATTGACCGAGCTAATTTATTGTTTAATTATTATTATTTTGGTATTTTTTAAATGTACATGTATACATAGCCTATTTTTATTGTATAGGTGAGTATATTTTTATTTATTTAATTAATTAATATTATTTACTACAATAAATGGCAATAATGCTTTTAATATTAAGTTTATGGGGTAAATGGGTTGGGGTGGACAACAATACAATATTAGACTCACCGGTATATTATTGGTTTCGAGGTATGTCAACGTTTTGATCATCTGTGTCGGATCAAATTTATCTCCCTTTCCTCTTTTCAGATAAATACATGAATGCTTCAAACAAATATATAATATAATTATAATTTATATTATATACAATACTGTATTATTATTATTATACCGTAGTATATAGAGTGTATAACTTGTATTCAATACAATTGTAATCAATTATTTGTATATTAAATTTTAGTGGTCTATTAATCAATATGTCATCAAATTACTGTATATAATATTTGTTTAAATAATATAATACACACACACTTACAGTAGAAATATATATAGAAATACTGTAGAAAATAATGATAAATTGTTTAAATGTTTGGTCTTCGATAATGTATTACTTAATAATTAATTACTAAATATCGTAATACTGTAATTATATTAATTGTTTTGTATGCTATATAGAATTATCTTATTATAAAATATTATATATATAATACAAATATATATATATAAGATTACATAATAGTGTTTGTTTATCAAATTGACAATTGATTTTGAATATACCATAAAAAATGAGTGTCCCGCCAATGGTATATACTGAAATGGTTCGGTAGTAACATGCCTGACCCGGGACAGTTTGCCAAATCTATTGAGCAAATAATGTACGTTAAAAAAGTCAACCCCGCACTGATGGTTACATAAGGCCAGTACGTTATTGGCCTGTAGTTTGTCTACCAGTTCAATGTCACCATAAAGTGTTATCTATATTTATATATTAGATAATAAATTTATTTTTAATTACATGAGAGAGAGAGAGAGAGAGAGAGAGAGAGAGAGAGAAAGTAAAATGATCCCAGTGCCAGTGTCAAGGTTAAATAATATTTTATTTTATTTTCTAGTTAATGCATTATAACTTATATTATAATAATTTATAAGTAGTTTATTTTATTTTAAAAATTTTGGTTATCTAAAAAAATATATTTATAACGACATACCTTAATGTTAGCCCAATAGTCAATGAGCAAACATGCGTATCGATAATAAAATTGATAAATACTATCGACACAGTCAATGTAAAATTGCCTGGAGCACATGGACTTAATGAATATTTGAATCAATAGTATGACTATTGTATATTCAGCGTAAGCGTAATACGATCCCAATGTTATTAATAATGTCAACAATTTTATTAATAGCCAATAGATATGTTTGGCTATGTATCGGAAATAATATGTTATAGACTGAGACATTGTTATCATCATTAATGTTATATACAAAAAAAATTAAAAACAAAACAATAAAATAATATAAAATAATTTTTTATATATATATACATAACAAATATTGTAATGCTAATGTTGTTTATTTTTTTCAAAATTAATTAAAATATTTATGTTAACATATTATGCATCATTAAAAAATGGTAGTTATTTTAAAACCATACGGTATGTTTGTTTAAGAGAAAGAGAGAGAGAGAGAGAGAGAGAGAAAGAGAGAGAGAGAGAGAGAGAGAGAGAGAGAGAGAGAGAGAGAGAGAGAGAGAGAGAGAGAGAGAGAGAGAGAGAGAGAGAGAGAGAAATTGAAAAAACCATTTTTATGACAGTAAATATATTGTATGTAAAGTTTAAATTATTTATTAACATATACAGTAGTATATTTGTATATAATGTAATGTACTGTATATTTTGAAATACTTGTAATTTTAAAGTATTTTAAGAAATAATAATATTATATATGAAAATAAATATATAATGTCAGTGTATAATAGATTAAAATGTTTTAAAACATTTAGTAACTAATATATCAATAGTATAAACAGCAGTTATTATAAGTCTCTAATATAGCATTTGAAATTTATACCCAAGTATTTGAAAAATTTATTAGTGTTTTAATATAGAAATTCTTGTAATAGTTTAGCAAAAAATATATATACATATACTGTATATACATACACATAAAAATATATATACAGTATATGTAATAATAATAGTAATAATAGAGTAATTATTATTATAATTTAATCATATTGTATAACTTTATGTTTTATATTATATATATATATATATATTAAATCTAAAATATTCAATTGTATTCAATGCAAAACATTATCACTGAATTTATATTTATTTTTAGTTAATAATTTTTTTTATTTATTTAAAGGTATGCATAAAATTTAGATTATTAAAAAAATAAAAATATATATATACGTTAAATTGAATATTAAATTTTTAGAGAAAGCATTTTGATAATGTTAAAATATTTTATATTAAAAAAAGTAAACTGTTTGACTGTAAATCAAAATATGTTATATTTTATTTTCTATTTTTTTGTAAATTGAAAATATTTATTTTATCATATTTATCTGCATTTTATTATAAGAAATTTTTTTTATAAAAAATAATTTAATGTCATTTTTATCGTATAGTATTAGATATTAGTAAAATAATAGTTTTATTGATAAAATAAAAAGACAAACATTAAGTCATAACTATTAGTATATTTTGTATAATAATCTATGTGCTATTATTTTATTAATTTTTTTAAATATAAAATTATACCAAAATAATAATAATAATAACTATAACGATATATAAATGCAATAATATAAATATCCATCTATTAGGTGGCGAGACATAAGTAATTGAAGATAATATTCAATACAATCATAATTTAAATGATGATTGAGATATCAAACACATACATAACAGATATACTGTACACACAAATATTTTAATATAGATATTATATATTAATATACATATTCTGAATATTATTACTGTATATATATTTAATATTAATATATAATGTGTTTGCTTTTATATATACATTTTAAAACTAATGTCCATATATTATAGATTTATGCCTATTTAAGCAAAAATTTTTACTAATACTTATACACATAATATTATTAAATTGCATAGTGTTTACCAAATTAATATAAAGCACACATACTGTATCATATTGTCTGCAGAGAGAAAGAAAGAAAGAAAGAGAGAGAGACTTATTTGCATCAGAAAATCATTTGTCTGACTATACTATCATAAAGGAAAGGGAGATCCTATGTATGTCTGCTAAGTGTGTATGTGAGTAGTAATACCGGTGCTGAATGTGAAACACCAATATTCAGATTATGGTTTCAATTTTACTGATAAATGTTTTAGTGTATTGTATTGTGTAGAGTATTGTTGATATTGAATGAGAGAGAGAGAGAGAGAGAGAGAGAGAGAGAGAGAGAGAGAGAGAGAGAGAGAGAGAGAGAGAGAGAGAGAGAGAGAGTCAAGAAGACTGGGAAACTATTAGAGACTTTAATATTTAATAGTTTTGTTGCAATCTTTAGGGAAATAATATAGTTTTCAATGCTATTTGCAGACAATCATCAATCAAAGTGTTATATAAAAACAATAAAAAAAATAGTGACGAATAGGTCTGCGCTGATCATACCATACCATATATACAGTATATATATATATATATATACAGTACTATTGATATATCTATTTATTACAATACATGATATGCATTCAATAAAATTAAAATACTCTATCACTTTATTTGATAAAATTAAATAAATTTTTGATATTATTTTTTTAATAATAAAAATAAAAAATTTATTTTTAATACAATATATTGTAGAATAATTTGTTGACTGAATTAATTTAAAATGATAGATTAAATTTTAAAAATATCACTGGCATTTAATTAATTATATAAGTTATAAAATAAGTTATAAAATTAATAAAAAAGAAACAATTATTTTAATTATATTTTTATATTAATAGTTAAATGTTAATTAATTACTCCAAAATAAAGTTCATGAAAAATATCTACTGTCTAATCAATAAAATATTAAAAACACTATTATTTTGGACTGTATTTAAAACAGAAATTTTAGTAATATGTTTATTACATTATTACAATTTTACAATTAAATCAAATTATCATTAAAAAAAAGTTATCAAATCTATAGAAACCATAAGACTATATTAGAAAACACTGGTTTTGAAATATTATTTGTAAACAAAACCCTAATACTATAAACTAATATTATGTTATATCATAATACATATAGACATAAATGCTTTAAAAATAAATTTAAATTTATTTATAATGTAATAACATTTGTTTGCTAGTCTTATGTTTATTACTATTATTATTATTTTGAAGTTTAGATATTATTGTATAACTAAATGTATGAAATATTGTTGAAATTTACTAAAAGGATTAAAAGTTTGAAGTAGTAATCACTGAGAGATAAAACAAATACTTTTAATTATTTTCAATGTTTTGTTTGTGAATACAAAAAAAACCCAAAGAATGGATTAAAATTTAAATTATGTAAATTGAAAAATAATCAATTATTTTGTATAATATTTACAAAATTAAATTTATTTTATTTTTAAAAATGTAATTAATAAATATTTACTGTATTTTTGTTTATTAAATATAACATAACAAATAAGATATATACAGATTAAAACTTTTTACAACAAAAAGCAGATAAATATGTATCAAAAATATGTTAACTAATAAATCAAATGAAATAAAGAAATTTAAAAAAATTAATAGTTTCTTAAATATATAATAAATAAGTTTTAAAAAATATATTTCAAAGATATGTGTGAAGTTTTGTTTGTAAAATAAAATAATTAAAATTAATAATAATAAATGAAATAATTTTTATAATTTAGTGGTTAATAATATTATTAAATAATTATCTGATAATATTATTGACAGTCAATTCATTTTTTGGGCACAGCTTTAGATTTCGGGGCAACGATTGACGACCTGAGTTGTCGTGACGGCGGCGGAGGCGGCTGTTTAGTGGCCACACTTTTGGCTGAAAGGACACGACCAGCACCGGTAGCACCTTTAGCTGAACCGTTTTGGCCACCATCGACATTACCACTAGTAGCAGTCGACGACTTTTTACGGCTCAAGAAAAAGGTCAACAAAACGGCCGCCACTATCAGTACTATTACTACGACGACCCCTACCAACGCAATGGTCAAACCAGATATACCACCGCCGCCATCATCTTTCTTAGTCGCCGTATTTGAATCACCACTAGAGTCCGGTTTGTTTGGATTATCAGTATTGTCACCATTAGCACCGTTGCTGGGTTTATCGTTGCCATTTCCGTCACCGCCGGTAGGCTTACTGGAACAGTCGGCCTCTGTTTTATTGTCACCGAATTTGAAGAATTGCCGCAACGGATTATCGCCTGATGCCGTTGTCTGTCCGAGTATGCCCTCCGCGGACTGTGTGTCCGAAATATCTATCGTCCTATACTGTTGACCATGAAATACATACAACCGATTCGTATTGATAACAGTGGCCGCGTCCACCTTTACCCTAGACGGAAGATTTATGGTATCTCTTTCTTGTGGTTGATAGCCATTGGCCTGACCGTCGGCCAAACAGATGTTCTTCCACTCGACACCGGCGTACCGGTTTTCCATCAGGACATATATCTGGGACACCCGGATACTGAATATATCAGTAACGTTGGTTGTCGAGTCTATTTTGGTCTTTTTCAGTATATCATCGCTATTAAAGCTTATCGCCTGATCCGACCATTTGCTGGTTTTCGTATCAAATGTATGCACTTGTCTGGAGCCGTCCTCTTGTCTCTCCATCACCAGTACGACCTGTTCAGTGGGACTTTTGGCAACTTTCGGCGCTCTGGCATTGTTTTGGCAAACGCTTTGTTTGTCCAAATAGATGGCTGCGTCGCCCCGTTTGAACGGCTCCGGCAATTTGCCAGTCGGTTCTTTAGGTGGAAAACTTTTAGCCGCTATATACCAATAGTAGCCACCACTGGTAATAAAGTACATATCTTTGACCGGTATGTACTCAATAGAGTCCAAACGGTTCAAACAGTACAGATCGGGCTGTTGTTGTTGCTCTGAATCAGCCATCGTTTGTGATACCAGTGCAATGTTAATGACCACAACAGTCAACAGTAGATATAAATGATAAATAAACTGGAATTGCTGTCCATTCATAGCTGAAGACTATATTTTTTTGTTTTTTTTACAACACAACGATAAATATAGTTTTGAAATTAGAAAATTCTGTACCAATTTTTTTTATCAATTAATTAATTAATTCAAAAAAAAATTATTATTTCTATTTGATTGAATCTATTTAGATATGAGAAGCGCGTGAATACTGTATTATTTCAGCATTTTATATATCAATTATTTTACAGTATTTTATAGCTTATTTCAAATTAAATAATATGATTTCACGTGAATTTGTGTTTTGTTTTTTTTTTAAATATATCATCATTTAAACTGTTTTTTATAATTATATTTATCTATCCATAAAATTTAAAACTTTTAGTTTCCAATTACTCATAAAAAATCTATTTATTTATTTTCTGCACAAATTTGTACTTTTATTGTGCAATTATTTTCAATGTTTTTATTTTTGAATTCAAAAGAAACCAATTAATTAATTAAAATTAAGAATTATGTAAATTGAAAAATAATTAATTATTTTGTTAAATATTTAGAAAATTAAATTAATTTTTATAAAAAATGCTATATATTAAATTAGTAATAAATATTTACTGTATTTTTTTTAGTAAATATAAAATAACAAATAATGTTTATATATATTCTGTATATCAGATTTAAACTTTTTTTTAACAAAAAACCAATGAAAAAATATGTGTTTACTAATAAATAATTCAAATAAACAAATGAACAAAAATAAATATGATTTTTTAAATATATAATAAATAAATTAAAATATACTTTAATGATATCATTGAATTTTTTAGTATAATATAAAATACGTAAAAAATAATAAAAAATAAAATAATTTTTCAATTTAGTGGTTAAATAATATTATTAAATAATTATCTGATATTATTATTGACAGTCAATTTATTTTTTGTGCGCTGCTTTTGCTTTAACTTTCGGGGCAACAGTTGACGACTTGAGTGGTCGCGGCGGCGGCGGCTGTTTACCCTTGACTGGATGGACATGACCACCACTAGCGGCACCTTTGGCTTTATGGGTGTGACCAACACCGCCGGAACCTTTGGCTGGATGGGAGTGACCAGCACCGACGGCAACTTTTGCTGGAAGGTCGTGACCGCCAACACTGGCGGAACCTTTGGCTGAAGGGGCGTGGCCACCATCGCCGTCACCACTACTAGCAGTCGACGACTTTTTACGGCTCAAGAAAAAGGTCAAAGAAGCGGCCATCACTATCAGTATTATCAGTACACCGACTCCTACCAACGCAATTGTCAAACCAGATATACCACCGCCGCCATCACCTTTCTTAGTCGCCGTATTTGAATCACCACTAGATTTCAGTTGGTTTGGATTACCATTATTGTCATCGTTATTGTTATCGCCAACGCCACCAACGCCGCCGGTAGGTCTACTGGAACAGTCGGTCTCTGTCTTATTGTCACCGAATTTGAAGAATTGCCGCAACGGACTATCGCCTGATGACGATGACTGTCCGAGTACGCCCTCATCGGCCTGTGTGTCCACAATATCTATCGTCCTAAACTGTTGACCATGAAATATATGCAACTGATTCATATTGACAACAGTGACCGCATCCACCGTTACTGAAAACGGAAGATTTATGGTACCTCTGTCTTGTTGTTGATAGCCATTGACCTGACCGTCGGCCAAACAGACATCCTTCCACTCGATACCGGCGTACCGATTGTCAAGCATGACATATATCTGGGACATCCGGATACCGAACATGTCTTTAACAATGCTTTTCGAGTCTATTTTGATTTTTTTCAATATATCATTGGTATTAAAGTTTTTCGGCTGATCCGACCATTTGCTGGTTTTCGTATCAAATGTATGCACTTGTCTGGAGCCGTCCTCCCGTCTCTCCATCACCAGTACGACCTGTTCAGTGAGACTTTTGGCTACTTTCGGCGCTCTGGCATTGTTTTGGCAAACTGTCTGTTTGTCCAAAAAGATGGCTGCATCTCCTCGTTTGAACGGCTCCGGCAGTTTGCCAGTCGGCCCTTTTGGTGGAAAACTTTTAGCCGCTATAAACCAATAGTAGCCACCACTAGTAATAAAGTACATATCTTTGACCGGTATGTACTCAATAGAGTCCAAACGATTCAAACAGTACAGATCTGGCTGTTGTAGCTGTGAATCAGCCATAGTTTGATATACCAGTGCAATGCTGATGACTACAACAATTAATAGTAGATATAAATTATAGATATACTGGAATTGCTGTCCATTTATGACTTCATGTCCATTCATAGCTGAAGACTATTTTTGTTTTGTTTTATTATACAACACAACAAAACATACAGTTTTAAAATTAGAAAATTTTTTACCAATTTTTTCAATTAATTCATTCAATAAAAAAAAATAGATTTCTATTTGAGTCTAATATGAGTCTCTCAGATATGATAAGCGCGTAAAAGTGTATTATTATTGTTATTATTTTATATCATTTATTCTAATTGTTTCCTAATTGTTGGGATAATATTATCATACAATTGGCTATAAATGTATTTTACTTTTTAGAAATTAAATTAAATAAATGTTATATATATACAGTATATACAGCACAACAATAAAAAAGTGATATAAATAATTATTTCACGTGATTTTTTTTGTTTTTAAATATATCATCGTTTAAACTGATTTTTTTTGATATAATTATATTTATTCGTTTATCTAAAAAATATTCGTTAAATTTAAAACTTTTAGTTTACAAACACACTCATAAAAAATATCTATTTGTTTTTTGTTTCAATTTCTGATATATTAATTCAGTATATGTGGCAAAAATAATGTTATTTTTAAAGCTAATATATGTTGTCTTATTGTTTAATAAGTTGGTGGTATCTGATCCAATCAACAACAACAATACCATTAACACATCAAAATCTGTCAATCAAAATAATACTAAATTGAATTATAGATATTTCAATAATAATAGCAATAATAATAATAATACAAATAACAATAGCAATCATAATCGTAATAATATTAATAATACTAATAATAATATTAAAGATAATAATCGTTTAAAAGACAATAACAACCGCACAGAACAATCTCTTGAGTATCCAATTGACAGTCAAGAAGACGTTAGTATTTTTAATTAACAATTTATTTATATGACAACCAATCAGCCAATAATTAAATATTACAATTATTGTAATCACTTATTTTTGATACTACTATATATATATATATATATATATATATATATATATATATATATATATATATATATATATATATATATAAACAGTACGAACCGGTAGCCGATATATTGGAGGAAACGGGTCTCAATGTTCGCAATTTTGATTATTACGTTATGACCGTCAAATCAAAGACCAAATATACTACAAGTACACAGACTTCACTTTACAACAACAATAAGCGGCCAAAAGGGTTGATAGCCGGACCAGCAGGCGATGGCCAGTACGGTGCAGGTGATGGTGGTGGTGGTGCCGAACCCAAGAAATCCAACGTTACGATGATTATCGTTGGTGTCACAGTGGCCACAGTAGTGGTGGTCGCCCTAATCGGTGCGGTCGGCATATACTTGTTTACCCGACAGTCGGGCGTCAAACTGAAAAAGCGGGCGCTCAACAGCCGAAAGTCGCTCGACTCCATTATGACAGTGGCCTCCGATACTGGCCGACCAGTGAGTCCGCCGAAATCGGCGCCAAAAAAGGCGATCACACCTAACAAAAAACCAAAGGCTGGCAAATAATCCGGTGTTTTTGCGTTTGTATGAGTTGTCGAAAGATTTATATGAAGTCTTTTCCCACAAAAAAATAATAATTAGTATTAATATTATTGTATTTCAAATATCTGTCTATATATTTATTGCAATTATTTAGTTTTTTTTCAAAAAATATTAATTTAAATTAATTTATGTCTTATAAATTATATTAATGTTATCTACAGTTTATATTCTATATATTTTTAAAGTTATTTTTACATTTTTTATTGTTTATTTTTAAAAATTATTTATTAAATACATTTATTTATTTTATTTTTGTGTATATTTGTAAAAATAATAATATGTTTTGTTTACAAAAAATATATGACTATTCATTTAATTTGCCGGTATATAAAAATTATAATTAAAATTTAGTATTAGTTAAAAATAAGTAAAAATATAAATATTATTTATAACAAAGTCTATTGTATTTTAAAAATGATTTTATGATTAGAATTTAGACTAATATTGAAATTATTTTTGTTAAATGAATTAATTATATTACAATTATTTTTAAAGATTTTAGTTACTTTTACTTATACTGTATTTATATAAACTTTTTATCATAAGTTGAAATACTTTAATATTATATTTAGAAGTTTTTAAGTAGAAAATGTAAATTTATAATTACTAATATAATTTATTGGTTATAAAGTTAGGTTACTATAAAATTTTTTAGTTAGTTAAAACAATTGCATTTAAATATATATATATATATATATATATATATATATATATATATATATATATATATATATATATATATATATATTTCATATAATATTCAAAATTTTATAAGTTTAGTATCATTTTTAAATAATAATTTTTATTTAATATTATATAATTGTAACATATAAATTTTATTATAAAAAATTGATAGTTAAAATATTTATTAATAATAAAATTGCACATTTTGCTCATAATTAACAAGTACAAATGTAAGCTATACAGTATAACCTACGTAAATACAATTAACCATGTCAAATTAATTTCAAATTCAATGTTATTTACTAATATTTTTTTTAATAAATAGATTTATATTATTTTATTTAGCATGTGCAACCTGTTTTTACTAATAAATCAATTTATTATTATATATTATTTATCATATTTAAAAAAATCTATTTAAACGTTTAATTACCTTGATCTATTGTTTCCTTAATTTAACTTTAAATTTTTAAGTGCGTTAATAAAATTAGATGTCATTGATTATTATTAATCATAAATTTTGAAATACAAAACACTTGTTTTGAAAACAAATTCAATTTTTAAAATTGCTAGTATATAACAAACAAAATTCAATAGGAGATAAAAAAATATACAGTATTTAGTTAAAAATAACAATTTATTAACTAATAGTTTAAACTAATTTAAAAAAACAATGCAATTATTAGCAACTGTTTTAATTAGCTTTTTATATATAACTTTGGGTTAGTTATTGCAATCAATAATATTAGATTAAATTAAAATTTTTTATTTATTATTAAATCTATATCTATAAAAAAATATATAGTTATTAGCGACAGATCGGCTGATATTCAATGTCTGAAAAATGGTTCAAACACTTTGGTGGGAAAGTCGGATCAGGAACTGATTGATTTGACACAACAGAACCTACAAATTGGTGAACAAATGGTACTCAAGAGGGCCGCCATTGCCAATGCCAGTGGTCTGGTATGTTATCAACAATTTTACGACAATTATACCAAAGGTCTGGAGGCCATACTGTTGGGCGCAAATGAAATCAAACAGTTAGACACTGCCAGTTCACCTCAGGTCAGGTCGGCTGCCGTCAAAGGACTGGCAGGTATTACGCAAGGCATGCGATGCGATGAGGACTGGAGGGCCCAACACTTCAACGAAACAGTCAAACAGGCTACCTGTTCAACACTAGAAAGGGTGACATTATTTGGTATGGATTTGCTTAAATTTAGACCTAAATTGGAGCTACTATTGGGCACAATGAAGGCCGGTAGCTTTGGTTTGTCATTCAAAAATAATGTTATGTCAAAAGTGGTCGGCGATGTATGTCATCCATCAATCAATCGGATCTTAAAATTTAATTTAGTTATAAAGTAATTGTTTGATATGTTTACAGATTGCCCAACTCTACCGAACCATCTATACTGACGCTGAACGGTGTTCACGAAGCCAACCAAACGTTGCCGACCAGTGCCGTAATCTCAAGATGTTTGTCATTGAGTTGGACCGACTAAGCTATTTGGCAGGTGTTCAGTTACAGGCCAACCTGTTTTAAATCAACAATTAATAGCGATATTTTTAAAAATGATTTAATATCTATCATATAATGTTTTATACAGTTTATTTATTTATTTAATATATTTCATTTATTTGCTAATTTATTGATTATTGAAATACAAAATTTAAGCATTGTTATTTAGTGTAAAGTATTTGTTAAAACAATTTTTTATTTGATTTTATATCTTACTGTCAATACTATACTATTATTTTTAAAAATCAATTTATTATATTATAAAATATTTAAAATATAACATTTAAATAAACTGATATATCATAGTGTGTTATGAATTAATTAATTTGTTAGAAATTGTATTTTCAAGTTTATAATTAAAATTTTGCACACTCACTCACTCACTCACTCATTCACTCACTCACTCACTCACTCACTCACTCACTCACTCACTCACTCACTCACTCACTCACTCACTCACTCACTCACTCACTCACTCACTCACTCACTCACTCACTCACTCACTCACTCACTCACTCACTCACTCACTCACTCACTCACACACACTCACTCACTCACTCACTCACTCACTCACTCACTCACTCACTCACTCACACACATTTAATAATTGTTTAATTTCATATCATAATTTCTATGCAATTTTGTTACTTATGTTTATACATATTAATTATTATCATATTTGACAATAATTATATAGTACTTAATTTAATGTATCGATAAATATGTGTCTGTGTGTGCCATAAATATTAAATATTTTTAGCCTCTTAATGAATATTTAATATGCAATCCTATTAATTATAAATTATGGTCTATTAAATCACTAAATAAATAGTATGATAGTCAGTCAGTTATTTATATATAAAATAGTTGAAAAATATTCATTTTTGAAAATATTTTGCAATTTTTGTTGTTTATATTTATTTTTTCCAAAACGTATACAAACTTTTCATCCGACAGTCAAATGATTGATGACTTAATTTTTTTGTGTCTAAAAAAATTTTCACATATAATATACTGTATATATAGATATAATAAATATATTAACTAAACTTATGTCAACTCTCTCTCTCTTTCTCTCTCTTTCGGAGGCAAAACAAACTTTGAAAAAAATCTTTAAAATTTTTAAGATATTTTGTATTTAAGAAAAATCTTTTTTTTAAATAAGTTACATATTATAATATATTCATATTATTTTGATATTATCCAAAATATAAACATTAAATTTTGCTGGATTTTTTTTATTAATATTAGATAAATTAATTTTTTATATAAATATGTTTTTTTAGATATTTATTAAATGTTAAAGTGAACACATATTACAGGAAAAAAATAATTTATAATAATTTTAGATATTTTATTATTTAAAAAAAAATTGATATTTGATTAATTTAAAATAAACCGATAGAAATTATTAATAAACAAATTAATTAAATTTTATTAAATATATTTGACAGTCAATATACAAAACTTTATTACTAAACTATGAAAGTACAGTACGTTTTTTTAAACAAAAAAAAATAAAGTTTATAAACTATTACTACAAAAACTTTGTCAAAATAAAATAAATTAATATACAATAATACAAAACCGTAATGTTTATTGCTTTACGGTGGTGGGGTTTTTGAAAAAATAAAATTCAACTTTTAATACAATAGTCGCACACTTATGGTATGACCTAATGGTATGACCCGTTTGTGTGTGTGTGTGTGTGAGCTTCTGGAGGACCATAAATCAGGGCCACATGTCATAACACAATGATGTTTTAGAGAGAGAGAGAGAGAGAGAGAGAGAGAGAGAGAGAGAGAGAAATAGTGAAACATAAGCTCCAAAATTTTTGTCGTTGTAGTAGTAGTAGTATTGTCTCCCATTTAATATATTGATATACAATATATATAATATATAAATCGTTTACAATTTTTGAGAGTCACATCAATATATATATATATATTGATAGATACTGTATTTCCCCTATCATTGTACTGTAGGATACTATAGCTGTATATCCGATGCCAACAACATGTGGGTCCTCCCAAACACTATCGGTGCTCTCTATCACAGCTCTCCCTTTTTCTTGCAATAATATTTAATGGTTTTTTTCTGGCCCTCAATAATCGCATACATCTATATATATTAGAAACTATATCAATGTATATAAATTTATATATAAAGTAATATGAAATTGTGTGTATAAATGTCTATCTCATGGGCACAATGTTGTGTATACAATGGGGGCAATAGTTTGCATATAGTATTGTTTGCGGCCAATAATGATATGAATTACAGTACATATACTGTTTGTAATGTGTGTTCACAAAAGTTATGTATGTTTTTCCACTTTTTCATTACCACTGATAGTCTCTCTCTCTTTCTCTCGACAATTACCTCCATTTCCCTCTCAATGTTGCCATTCAGATGAAATGGTCGACTATCTCAATGAGCTCTCAAATGTCATCAATTATAAGTCTCCACAAAAACCGACTGATTGTTGTACTGTATGAATCAAATCAAATGAATCACCGATAAAATGGTTTGAAATATATGTATTCTGTATATACAGTAGTATAGTATAGATATATACACAGTTATTATGTATATATACTGTACAATAAATAAGTATTTTTAATAAATGACTTCAAAAATATATTGTATATATCAATGACTGATTGCAATGGAAAGTAATTCAATGATATAAATGAATGAATGACTGAATGAATGGGTAATCTATAGTGAAAAGCATAGGAAAAGTGAATTTTCATATTTACTTCCCGTTTCAAGTGATAGTAAATTAATGCCATATTTTTGTGGATATAATTATAGTATCAAATCGATATGAAAAATATAGTGTATAATATGCAGTATATTTATAACATTATATTGATATTATATATATATACAGTATATAGACAGTAAATTTGATGACACAAATAATTGTCACTTATTTATCTGTAATTTTCTATTTAAGTCTATTCGTCTGTATAAACAGTATGCCATTTATGACAACAATTATTTTATTAAATATATTAATATATAATATTTTTACATCACATTTGGCACAATTATATTATATTGTACTTAAATAATTGAATAAAAATTAATTATAATCATAAAAATGCTATATTATTATATATTTTTTAATAACTATCTTACAAATTGTATATACTTTACATAAAAAAGTTATTTAAAAAAAATAAATTATTTAGATAAATAAAAATAATGGGTATTATTATTGTTGTTAAAACCGACTACAACAACAACAACAAATAATACAACCATAAAAATTTTACACAACATTTACACTTTTATAATATATTTTTATGAAAGAGAAACTTATAGTCAAAAGTTTAGTATAAAAAAATAAATAAATATTATAACTTTATACTAATAGTTTATAGTAAATGGCATTAACTCAATAATAATGTTAAATAAAATTTGTTGTTTATTATATCCTAAACTTAATATGACTTACGATTGAGTTAACAGTGTATTATGTTTGTTGTTGTTTATGTCTATTAGTATATTGTTGTCTACGAAAGTGTTTGTGAAATAAACCATATCTTTAAAAGCGAGACAGTATATAAACTATATATATATTGTATAATATTTTTGTGTGTAAAAAAGTTTACACTAAATTGACTTTACTTTTATGTACACTTTTATTATCATCATTATTATGATTATTATGATTATGTAGTCAAAGATTAAGGACGATATAGTATAGTATAGTATAGTATACATTATCTACAAAACACAAAGTGTATTATACATATATAAAATAAATTTTATTTAATGTAAATCTTCAAAATATATATATATTTTTAAACAATACAAAACTTGAGAGAGAGATATAATTTTTATTATGCAATAAACATAAACTCAAATGATTTACTATTTAAGTTGTTATATTATTGTATATATACTGTATATTTTTTATTTAACATTTTTAATATGTTTTACATATAGTGTTTTATTATTGCTATTAAACAACACATTATATAATATATTAAACAAATAATTATATAATTAAATAATTTATTTTTTGTTTTCAAAAACATGCTTAAAATTTATGGTATAGTAAATTTTTACAAGCAATTAAAATACTAAATATTTTTAATAGTTAAAATAATATCAATTATAATATTATGTGTCATATAAAATATTTATGTTATTATTATTATATTAAAATTATAGTTTTTTTTTATCATCATATATTTTAAAACCAATTTGAAAATTGTTTCAATTTTTTTTATAGATTACTTAAAGCCAACTTAACTGTACAACTCCAGGGAACTACCGGTGCTCAATACATATATACAGTACAGTAGTATTGTATTCTACAGAGGAATGGGTTATTTTCAAACTATAACTCTACTGTACATATGATAGCATAGGGAGCTTAAAGTGTTTTATATATATATTGTAATTTATTTATAATCAAATATATATAAGTCTGAATATCTCATTTAAAGTTATAACTTATAAGCTATGCTAATAATAATAATAATATTAAGATTGATATATTTATATTTATAAACATTTAAATTTGAATGTCTATTTTATGTGATGTCATATTTTTTACAATACATGAACAAATCGGATATACTGTATAAACATATATATATATATATATATATGTTATTTGGGAGTTAAGGGAAAGGGATGTAAGGGATGACTGGTAATCCTTTTTCTGTTCAATGCAATAAAGCTATGAATTATAATAAAAATATTTATATACAATATCTATATTAAAATATTGATTTTTTCTGTATTACATTTAAATGTAATATATATAAAATGAATTATAAAAGATATTGAAATATTTTTTTAATATGAATTATCTAAATATTTATTTTTTATTAAAAAGTATTTGCTATAAATTTTAGCATTTTTATTAAGTTAAAGCAAATTTTAAATCAAAATTATTGTATTTTGTCTAAAAAAATGTCGATATATTATAGATTAAAATTGTATCTATAAGTATATTGAAAAGTGTCAATAAAAATCAAACTTAAAATATAATATATATAAAAAATAGATATATTTTATATACTG